CCTAACCCTGATCCCAACCCCAACCTCGACCTCATTTAGAACTTGTCATAATCCAGCCCAAGATCGAGCTAGAAGAATAAAAAAAAGCTCAATCGATTGTCGAGTTCTTGAATATTCCAATCAAAATCAAACTCAAAAAAGCTCTAAATAGCATCGACTCGACGCCACTCGATCACGCACTAATTTGTATTATCTTCCATCGCTACGCAAAAGCCATAAACCTAAAGAAGGGTTTGCCTTCACCCGCTACGCACGCTCGCCGGCCTCGGCCCTCCTCCTCGAGTACCTCCATCGTCGCAACCTTCTTCTTCTTCTTCCGTCATCGTCATCATCTTCATCTCGATCTGGGTCTCTTCCTGGAGTGCTTCACAAGCTGCCCGCCGACGGCACGACCCTTTTGGATCCACAAACAAGCCGGAAATGGGGAGCACGGCGGCGGAGAAGACCGAGGAGGAGCTCCGCAAAGAGATCGACGAGCTTCATCGCCAGCAACGCGAGGTACCCTTTTTCTCTCTCTCTCTGGTTTCAAAGTTTGTGGGGGGCAGACGGGTTCGTCTCGTTGATTGGCTTCTTGGGTCTTCTGTGTTTGTGGGGTTGTGTGGGAGCAGATAACAGAGAGGCTTCGAGACCCGAGGGGCCTTCGCAGAGGGGGATTTCCTGGTGCCGGCCCTCGTAACGTGGCCGCCAATGGAGCTCGGCAACGTGGTTTTGTTCGCCCTGTAAGACGAATTAGAATATCTTTCATCTGCCCTTTTCGGCTTCGGTTTGTGTTTTTGAGCTAGTGGTTTTGGATCGTTACTTGGGTTGCTTAGATTCTGGCTCTGGGTTTTGGTCTTCAGGCCGATAGGACTGAGAACGAAGATCAGCCTCCTGCCAAGCGCCGCCTCTTGTCTGCTGTCGTCAAGGTTCGTGTTTTTCTCCTTTTTGTTGGGTTCGGTCATCAAATTATCAAGGAAAGTGAAGAGGGTGTTTAACAGTTTTTTGGCTTTAAGTAGATGTACTTGCTGGTTAGGTGAGAGAGATGGTGTTGTGTAGTCAATTTGCTTGCTTTGCGTGAATCTTAGTTTGTGTTATTGCCCGTTTCCTGATAAGCAAATGTATGCGCCTGCTTGGAATTGAAGGTGGAAGACGGAGAGATAATAGAGGATGCTGAAGCAGCAAAGGATGTGAAGACGAGGGATTCGTTGGTGGAGGGAGACGTCGTTGCAAATCAAATTGATAAGAAACCATCTGATTGGCAGCAGAGTGGTAGGTCAAGGAGAGATTTCACTAAGCAAGCAGGAAAGACGGTAAGACATGTTCATGATTATTCCATCACTTCTTGTAGGGTGCTGCTGCGAACTAAATATGTTTTGTTCACCTTATGACATAGGAATTTGAGGCTCCACTAGTGGAACCTCTTCCAAGGGTTTTACCGAAGAATGAGGACCCTAGCTTGGTCAATCGGAATAAAAGAATGCTGGGTCAGCTTCTAGGAACTCTGGAGGTATGACAAATTTACTTTATGTCGTCGAGTATATTTTTCTCTTGTGGTTACTAAGCACTGATCGAGACAAATGATCTTTTTATTGTTACCAAATGATGGAGATTGCAGACAATTTCTTAGTTTGTGCTAGAATTTATCTTAACCGAATCATCACGAGAGCAGTTTGGTGAGCTGTAAAGTATGTTGCGTGTAGTGGAAAGAACTTGTGTTAAGAAGTAATCTGAATGTAACTCAATACCTATTTGGGTCAAGGGTCTTGGTTGTGAAACTCGTTAATGATGGTAAAACTTCTACTTGATAATGTACTGCAAGTGCAACTTGTGGGATCCTTGTGTAACAGATGCAGTTAAGAAAGGTCTTAGTCGAAAGATGGTGCTTAGTTACTTAGTGTTATGTGAGATCAGGAATTAGGTCATCGAGAATTATAAAATTCAGTCTCTTAAAAAAAAAGAAATGGCTTTTCATTCTAGTACCTCAAATTATAAGTATGTGCTACTGAAGATTCATCAGAGAGAATTTGTCATGGGGATGCATGGTTCCATTACCAACTTGCAATTTGGAATACACGTTTTTTTGGTCCCATTTTAGAATGCCAGAATCAATGTTCTCAATGTTCATCTAGAGACTTTTATGTGTTTTAGTTGGTGGACTGTTACTTTATGTTTAGTAAATAAAGGTGTCTGTCTCATCTTAAGCATGAGACATTCTCATTGGCCTGTGCCTCACATATTACAAGAAAAAGAAAAATCCATCTAATTCCTTTCAGATTAGTGCATTTGAATCACCGGACAAGGTGATTTTGCAAATCTATTTTTTTTTAATATTGTGTCCTCTATCTAGATCTTTAGAACCATGTTGTTAAGTTTTATTCTAAGCTAGTATTTTCTGCTGAAGAGAATTCTTTGCTAGTTTAAGTGTGCCATGACAAAGCATTGTTTGGCATCTTTAATAGGTAATTTGCATCGATCGTTTTCTGCAGTTTTAAGGATCTGAAAATGGTGGGAGGTCATTACTCTGGTTTATATTGCTTTATATTCTGAAAAACGTCTGTGCTTATCTTTTCTGCCCTCTTTGAAAATCCTCATGGCAATAACCCTGTGCATCATGTCTTTTGTATGTTCTTTTCTTTGCTTGGTGTAGTTATGTTTTATGGACATTGTATTGTGGCAAGAAATGAACAAAACATGATAGTTAAAGAAATTTTGTTTGTCAATTGAGTCCTACATTCTGAAAGAAATCCCATTTGTTCATTTGAGCCGCTTGGCAATGTAAATTTGCATCTTCATGAGATTTTTTTTCGATCTTTTAGTGCCATAAGGAATTCTAAAAGTGATTAATCCCTTCATTATTCTCTGCTGTGTTGAATTCTTCCAGAGATTCAGAAAGGAGGACATGCAACTGTCGGGATCAGATGCATTTATGCGGAGGTCAAATTCTTTACAAAGAGTAAGTACTTGTTAGTCTTGCCGGTTTCTGGTCTTTGAACTAGCCCAAAGCATCTGCATTTTGTAAACTACCTATGATGATTTCTTGTATAGTAGGCTGGTATTCTTCAGGAACCGCATGTGAGAACATTCAATTACAAGAATCTGATTGACTGTACAGTGTGCTACTATGAAGTAAATGGCTGTTATTTCCTTTTGTTCTGTGGTTAGACTAGTATGTCTGCATTATGTAATAATCTTTGCAATGGGTTGTGGTTGCCTCAAAAGAATCCCCTTTCTAATTTGGATATAAAGTAAGAATATGATTGCCAATGTATCGTTGGTGAAAGTGCTTTATCAATGCTTTTGACTTGGACCATAGTAGCTTTAAGATGTGCTTTTTCGCTACTGTAAGTTGTTCATATTTTAGACATCTGAGTAGATCATGGCTCTTCTGTACGGACCATTGCAGTTCTGATCTGGCGTGAAACTACAGAATCTGCTTGATTTATCTTTAGTTAAGTTTCAGAGAACCAACTTGGTGCAAGCAAGTTGGCTTTTTCTTGTCATCTAGTCTTAAACAACATATTTCTTTGTAGGCTGAGCAAAGAGCGCGTGAAGAAAGTGAAAAGCTGAGGCAGCAAGAGCGTGAGCAAATTGCAGAAAAGAGAAAGCAAGATTTGGTTTGTCTTTTCTTTTTATGAAGTTATTTTACATCAGAAATAAAGAGAAGAAAAGTGCTTGGTTCTTGTCTTGCTAGTTAATGAAGCATTTGACATTTACTCTCTTTTGTTTACTACCTCTATTCGCATCAGACTCTTAGGGCACGAATTGCTGCCAAGGCAGAAGAAAAGAAGTTGGAGTTGCTGTTTTTGCACTGGACTGAGCACCAGAGAAAACTTAGCAATTTTATAAGGTTGGTTGCTCACATTCCTGGAATACCATTATAATGTTCTTTCATTATGATTGATTTCATCTAAGTCATCCTGGGCAGGTACTTCAATCGTCCTTCCATATCTCTCACTAAGTATTGTATTCATGGTTTCTAATTATTTCCCCTGCTGCAGGTTATTTTTCCTTTTGGTCCAAAAGTGTCCCTATTCACAATTTTATTGAGACGAAGATAAGTTTCTGTTCATATGATGGCCGTGATAAAGCAACTGGATGCTGAATTTCTGCTTTCATTGCCATAGGTAGAATAACTCTTATTTGCTTGTTGTTTTTTATGTGCTTAATGGGTGGTGCTCTGCGTATGTTGCAGGACTAAAACAAAGCCGTCCATTTATTATCTACCTGCAAAACCATTGGAGAAAGATGCAACCTTGATCGAGCAGCAAAAGGAGCAGGTTGGTTTCTTTCTGCTCTTATTCTCAAGGAAAGTTGAGGCACATGTGCATCTATAGAGATACATAGGTATTTTGATCTGAATATGTGCACTAATACATAGTGCAGAGGAAATGGGTTCATCATTTTGTCGGTGTTTACAAGAACAGGAGAAAAACCTAATGTTTTCCTCTCCCATTACATGTCAACAAGTTGTACAAGGCAAAATTATGTCTGCATGCCCTTTTTCTCCATTCAGTCCTTTTGGCGTACATCATTAATCTGTGCTATCTGTGAAACAGGATTTCCTGGAGTGGAAGACCGTTAGGCGACAGGAACTATCTGAATATCAGAAACAGATTGGGGATCAGTATATTGCAAATGTTGAGAAGCAGTTGGAGAGGTGGCAAAATGCAAGGAAAGCGAGAAAAGCAAATGACGATCTGAACTTACAGGAAACGATGGATAAAGAGCTGGAAACCCACAGGCTGGAGCATGGACCCAAGACCAGAAAAATCCCTGGCGCAGGTAGTAACGAGGATGAGGACGTTGAAGACATTAACGTTGGAGAGGATGACCTGATGGACGATGTGCTGGATGTCGACGAGAACCACCGCAGAGGTGATGAAATATCCAAGGCTGAAGCAGGTAATACCAGTCCACAACCCGATAATACTAATCACTAGCTAATGAAGCCAGCATCTTTCCGTGCCGTTTCCCTCCAAGTAATTCCCTTTCATTGTGCCTTCTGTTGATTTGCTAGGTACTTTTTTCATAGTGTTTGTATTGCTGCTTTATTTTGTCTAAGTTCCCCCTGGATATGAAATATGCCTGGTGTATCTTATGTGAGATTTAGATCAAACCGATACTTTCATCGGTGTGAGATCGGAGTTATTTTCCGGAGCCATCAGTTGCATCTCGATGTGAATGGGCATCGTACTTTTGATATCAAAGTTATCCTTTTTGCGAGCATTCTCTCTCAACGATGAAGCTTTACATGAAGAACAAACTCTCTCGGACGATGCAACCCCGTCGCAATTTCTGGGTCTGTCTTGATAGTTGACAAGAAAAGTGCTAGTTTTTTAAGTGCAGGCGGTATATGAACCTAATGTGAATTCACTGGCAAGCCTCTTATGTTGCCATTCCTGCTTTCTCACAGTACTGAGCGTTCAATTGCCTCCTCTCTTCCATCTTTTATTGAGCTGACAGCCCGCCATTCCCTTACCAGCAACGCCGACATCTTTCGGACCTTCGCCCCTTCTTTCCCCATTCCTCGTGCAGGGATCTGATTGACGGGTTTCGAATCCTCTGCCATTTGTTTTTCGGTTGCAACACGAGCTTGTTTAGTCGTACAATCTTCCGGTCGATCGATACGGCGTTGGAGTGGCTTTGCATTTCGCATTTTGCTTGGACGTTTGATATTTCCTATGTTGGCTGGGAAGTAGCTTTGCCAATCGCGCATACATTTTCGATTCGAAACCAAAATGTCTCTGCCCGGCGCTCGCGGATCAGCGCCACAACTTCCTTTTATTAGATCGGCTGAAGCGAATTAATCAAATGTACCCAGAGGACTCTGGCCGTCGTTATGAATATCATCACAGGAGAAGATCTGAGAGACACCCTCATCTCTCCCCTGAATGGTTTTACATGCAAAATCAAACATGGAATTTTAGAAAACGTAATTACGAAAACACGGCTCGTGAATTTTGACTCGCGTCGTACGCGATATTAGACACGAAACGAATCGAGGGGCGACGAAAGCGATTTGAAGCCGCGAATCGCAAGCTTTCTAATGAAATTTGCCCTCTATTGTAATCAGAAATTGCTATGCACAATTGGTCCTCCGTCACCAGAAAAACAGGGAAATTGTGAAAAGGGCCCAAAGAAAGATCAAATCTAAGTAGAACTCGGCCAAAAATTGACAATAACAAGTGGTACCGTCGCCGGCGGCGTGATGCACCCCCCATTATCCGGCGAGCCGTCAAGCCAAAAGGGTATCGTCGTCCCAAAACTCGTCATCGTCGTCGTCAAAGACTTCCTCAATGGACATGGTTTCCTTGTCGAAAGGCTCGGATATCTCGAGTGAACCCTCTCGTTTGCCCCCGCCGTTGAACAGTGGCGTCATTGTCGGCGCCGGATCGCCTGGAAGCCCATATCTTCCTCTCCTGTCACCGTCGTCGCCGCCCTCACCCATTAGAGCAACGGAACTAATCTCCGCCGGGGCGGGCAAAGGTGCCGACAAGGGTTGAATCTCCGGCGCTGCGTATGGCGGAAACTCCGGCGAGGGCGAATAGCGATCTTGCGATTCCGGAGGCGAGGAATCAGTGAGGTTGGCAGGGCGCTGACTGGAACGATCATTCACGTGGCTGGCCGGCGAAGCAACCTCGGGGACGCGGAAAAAGATCGAACTGGGGATCCGGCGAAGCACCGGCTGAGGAGCACCGCCGTCCATGGCTCCAAACTGAGATTGGATGCTAAGAGCGCCGCGGAGCCCGTGCACCGCCACGTCGCGGCCATAGAAAACCCCGAGCACCGCCAGCTCGACGCCATCCACGGCGATCGCGTCGGAATGCTGGCCCACGGTCACGCGGAGAGACCGCGAGGGGAGGAGGGTCGGGACCACCATGGCGGCGGCGGAGGAGCGGACGCGGCGGAGGTCGGCGGCGGAGAGGCGGCGGGGGACGGCGTGGGAGCGGAGGACGGAGAGATAGGCCGGGGCGGGGAGGGCCATGCCGAGGGCGAAGAGGGCGGAGTCGACCGGGGCGAAGATGGTGGCGGAGGCGGCGGAGAGGAGGTCGAAGCGGAGGTCGGAGGCGGCGGCGGCGTTGGCGGCGAGGCGGTAGCCGCGGGAGCGGAGGGCGGCGAGCGCGGCGTCGAGCTCCTCGACGGGGACGGAGGCGGCGCCGTCGGGGAGGCCGAGGAGCGCGAGGGCGAGCGTTCCGACGAGGAGGAGGGCGAGGGCGGCGGTGGCGGGCGGCGCCGCCATGTTTTTCTCGAAGCTCTTTTTCTTGGGGAGAGTTCGAATCGAAGATGGAAGGAAGGCGATTCGATTTGATTGGCTTGGATTCGGTTCGACCCGACTTGATTCAGTTGTGTTGGCCGTTGTTGGGTCGGTTCGTTCGGTTTTTTTAGTGGATCCGGAGCTTCTTTGCATATGTCTGGCGGGAAATGGAATTTTTTTTTAATTTTTGTTTATAATGATTTATTATCGAGATTTTCATATATATATTTCGATCGCCCGTCTTTTTTGAGGGTATGAGCTTGAATTCCGGGAGAGTAGCCGGATTTTTTAAGGTGGGAGATGCGATTACGCGAGTAATATGATCGATCGATCGGTCGGTCCAAATCCTCGATATGACCGACATATGAAATGCTTCCGGGGATTAGTGGGCTAATCACCAATTAATTAGCCCCATTAAACAGAGCTGGGATCTGGGCCAGGACCAAAAGAAATGGTTTGCAGGGCCGAAGCTGAAGGAGGTCGAGTCGATAAACTATCGGCACTAATCAATTGGCGTATTCGATGCATGATTATAAAAAATTGGATGCAACTAATTGTAAAAATCACTAATAGTTTCTAAGAATTTATTCTTTTTTCTAGGTTGGGATAGCTATTAACTAAGTGGCTATGAAATTCTCATAAATTATTTTTGTAATATGCTATGCGTCGCGTAGTTGGAGAATGGTCGTAGCCCCTATTGGCCCCCAATTCGTCATCGCATCAGACGAATATTGCGGATCGACAGCGTCGGCCTAGTGTCCATATTCCCAAATACAAGGTCATGTGCTGGAATGGATGGGGATCCGTTTATCCTTGGCACCTTTGTGAAACTAGAGTGACGGGGCTCATCTACCTCGAATCGATAAATCGCAAGTGATCCCGACTGTCGAGAGACAACTTCTCTTCAGTCTAGATTCGAATGTTATGTAAAGATTAATATGACTCTTATGGTGTCCCTCAAAAAGTATTTGGCTAGTTTTCTTATCACGGGAGCGATTGATTCCAAAAGGGATCAATTATCGATCTAGAACCAAAAATCGGCTTTGTGACCCCTGATTTCAAAAGATTAGAATTACGAACCGAATTGGACAGTTCTGGAATTGACGATTCTCGGTTTTACTTGGGAACCGGCTCATTTGATGGTTTGGATAGAAACCAAAACATTAGGATAAAAAAGTTACACCTTTCCTCCACAAGAATATTTGTTAGTTAAGTATTTGTATTATCTAACCATGTTGTAGATCATGATTCAATTCTTGATAGGTGCCAAGTTTTTTTCTTCTCTTTCAAAACCGGTTTAAAGCCTTTCAACTCGAGAACCGAACTGATCCCGCGCCGGTTCTAAATTCGCCGAACAGAACGTCGACCTAATTCTTTCGAGAACCAGCCACGAACCAGTCGATCCAGGGCCGATTCCAGGTCCGACTTCTCGGATTGAGCCGGACCCGGCGCTCGCCCCTATCCCTATCCCTCCCGACCCCTCGCGGGGGGGCCTGCGAACACCGGCTCCTCGGTGCGTGAAGGGGCGCGTGCCGCTGGGAAATGGTCGTCGCTTCGGGCGGAAGGAACGCGCCACGCGGGCGGGCGGGAGGGAATATGCCTTTCGGCAAAAGTTCCGTCCAATCGCCGCCGTCCGCCCGACCACGTCCGATGTCACTTTCATTTTGGTTTATTTTCGCACGAAATGAACGGTGATGGGGCTTGCGTTAACAACAATGTCCGCGAAAAGTCAAACCTCCAAAAAGTCAACACACACTTTCTACTCTGTTCCTACTTTGTCTCGTCTCCCTTGTCCTTATTTCACGCTGCCGCCATAATAGAAAGGGTCGAATGACCGTTCTGTCCTCCCTGTAATTTCCATCTCCTAATCCCACTTTCCTGTACGCCGCCTTTCGTTCTTTGATTAAGGGGCCGTCTGTTTCGCGTAAAAATAAATAATTTAAAAAATATTATCTTGAAAAAAATTACTTACATCGCTTGCAAAAATGATTGGGCGAAAAATATTTTCGCCGTCCAAGAAAATGTTAAGATATAAATGATATTCGCCGACTAATTATTTCAAGCGATTACTTTTAGGAAAATAACAGGGCATAAGTTCTGTTTGATTATTTGTATGTCCAGCCAATAGATTGAGCCGATAAATGGGACGGATACGTCGGCCCAAATGTTTAATCTGATGGATGAAGGAAAGCCGCGTGCGTATGAAGAGCATCCGCGCCGGAGTTCCCGATATCTACAGCTACGAAGCAGAGGATTCATACTTCGCAAGGCATCGGGAATCCTACAAAACCCTTCGGCTTCACAAATTTCAAAAGGTTAAAAACGATGGTAAAGTCATGAAATCTCCTTCCTTTCTTTTTGCTAAGCAACAAATTGTCATATTACCCAAAGAAAAAAGTTCTCCCATAGCGCATTATTTTCCGGCTTTTCCAAAATGGGTAATATAAAGATCTGATTTTTTACTTACGCTCAATTTGAAAGAAAAGAAGAAATGAATTAATTAAAAAAAAAGTAAAAGAAAAAGGAAATTTAAAAGATGAAACGCGCTTTTGCCTTTAATGTGTTGCACCGTAAAGAGACGGACATCACCGGCTTGGTGTCCTATCACCAAATCTGCCGACCTGGTGTAAAACCAACTTTGACGAGTACCACCAAAGATCGTGGGGGGCCCCCTGCCGCCCCAGCGAAATTACCGTCACGCCCTCCCGTCGATCGGGGGCCCTCTGCCGGCGCGCCACGTGGCGCTCCCCCGTTGGCGCCGCCGCCTATTCTCAGCCGCCGATGCACGAGAATCGAGATCTGTATCGACGGTCGGAATATGCCCGAGACGCTCGTCGAAATCTCACGGGTCATGAAAGGCCCTTCCCATTTTAACGAGGCGAGTGACGTTCCATCGATGATTCAAGCGACATAATTTCGACGGCATTGCTCCGCTGGAAGTGGCTTCATGATGTATGCTGAATCGGATCCGAACAAACGGAGGGAAACTCGGGGCGGTTACGGGATGCTTACCAAATGTCTCCGACGCTCCGTGAGTACATCTCAAGGCTACGGGCACCAACAAAAAGGGACGTCAAAAGTTATAAATGATCATTTGCATCGCTCAAATCCGATACCCAATACCGATCTTCTCCTCAATACTATCTAGCTTACCTATCTTGGAGCGACTTTTACTCTAATCTCGCGCTTTGAATCTTACTAATTTTAAAGCGCTCGAAAATCATCGAAACCCTCGGAATGTCTGAGGCCTAAACGATTCCCTTAAGTCCGACCCAAAAAAAAAAAATTGATTTTCTTGAATATTTTTCAAAATTCAATAATATTTCTTATTTTTCGAAAAAAATATGAATAAAAGACCCCAAAAAAAAAAGAAAAAACAGGGGGCGATAAAATCGGCAAAGAGTAACAGTGCCGTTCTCTTCTCGTGTTCATTTTATATATCATTTTCAGTAAAACCAGAAAAAACACTTCCTCCCTCTCTCTCTCTCTCTTCTCTCTCCTTCCTGTTCCAACTGCCCCCGCGACTCTTTCTCTCTCTAAGAACCTCCGCCGCAGCAGCGGCCGCGACGATCGGCCGGAACCGCCGCCGGAGCCCGGATCGCCGCCGCCGGGTTAGCGGTCGTTGGGGGGACGAGGTCGTCGGGGAGGAGGGCGGTTTCGCGCCGAGCCGGGAGAAGCGGGAATCGGGAAACCGCCGGCCGAGAGACCCGGAGCCTTTTGCGGGCGGGGGTTGGGGGTGGGGTGAGGTGGGGTGGGGGTGGTCATGGCGTCGTCGAAGGTGATGACCTCAACGACGTCGTCGAGGGCGAATCGGGATCTGCCGCTCCAGTCCACTATATCATCCTCCCTCTCCGCTCTGATCTCCGATCTCCAGGACCACCACAACGGCAGCCACGCCGCCGCCGCCGACGATAGCTCCGGCGCGGTCAACATGGACGACCTCCTCAAGAACATCTACTCCGACGACAGTCCCGCCACTCCCGAGCCCTCGCTGTACCACCACGTCGGCGGCGACGGCGGCGGCGGTGTCGTCGGCGACGGTGGCGCGTCGCTGCCGGGCGGCGGGGGCGACGCCGGAGTCGGGAAGACGGTGGACGAGGTGTGGAAGGAGATCGTGGCGGGGAGCGACGGGGCGAGCGGCAGGGGAGAGGAGGAGATGACTCTGGAGGATTTCCTGACGAAGAACGGGGCTGTGAGGGAAGAGGACGTGAGGATTGGTGGTGATGGTGGTGGGGGTGGGGGAGCAGGGGGTTACTGCGGGGACGCGGCGGGGGATTTGAACGGGCATTTGATTCAGGTGGGGGGGACGGTGGGCGTGGGTGTGGGCGGCGGCGTTGGCGTTAGTAACAACAATGGTGGAATTGTGGGGAGAGTGGTGGTCGGGAGAGGGAAGAGGAGGGCCGTGGAGGAGCCGGTGGATAAGGCCACGCAGCAGAAGCAGAGGAGGATGATCAAGAACCGAGAATCGGCGGCAAGGTCCCGAGAACGCAAGCAGGTAAATTTCATTTGGTCTTCCCCCTACTCTTCTATGCATTTCTTGTTTCCTCCAATTTCACATGATCCAGTGTTGGTGAAAAACGAGTTTCCTTAGTCTGGTTAGCGTGGCTTTCGTTGTGAAACAGTGGCTCAGAGCAATCCAGTGACATTTATGATAACTGGTCCGACTCGCGTTGTTTTGTTTCCTATTTTTTCTGCTATTAACTCTATGTACAATTGATGACAAGTTGTTTGTTGGTTGATGTCATTGTCTTCACCATCTCTGTTTGTCTTTCTTCCATCTGTCACGCACATAGTAATGGCCTGCATTGCCACAGACATTGGGACTGTTAAAATTTGTTCCCTTGTCTAAGGCGAATGGTTGCTTAACTCTGCGGTTGTTTTCATTTTAGCAAAAAGAATCCCGACATGTTTCTCTCTGCTTTTGCAGGCATACACAGCTGAATTAGAATCTTTGGTGACCCAATTGGAGGAGGAAAAGGCACGCCTTTTGAGGGAAGAGGTATGCTTTGTCTAAATCAGGTCTCCCCTTGATTCTGGCCATCTGATCAAATTGAGTACAAATATTTTATACAAAGTTCATTGGGCGGCTCTTTTCGTTTAACTGACGGCAGCTCTTTTCACAAACGTACTGTAAAGGGTAGCACCTAATGGGCTAATGGGATTATGATCCGTCATCGGTTTCTTATTCCATCAGAACTTCAGTCAATAGAAACCATTTTTTTAGCAGCCTCAGCAGAAACAGACGGTAACGCCATGATGATTAATTTGTTGTAAATGGGGAAGGGACGTGCGGATTTTGTTTCCGTAATGTATGAAAAAGAAAATCTTGAAATGGACGACAATTTATCTGGGAAATACAGAACCATCTTATGAGGTAGTAGCAATTAATGACTATGGCACTTGGAGAAACTCGGGACAGCCTTAGTTTCGAGTCATCTAGCGTTGGAGGAGCAATGTCTTTGGCCTGTCCCCTGTTGGGGACTGTGCGGTTTGGTTGGGGTGGAGTTCTGATTATCAACCTTCTTCCCTAATAAAAATAGAATAAGGGACTGTTTTAGCTTTGCAGGAATCTGCCTCCAATAAATATACTCTAGGTTAGGTTGTCTGCATCCATAACGTACTCATCATCGGTTAGTGATGATGAATCAGATGGAACTTTTTTCTCAAAAAGACCTTGCATGTAGATAAGTACGAGTATTCTTCATTGAGAGAGTTCTAAGAAGTCTATGCACTATATGCAGGCTGAGCAGAGCAAAGAGCGGCTTCAACAGGTAAATACCATGGCAATCTATGCTCATTATTTTAAGCTGGAGTTTTTTAAGACTCCGGGGTTGTCTATGTCTTCTTCTGCTTGACTTTCTTTTACAAAATGTTGGATAGTTTTCCCTGGTAAAAGGTGCAGCTAACTTTATTTTGGTGGACCTTGTAAAACGAAAATAATTGCATCGTAGTTAAGACAATTATTCAAATAGGGAAGTATAGGGCGATGGATAATGTGCTCAGAGGGTTTTTATACATGAAAATCAACAGTCTATGCTCTCTTATTGATGCTGTGGTGTCTTTCCTGAGAAAAGAAAAGACAATCTGTTGGTCCCTGTCTCCTTGATTCATGGTAATTGATTTAAAGACCCTTTGAGCAATCTATTATGTGTCATAAAGAAGCGATACCCTCTTTTGATATTTGAAAAGACTATTTTGTGCTCTATAAGAAAAACCTATAATGATGTGCCACTGTAATATTAAGTTTGTTTTCTCCCTTGCATTCATGGAATTTCTAGTATTTACATGATTGGGGCATGTGTTGAGAATTGCTAATATTCAGTGGTCAAGGCGTTACACTAATGCATTGACGAAGAATATATAGAAACTATATTATTTACAGGGAGGAAAATTAATTTCTCCTTGCGTTCACTGTATGGCAAGTTCTCACATCCTCTGAATTTTTTTTTTTCCAATTTTTGGGATTCTGTCCTAAGAAAAGAAGGTGCAGGATATACTTGATTATCTTGCGACTTTTGGTTGTCTTGTTTGTCTCCCTGATCTTGAAATATATCCTAGCACAAAGTTGTATCTCTTTACTCAACTTTTTGTAAATGGACATGATCTTTTCCGGTTTGGTTCTCTTGCGCAAGTCCAAAGTCAAATACATTCTGTTACTCTCTATCATCCCGCTCTCAATTGGTTTTCTTCTCCAGTCTGGGTGATGTTGCAGAGATAAACCTCACTCTTGTTTCATGCAGCTGGTGAAGAATCTTGTTCCAGTGGTCGAAAGTCGCCGACCACGACGCCCTCTCCGGAGGATCAACTCCATGAATTGGTAGACGTGCTTTCCGATGCCTGACCACTAACGGAGAGGTGATTGATTTACTTGACATGCCACCAAAAGGACTCAGATGATTCTCTGAGACAAGAGAATAGTGTGTGCAGATGATGGAGACAAGACGAAGTGGCCAGAGAAACATGATACTACTAATTTACATTTACTTTGGGGAGGTAGTTATTTCAGGAGCTCAGGAAGTTCATATTGTAAAGAGGAGCTTTTGTGCATTGTGCAGCCAGATATGTCATTGTCATTTTAGGTTGTTACTTCGATTATGTAGTAAAAATCGTGGTTATCAGTTTGACATAGCGTATAGCATGTATATTCATCAATATTTGCCCTCTCGCCAACTTTTATCTTTTTATATGTCCAATAAACTTTTTTAATAAAGGAAAAAAAAGCGGTTAAGAATCTCAAACTATGTCTCATGTGACACATTTACAAAAATCCCAAATTATGCGCGCTGTAGCACATCTACTCAAAATTTTTTTTTGTGACATAAAAAATCCTAAATTTATACTTATGCAAAACATTTACCTTTCATCAAGGTTTCATCGGATCATTTTCCAGCCAAAACAATGTCATTTGTCAACACTTGGGCATGTCAACACCGTTTGCTTGCTCTTCGATGTTTATGTATGCAGATTTTTTATGGTGCTTAATGTGTCACACTGGTAAAAGCTTGAAAGTTTTTGTATTACGAGAATAAATTATGGAAAATATGTCACAATAGGCATAGTCTGAAATTTTTTGTGGTTAATTTTCTTTAAAAAATTATGCTCAAAGTCCAACGTCGGAAAATTAAGACGACAAATCTATAAAATTGTGTTATAATAAAGTTTTCTCTAAATGTGCTACCTGAATCAATAAAATCGGGCTCTCTTCGTTGTGGGAAAAGGTTTTGATACTTTCTTCACAGAAGCAGCAAAACATATATGTACTAATTCATGGCCCCTTATTCTCCTCTCTCCCTCAATGTTTTACCCTTCAATTGCAACTCTTGTATTTAAGAAATACATTTTGTTTTAGCATCATAAAATAATTCAAATAGTTTCTTGTATTAGTTAGCAAACGAAAGTTTTTCCCGTTGTTTACATGCGTTGCAGAGATAGTATAACAATTACGGTACATAAAATATTATGTTGGTGAATTTCTTAATTTTATACTAATTGGTTTCTTTTGTAATCTGTGCGTCCTTTTTGTAACTAACGATACGTTAAAATAATGTTATATATGCTAAAATATTTCATGCTTCATTGCGATTATATTTTTGTTCGACGGTGTGCACAATTCAAGAGTAAACATATAGTAGATAATTCTTCATTTGAAGCAAATTGAGTGATCCCGACATCGACCGATACTCTCGATGATATTGAAGGAACAAACGAATATATCGGGTTTATCAACGTTTAACATTATTCTCCTTGACAGCGAGGGTTTTTGTCTGAGTTATGTTTGTGGATTTTCATACTTATACTCAACCAAGAAACGACAGATAAGGCGAGAAAGCCAATGGTCGTTAGTGAGACCAACCAAGGTGAGTGCCCTAGCGGTAAAAATGTTACTTATCTTTTACATGTTCACAAATTCGATTCACATTATGAGTGAACTTCTGAACGACTCATGTTGCATACCTTACTTTGATATATCTCGTGTGGATAGATTTCTTAAGTGCTAACATATTGGTGGACTGCGATGATAGGCTTGCCAATGTCGGAGCTTTGAGCCTAAGCTACCGTGTAGTAGCTAGCTATTGCTCAGATCGAATATTCTGTAGTGAGTGTGAGACTCTCATGATAACACTGGATTTCTAGTGCCAATCATTCCACCCCACCCCTTTGCAAATAAAGATAGACTGATATCGGGCGCGAATGGAAACTTATGGCGAAGTCAGTTGCATTCGGAGGATGATCATGATGTAGCATTCCTCCAATGGAAGATGGAGAGGTTATGAAAACCAACCATAACTTCTTCTTCTTTTTTTTTTGTCAGAACCAACCATAATCTTAAGTACTTTTCTTTAAGATGTGCAAATATATATTTATCTCGGGATTCCAGGTCGTTACAGATGCTCCGCCCATTGGCTAGAAATGGGCCTGTGCTTGCCCCGCGGTGATTTTTTTTATCGGCGCGACGAGGTCGGGGAGGGGTCAATTGCAACAACATTGATTCACAATAGGGGGCATGTGAGGGGTCTTTTTGCAAAAAAGGGCGACCGATTGGAGGGGCCTCTTTGAAAAAAATGGCGACAAATTGGAGGGGTCTTCTGGAAATTATCCAAACTCGTCACAACCATGCCCATGGATCATCTCAGGCCCGGCCCACCAGCCCATCTGATCGGCCTCTCCATCTTCTTCGCTTTCCAAAGCTCGGGAACCACGCACGGTAGTTCTCCACCGTTTCACCGTGCACGGGAGTCTCACGATTCGGTGGATGTTGGGTTGGCGACATCGTCGTTGATCTGAAGGGTCATCTGTCGACTTCGACATCAGTAAGTAGCTCTGTCCTCCCCTTTGTAACACTGTCGTTGTCCGACACGGTGGGCGCGTGTAGCGTGTCTGCTTTCCTCCTTTGGATTTGCGGTTTCTTTGATATTGGGGCTGCTTGTTTTCTCGCGTTCGCTGCGCTCTTCGGTAACGATGGGGTCTTGCCTCTCTCTCTTTCTAATTTTGTGTTTTCCGAACGTTAAAGCGTGACGTGATTTGTTGCGTGTTGCGCCGGTGCCTCGCGTGTTGTTTTGTTTTCTTCTGTTTGGAGCCTACTCTTGCTCGCCATGTGTTTGTGAAAATGTCAGATGAAGAATTGACACTTGTTTCCTGTATAGATGGGACGTGCGTGGGGCAAAGGCCCCTTGCATTGAAAATGCTCTTTCTTGTGCAAATTTCTTAAAGTGACATTCTTTCAGAAAAAGCTCCCGTGGGTCAGCTTTCTCCCCTTTTGATTTGCTGTTCTTTGATTCACGGTTGCCGGTTTTCTTTCATCCGCAGCGGTCTTGGGTAATGGGTCTTGCCTCTCTCTTTCTAATTTTGTATGACATAATTCGTTCCATATTGCTCCGATGCCTCACGTGTTGTTTTGTTTCTTCTGTTTGTAGCCTTCTCTTGCTCACCATGTGTTTGTGAAAATGTCACATGAATAGTTTGCGCTTGTTCCTTGTATAGAAGAGACGTGTATGGGTCAAGGGGTCGCTTGTAGCTTGTCTCAGAGCTGGACCCGTTTGGCATTAGAAAATGTTCCTCTTTCTCGTGCAAATGTCTCAAAGTAACGTTTTTTGAGAAAAAGCATTCCTAGGTATTGGTGGGCATTAGATTTGAACGTCATACTGTCTTGATTCACTGAGCTAGGTCAGAATTTGGAAGGGGGGTCATGGGCTTCATGGTGCCAAAAACAGCTTGTGATTTTGTTGGAATTTTACGGCAACTGAATTGGCGAAAGCCAAATATATGGGCTGTGGATACAAAATAAAGGGTGATCAATTTTGGTTGACAGAGTCAAAGCTCAGTTCTTTTGTTGAAGTAAATAATGAGTTTGTGTCTGTGAGGGAAAATGTGGCTAAATTTACTCATATGGAACTTCTATCAGTGATTTAGGAAATTAGAGATGTTACATGGTTTCTTTTTCTCCCTGATACATTCGCACGATTATCCTCCTCATCAGATCTCTAGGGCAACCTTTGAAGCTGAAAATTGTAGCAATTACTGATAACTAGTCAATATCGTGATCATCAATATTTGGAAGTTCAAGCAAATTACCATTTTTTTATAATCTTTTTTCTTGTCTATTGCTCAAGTAGAAATGACCTTACTCTATTACATTTTTCTCTGATAAATCTAACGATGTCATTTTTGTCAGGAACGTCGATGGAAAATCTTGAGGTTTTGAGGGGTGACAAGCTCATATTGAGAGGCTTGTTGTTCCATGGTTTCCATGGGGTGAAGCCAGAAGAAAGGAAACTGGGTCAGAAATTTTTGATTGATGTAGATGCTTGGATGGATCTGCAGGCAGCTGGAAAATCAGACGAGTTATCTGATACTGTCAGTTACACGGACATCTATCGGTGAGTCAGTTCATGCTTATTTAGTAGCGATAGTCGAAATGCCTTGGAGAATGTCATCCATGTGAAAGTTGATTTGCTTGCCAAGTTCTTGCCATCAAATGTACTTACATGTTATTTTTTGATTGAACTTGTTAAAGTGGGCCATGATTTTGGTTGATCGCGAGAAATGATTATATAGCAAGAGTGCACTCCTCCTTTAGCAGCATTATACTTATCTTGAGTTGATTGATTGTCTGAACTATTCCCAGTTTAACTTTCTGTATAATTTACAGCTTAGTTAAGGAAGTTGTGGAAGGACTGCCCAAGAATCTTTTAGAGGCGGTGGCAGAACACATCGCGTCCACTACCTTGGCGAAATTCCCCCGGATAACGGCTGTTCGAGTGAAAGTTGGGAAGCCTCACGTTGCAGTTCCTGGTCCTCTTGATTATTTGGGCATCGAGATAACAAGGTACAGAAGTTCTTCTAAACCGGATCAAGTTGTTTGTGCATAATGTGAAAGGGTCTTCATATTCAATAACCCTGCTTCTATTCCGGGTATATTGGATTTCGACTAGTTTTCTGTAATGTTAATTTTCTTTCAGAGGCAGATTACTCGAACTGAATTTTTCAATGTATCTTGATGATCGACTCATCGTTACTGGGAAAAAATTACATCACATGTGACTATCGGATCCATCTCGATAAGTCTATCGTCCTTTGCTCATTACTAATCTTTGAGGAACCGGAGCTGCTGAGCATTAGAGACTTGTATAACTAGCCTTGCTCAATCCCCCAAATGAACTAGAGCTCTGTATACACTGGCTGTTCAACGCATTCCCAGGACCAACTTTTCTTTTGTCTCTTCTTTTGCCCCTTTCTGGGGAAAAAGGGTTAGGGCAAATTTTTGGCCGATAACTAGCAACATGAAGATGAACTCTAATACTCCAATTAATGGGTCAGGGCAAATTTTTAGTTCCTTCAAAAGGAAAAAAAATATATCGAAAATTAGGAGACGTAATTTTCAGATTGTTTTGAAAAACGGGTCAATGCGTCGACGTTTTTATTGGCCAGTATTTCAATTACTGATCGTTCGGGATGCAAGTCCGCGTCCCATGTCGCTTCGCTTCACGTATATCGAATCTCGATATCGGCATTCGGACCTGAAATGCTCTTAAAACGTCGAGACATCCGTCCATTTGATTCTAAAGATGTCATGTAGACACGATTGATGTCAAAACAATAATGAAACCTCAATACTGAAATTTGACGGGTTGTGGCCGTTATTTCGGTTGGCGGAATCCGCCGCCCTCTTTCTCTCTCTCTCTCCTCCCGGCGAAACACAAACGTGGATCACACGGACACACGCGAAACATTCACAAAACTCCAACCGAAACAAACGACAGAAACCCATCGTTTTCAAAAGAATACCTTGTTCTTTTTTATCATCGTAGGCGCCACCGGCGGTTAACATCTTCGTAGGGGATGCCGACCGAGCCGGAAATCGTGTAATCTTTCGCGTGGATTTTATGAAACGAGCGTCTCGAAAGCCGCTCACGACGTAAAATTGAGGGAATTCTTGTAATTTTTTAACTACCAAAAATCCCAAACCGATATATTTACGATAAATTTACCATATGTTAAATTAGATTATTATTACGAAAAATTACGAATTGGTAAATATGTGAATAACGAAGGGGTTAAACCCAAAATCAGTACACCCGTCAGCTGTCACACGTCACCTAACTTAACAATTTGACGATAAAATTTAATAAAAACTAACGGAAGGTAAATTATATAATTAGGATAAATTTGTTTATTAATTGGGAATTTTTCATGATATTAACTCAGAAAAAGGGAAAAAAAATGTCTGAAAACATTTCAAGAACTATATTTCTCCCACCACAACAACAAAGAACAGTTCAGGGTGGGAGCCAAAACCTCTGCAACCTCTGGTTTCCCATGGCTCCGTCCTCCCTCTCCTCCATCTATCTCTCTCCCCACCACCACCACCATCCCATCCCTTTCCCTTGTCTGACCCCCAGACCCACCTTCGCTCGCCTCCCTCCTCTTCGTCGTCCCCGGACCCTCGCCTTCTCCTCCAAACCCTCCTCCACCCACAACCACAACCAGACCAAGAACGACCCCCAGGACCAGACCCAGCACCAGGACCAGGACCAGAGCCGGACCCAGAAGCCCAATTCCTCTCAGCCGGACAAGAAGTCGTTCGCCATCGCCACCGGCGAGCTCTTCCTCGGCATCGCTTCGCGGCTGATCAAGAGCCGCAACAAGAAGAAGGAAGCGGGTGCCGGGTCGGGGACCGGCCTCCTCAGGGACGGTCCGAACGGAGCGGCCGTCAATGGCGGCGGGAGGGGCGCGGGGTACGACAGAAAGGAGAGGATCGGTATCGTGATCGAGGACGAGATAGAGCCCGGCGTGATATGGGAGCAGAGGGTTAAGGATGTGGAGGCAGAGCAGAAGAGGAGAGTGGTGACGAGTCCCGGGTTCAGCTTCTCGGCCGCCGGGCTCTTGTTCCCGTACCATCTCGGTGTCGCCCATTTCCTCATCCAGAAGGGCTATATCAAGGTTCAATTTTTAGTTTTCTAGACTCTGGGATACTTTGGTCCTTTGGTAGATTTTTCTTGGCTGATTGGGGATAAAAATGATATCGAAGCGTGCCTATTGGAAGTTGAGTTAGGTCTGAAGTTTGTTTGTGGCTCATGTCTTGGTCTGGTTTGACCGAATTCATAAGATGACCCTCTTCATGGGTTTGGTGTACCTGTAACTAATCAGGACGATGAGGAGAGTGTACTTGCCAATCATTTGCAAGATGATCCTCTTGTTGGGTTTGATGTGCCTGTAACTAGTCAGGACAATGAGGAGAATGAGGAGAGTATACTTGGGATTGGCGATGTCAAATGTTTCAATCTGTAGCCCTGTTGGTAATTTCTGACACTATGCTATCGCCTGCTTTTATTTAACCACATGTGGGCATTTAGATTGCAATACCATGTCGGGTCCAAGTTAAGGTGTATAGCAGATATATTTTTCAATTCCTATATTGCAGTTGAATTCAGTCCACGGCCCAAATGCCACGGAGCTATTAGGTGAATCTATTAATTACCAAGTCATATGGGAATCGTTCATTTCCCCACTAGTCTATCCAGATCATATGTCACTCATTAAATCTTATAGTTTCTATCACGATTGTTCATGTATGGTATTGTAATAGTTTCATGGTAAGCTACTAGCATAAACTTATGGTATTGTGACAGTTTCATGGTAAGTTACTTACATAAACTTATCATCTATTGTATATATGACAATTTCCAATTTACTAAAATATACACTGGTTGACAACCTTCTATTACTGTTAAAGTCCAATTTTTATTTGAAACATATCATGTGTTTTTGAATATCTGATCAATAGGGATTCAGGACATATATGTGAAAGACATTATTCTTTTGTCATTGGCCTCCAAACTGCTTAATTAAGTACGAGGGTTTTGTTAATGTCACCTCATGGAAAAATGAGGTACTTTAGGGAATCTTGTTTTGTGATTCGTGTTAAATCATCCTTTTGCGTTCCATATCTCGTTGTAACATCTTTGGTATGCACTAGTAGAGTTGACAACTGTTAACTTTTAAGTCCTTTATTGTGTGTTCCTTACTCTATATTACCGAGGAGGAGCATGTAGTTTGCTAATATTGAGGATTGTTAAAAGATTATAAATTTCAATCAGCTAAAGTTTAACTTCTTTCTCTGGCTTTATTTCATATATTGTTTGTAATTAGTAGCTTCCCTATGCGTTGCACGGGTCTCTATGTATATGTGATGTGACTTGTCCGCTTAGTAACTTAGTCTTAAATGAGGTTAAAGATTTTCTATTCTGTCTCAGGAAACCACACCATTGGCTGGTTCATCAGCTGGTGCCATAGTATGTGCAGTGATTGCTTCTGGAGCCAGCATGGAAGAAGCTTTGATGGCTACTAAGGTTCTAGCTGAGGATTGTCGGAGAAGAGGAACGGCTTTTCGGCTCGGGGTATGGACCGTATTTGTTCACATGATACTTCTTTTATATTATTAATCTCCATATCATCTTTCCCAAGAATTGTAGGCATAACTTTTACTCAGTTATCTTGTTAAATGAGTAGTCAAAAAGTTTGTGCAGACTTAAAAAATACTGTGTTTGTTTATCCACTGTTTCCGCAGGATTCTGTTTTGTCGTCAAAGACATTTTAGCCCTGCAGAAATGGCATTCATTTGCATTAATATGAAATTTAAGACTCTTTTTGCCTTAAACATTGGCATTTCTTGTGCTCCTTGCGCTTAGGCTGTTCTTCGTGATGTGCTTGATAAGTTCCTTCCTGAAGATGCTCATACCAGGTCCAATGGAAGGGTCCGCAGTAAGTGCGAATTCCATTTTTCATTGTCTCTTCTCTCTCTGCCTGCTGTCCTGTATGCTCTATCTAGCACTTTTATGTTGTTGTGTAGTGGACAAAGACATTACGGCATTAGTATACTTTAATTGACAAATGACTATGCCGGAGCCTATCCTAACTTAATTCCAACTCTAAATGATCCTTGGAGTTATGGGCCGTCCCCTATTTCCTCTTATTTGTTTTCAAACTTTTATAAGCAGGTAGTCTTGTTTTAAACTGCTCTCTTTTCTCCCCTTTTTTGTCCATCCTGCTTCGGGTTGAGATTAGGATATGTCTCAATGGGCAAATCTTCTTGGCTTGTGGTACTTGGAGTTATGGGTCTGGGTTGAGATTAGGATTTGTCTCGATGGGCATTAAATTTCTAGTAATCACTGGCAATTCATAGCAGGAAACAGTTGCATATTTTGCTTCTTCATAGGAGAAGTCTTGAACTGAAGCTTATTGTTATAAGCTAGTGAAGTGGTATTCGTGACTGGAAGATGTGTTGTATGTTGCAGCAGTTATGCTTTTCTCTGGTAGCTGAGACTACTATGGATAGAAGTTTGTATCGTACTGTTAGAGGTTACAGGACTAGATTGGAAGGACTCTTGTCAACATTAAGCATCTGTATGCCATTAGAGGAACTTAACTAGTGGCCTATGTCTACGATAGTTCATGAAAGTCGCCACTTAAAATGAATCTTAATTGAGTCATTAAATTTTTACTTAAGTACTATTTGGAGCTTCTTCGTAAGATTTTGGTGTTGCAGTTGCTGTTACCCAGATCCTTTGGAGGCCTAGGGGTTTACTGGTGGATCAGTTTGACTCCAGAGAAGATCTTATCAATGCAGTAGTCACTTCTTCCTTCATCCCAGGGTGAATAGTTGCTAAATTTCTTTTCTTTGTGGTAAATTGCCTTTTCCAATGCATCTTATGGAGAGATATACTCTGGTGTAGATATCTCGCGCCGCGGCCAGCTACATTATTTCGTAATCGACTGTGCATTGACGGGGGTCTGACGCTGTTCATGCCACCTACATCTGCTGCTCGAACTGTACGTGCTTATGATATTATAATTCTTTAGCATCTAAAAGAGCAAGAGCTGATTTGTTCCCGAAAAATCATGTAAACATTTCTCTGTTTACCTGGCATCCAAAGTAACATGTTTCTACAACGTAGCATCTCACATATGAAACATGGTCAGGTGATGGAGACCTATTAGGGAGAAGGGTGGACTAATTACTTGGTTATGATCATTTAGGTCGATTCTAATATCTGCCATTTGGGAGTGGAAATGTCATGATTAGTTTTGGGAACCTTTAGCTTAGTGTCGATGCTTGCCTTGAGTTTTTCTCTTAACTTCCGTCAAGATGACTATTTATATGTTTATCCTTAAGGAGATGAACAACTTTTCGTTGTTTGGTAGTATGAAAAGGAGGATATAATAGTAGCAATAGCGCTATAGCGTGAAATTTTGTGAATGGCTTCAGCAGTTCCCTAATTTTTCTCATGCTTTCTTCTAGCAGTTTCCCCCTGTTGGTGAGTTTACCTTGACTTGTTTACCCTCTTCTGTGTAGTATTCTATTTTGTGTTTTTCTACCCTGGCCCATTTCCCTAATTGGTGACTGGTAAATGTGATTGACATGAATTCTCAGGCATGCTGTATACCTGTTCGGTAGATATATCTTCTTGTTTTCATGAACTTGGTTACTGGTAAAGTATCATTACTTCCTGTGCAGCGCATTCAAGCATCTTTTAAGGCAGATATCATTGCGTTTTTGGCCATAGTACTAGTATTGCAAATTGCATTCGCCAGTATAGGAAAGTGGCAAAGTCAATATTCTCCACAGTACTTTGGCAGAGCACCATTTGCCTGTATTTGGATATGATGTTTATTTCCGTTGGATGAGATGTTCCGTGATTTTCCAAGCTAGACCATTCAAATTGATTATGAAGTGACTCATGAACGAGTCGTTCTCATCATTGTTTTTCCCCCCACAGGTCAGAGTGTGTGCCTTTCCGGTCACTCAACTAGGTTTGCAAGGGATTGGGATCAGCCCAGATTGCAATCCAGAAAATAGGGCGAGCCCTAGAGAGGTAATCTTAGTTCCTGCAGTAAGTTTTGATTATCCATGGCGAAGATAACTGACAATAGGATTTTATCAGCTTTTCAACTGGGCGCTCGAACCTGCAGAAGATGATATCCTTGACCGGCTGTTTGAGCTCGGGTACCTTGATGCTGCAGTCTGGGCTGAAGACAACCCAGTTGCAGAAGTAGTTGAAGATGATTTTTCTTTGCTTGAAAATGGTTCTGCAGAGCACAGCTGATCGATAAGATGCTTGGACTAAGATCCTCATGGAAGATGCTAAGAATCGTGCATTATGGCTCACCCCTGTGAATCCAGTTGCATCATGCCTGACTAGTGGACGAGATCATTCTTCTTTCTTGTGGAGTAATACCAGAAGCAAATTGAGGGGGTAAAACCAAATAGCACATAAGCCTTGTACAGTAGTGGTAACATTGAGTTATCCACCCGTATATATATAGAAGCTAGTAAGAGGGATAAGAAGAACACGAGAATATCAGACAATGTAGGTTTATTTTTCAGGGAAAGCTCAATTTTTTTGAGTTGGAATTTAATTGTCCTCTGCATTTTTTTTATCTGCTTTCCATCTTCATTTTCTTTTTTAATGTGTAAGCCAAATTGATCTATCATCTGCAAGAGAAGGTTGAGCTCTTTTCTTGAATTTTTACTAGTAATGGACTTTGAGATTTTTCCCCACTTTGTTGATGTGTGATTTACTGCCTTTCTACACTTCAGTGGCAACAGAAATCTATTCGCGAGAGCCTTGGACCGTCTAGAGTTAAATGGAAGAATGTCCACTGTTGGATTAGATCAGATGACACAAACATGCAACTCTTGAATTAATGCTATGATAGTGCTTTCACGATCTTCTAGTGCCGGTGTGACGATTCTTCACTGCTGTATCTCAAATCTTTGTTCAAGCATTTTAATCTAGAGGGAAAATGACACATACGATCTCTAAAATTTAGGCAAATGTGTAATGTTGTGCTTAAACTTCTAACATGTTCAATATGATTCATGAACTATAGGTAAATGTTCAATATAGTCTTTTCGTTTGTTGAAACAACCAATCAAACATTATTTGATGACGTTGATTATTATACATTGAGAGCATCGTCTGAGAGAAGGAAGAAAAGATATCAGCCTTTTATTTTTATTTGATTTGTGGTTGGAGATTTCATTTTTAGTACTTCTGTGATTATATTCCACACAAAATTTATTTTCTTGATTTGAGATGAATATCTTTAGTAAACAATCCATGTGTAATTTTTTTTGGTCCACCATTCAAACTTAATGGATTGGAATCAACATTAGCAAATTTTGTTCACTTGAATTAATGGAAGGACGGCATTGAACATTTTTTCATAAAGTATAGTGACTAAATTGACTATTTACCAATAGTTCAGCACCACATTGTACAAATTAAAAATTTAGGAATGATATTGCACATTAAGACAAAATTTATGTATAATTTGTGTCATTTTTCCTGAACTAGGCATCAAACGAGCATTCGGCTTGTAAATAAACAATATGGCACTTCAGCCAAACGAGTTATCATTGTAGGCCTTACGTGATTATCCAGGCAAATTCGATAATTCCACTATTATCTCAGCCAATGGATATAATAGAGTTTTCAGGCCCCAATTTGATTCCTTTGCCGTTCCTTTTTGAATACTTTCTTGGTTTCATCATTTCTCATGGCGTTATTTTGGTTTATTGCTCCATCATAACATCACTTTCCTCTCCATGCTGTAGAACTAACATTGTCGTGTAGAGCTTGGAGGGTTGCATTGTCCCTTCTGGGTCAATTGTGTGGTTGTTGGCCAAAAAGGAAACTTGTGTGGTTGATTCTTGTGGTCAGTTGAAGTGCCATTAAATGAATTTCTTGCTCGAGTCTTCTTCTGTCTGCAGGCAATTCTTAATTGCACCGCAACGATGTTTCTCATGTAAAAGTATTCTAGACATCCAAACACAGTTGTTTCCATCCCTGCATCTACTGTCTTGAATACAATCCATTTCATTGCAGTGTATACGCTGTGCACTGCATATCCAAAACCCCTATAACAACATGAAGTACAGTTTAAGGAGCCTTCCACCTTAACAACATATCTCCCTTTCCAGAATCTTCACAGCCTCCGAGACTCCATCCTAAGAATTGACGACAATTAAACTTTATAAATCATATTTTATTGAACCGTGTGGTAAAGGAACATATAATAAGGCTCAGGAAGAATGTTGGTCCTCTAACTTGCAGTTTTTTAATTTCATCACAGAATTTTTGTTTTATGCAATCGAATCTTCTCATTTGCTCAATTTGTGTAACCGAGTTTTGATACAACATCAAATGAGGCTGAAGTGGCAAAACTTAACATCCCACTTTAAACACCACCAGCCGGCCACCCAAAAGGGCCATTTGACCCAAGACAGGACCTAGGCCAGTGAAATTATCAGCAGCCAGTGTGCGAATCCTGAACATTCTACTAGTAGATAAATATATGCATCTAGGATAACCAAGCATGAAAGTCAATTACCTGGTGAGCAATTTGTGAAGATATTTCTGAAGCACGTGCTTGGACTGTAGCAGAAAGTGCAGTGTGTATGGAGCCTGTAAACACATCTACGGCCTCCATAATGCAAATGCCATCAGTACTTTCCGGGAGCAAATGGCACCTTTTAAGTGGTTCCGGAGCCACCCCAAGCCAGAACATCCTCTCAGCCCAGTAGAATTGATCCAGGAGAAATGGACAAATTACCTTAATATTGTGAGAAAGAGAAAGAGAGAGCACAATCACTCAGAATGAAACAGGTGCATGAAGCCAGGGTAAGGAAACAAGCATTGCTCTTCATACATCCAAATCAACATACCAGAAAATGAACAGAAGGTGACAAATTTTATTGCAGGCAAGCAATGGTGCAATAGATCTTTGTATATTTTTTTTTTTTGGCCGGGGGGGCCCCCCCCCCGCGGGGGGGGGGGGGGGGGGGGGGGGGGGGGGGGGGGGGGGGGCCCCGGGGGGGGGGGGGGGGGGGGGGGGGGGGGGGGGGGGGTGGTAGATCTTTGTATATTTGATGTTCACATCGTGGAAAATTACATCCATGATTCCCAATTAAGCAAATTGAGGTTGTAATCCCCAAATTTTTACTTCTTGTGAGGTTTTTGTCCTTGACCCTCGTCCAGGTCATCTTACAATTTTTTCACATGATCTGACAAGATTGGGCTAATTCAGCACTTAAATAGGGCAGGCAAAAATTAAGATAATCTCCCATCCTTTACATGTTGATAATACCATAATTGCATTCGTGATGATAGAAAGCAAGTTATTAACTCCAATGTGTTTCCCAAACAAAACAGAATAATTGACAACTGGCCATGTCATCATTTTATGTATTAAGCTGAATATTTGCAGCCATTTTTGCCCCTAATTGCAGATAAAATCAAAGAAAAAATTCCAGTTGGCACTTTCTCCTATAATTACCACGATGTCTTAACGATGTCTTTTTACACGATCCACCGTATAAAACGGGCACATGCTTAATTTCTTGAGATCCTCAAGTGATTTCAAAGGTATGGTCCACAAATAAATCAATCATGCAATGAAGCGATTCCGAGACAACAAATATGAGTTAGAAAGACATTAAATACGCAACTAACCTGGGGAATACCAGTTTTAAGTGCTGCCGCGGTTGACCCACTACCATTCATTAAGAGAAAATAATGCAGCACAAGTGAGTGAAGGGAGTGGCAATGTTGATATTGTAACTACAGAACTAGTGGATAATGATGAAACACCTCACCTTCCCCCATGGTGAACTGCAACTACACATTTTGGGAACAGCCAGAGGTATGGAATGCTTCTAGGATACACAACAAGAAGCCCAACAAATTTTCAGATTGGAAATTTATACACATGCATGGAAAGATGATAATTATATACCAATTAAGGTAGCTGGTTCTATCCCTCATCACAAATATGCATGGAAGAATAAGATGCAGAACAACAGGTATGATTGCCAAGGAAACCAATCAATTCTTTTTTATCTTCTCATTTTTCTTTCAGAGCTTCAGGCTAAATTGCCAAAAACAAATGGTATATAGGGATTCTGGTATCTCTAAAATGTTGTAATTTATTTATCAGATATAAGTTCCTTAGCTCTTAAAAAGTGGATCATCATTCTGTTGCTACTCGTACAGAATAGAAATGACCTAGCCTGAAAGACCGTTGCATCAAAGGCATGACAAATAAAAGAGTTAGAAGTGTCCCAAAATCATATTTCCCCCCTAGATGGATCTCCAAATGTAAGAAATTTTGTTAATACAATGTCCTAGATTCCCCCTTCCCTCTGTTTGTGCAAGGATTGGCACCCGGTATGTGCCCAGCTGCCAGTTAATGAATTTTTACTCATCAAAAGGGAAGACTAAATTAAGATGGCCTCCAGCAATTCAACATAGCACAGAATACCAGCTCAACAGGCAACCCAGGCAAAGCTGAAGGTGAATTATATTGATACTGAGCAGATATTACATTTTAATTTCAAAACTTCAAAAAAAAACCGGATAATAAGGATAAACTCACAATTTCACTCTAATTCATAGCTTCGTTTCAATTGCCAGACTCTGAAGTTTTCTAATCAGACACTCATATCACCTTATCAAGTTTTTACGTAATTCTTTCCTTCTTAGTTCTTCTAAATTCTCACTCACTGACGCTCAAGTAAAATAGGGAAAAATTTACTGACCCACTAAAGCAGAAGAGTCGTCCATTGAATAGGCTTATTCCATCTTCATTGAACTGTCTTTTACTAAAGCTTGATGATTCCTCTGCAGCAGCAGTAAGCACTGCTGCTTGTAAGGGTTCATGACCAGCAGTAAAAAGAATGAACCTGTAATTTGTAATTCTGATAACAATTTGCAGGACAGCAAGAAAAGCTTGAGGGTTCTGCATAAAGCCCATGCTGCAGACAATCACACATGGTAGAGAGAGATTTAGAGACATAGACTGACAATGACAGAAAAACAGAGTGTGTAAAAACAGTCAGTTGGCACCAACACCGAATTATTGGAAAGAAACAGATATTTATTGAAAGTGGTTTAGATATCATACAAAATCAATGATTGCAAGTGAGACTGTACCAAATGCTGGTATGACGTCAAGAGTAGAGAGTTCCTTGGCCAAGGAATTTTCTAATACCACCGCATACACTTTGCTTATTCAGTTACTACTCCCATCTTTCTTTTACATTTTTTATTAAATGCGCCAGCTCATTTTTTGCCGTTTGTACACAGAAAGAGGCAAAAGTAAGCTGAAAAGAACTTGCCTCCCAATTGAACTCAGGCCGACAAAAACAAGTGGCATTGAAGTATCGGTCTTTAGGAAAGAATGCAATTGAACATGAACAGAACATGTTGAGTAATCTGTCCTTGAATGCACTTCTAAATCAAGTGCTGCAACTTCAAGACACTGTTGACAGGAAAACTGCCACTCGATTGGGATAAACCAGAATCCACAAACTTGAACATTTGATGGCCAATAATCTGTTAAATATACTTGTACCGATGAGAAATCAAACCATGAGGTGCAAGTTGAATAACAAAGGATAACTTTCATGCAGACTACCACAGAAAGAAGGGTCATGTAAAAGCTTTCCGAGCATGGCATTGTTGATTCATCATTTTTTAACCAAGAACCAGAGTTTTCTATTAGCCTTAGTCAATGAAAACCAAAGATACACTTAATCATTGAAAAGCCAACGCTTGAGAACTAGTTCTAAGCAGAGAATTTGTACGAAGGGTTAAAGGCATGCATGTCTAAGCATTCCTTCAGGCAAATGGCAGCCCAAGAATAAAAGTTGATCTTTTTTGTGTGAACTAGAAGCATGTAAGGAGCGACTCCCAGAATATATCATACCAGGGCGTTCAACAATATCCTCGCTAAACCCATACCTGTCAAACAATATAATAAATGGGTTTTAAACATTGTCCAATTAGAGAAACAGTACTGCATCAATAGCACTTGATAAATTGGCCAGAAGCTGTGAATTAGAAAAATCGACGATAATATAGTTAAGCTCCATGTCATAATAACTTATACAATGGACAACTTGTTTGCGGCTAATTAAATGAGAAGCTCCTACGCGTTATGGGAAATTCATTGGGAAACAATTCATCAAAGTTTATATGGTTCTGCAAATCCAGATGACAGACCATGTAATCAGTCCCATAATTCCTTCTCTGCAGCAACAAAAATTGTTTTACGGGAAGTTGGCGATTGAAAGAAGATCTGTATTCAACTTTCCAAGTACCATCAAAGGACGGACTGAATTATTAAGAATACACTATTATCATTAGAAACATAAAAACACACAGAAGAGTTTCTGAAATTACACAACAAAAGGAGTTTTCAGACTACTGGTTCTTTTTATACCAACAGGTCACTCACAGTGTAGATGCCTAACTCCCTCCCTCTCTCTGGTGTTGTTTGGGTAAAGATGTGGTCGTATACGCATGAGGGTGTGGGCGCACATGTGTGGCCATGCTAATAATATTTCACACTTGTCGAATATAATAATGCAGCACAAAGGTTGTTTCACTCTCAAAATCTCTCAATCGGCAAGAATCAGTTTCAAACCTGTAGATCTCTCGCTATTCCTGGATGCATACAATGATCTTGATAGCATAAAACTTGTGATAAGTATACGACTATGAAGTATAGAAGCAGTTTCCCCCCAAAAAAAAAAAATCAGCCAAAACAGAGATATTTATTCAGATCCAGACATCCATTCCTGTTTAATTACTAAAGGACCTATAAGATAGCTTTCAAATGAAAAAAGCCTGAAAACTTACAAGAGTAGAGGAGATGGATCCCTCTCGTGCCACGTCGGAAGACTTGTCACTGGATCCTGCACTGTTGAACAGAAATCATATTGCCAAGAGGTTCACACAGCATCCCAGCCAAAACGCATTGTTTATTCACCTATAAAAGATGTATAAGCCAATAATAAAAGCGTGAAAGAGTTTACAAGTGTTGAGAGCACTGACCGTAAAAGGAATGGAACTTAAATGTAAGACATCACTTCTCCAATAGCCCCAACTTTCAGCAAAAAGTGGCCACATCCAATGCATCACATCTTTCCAGCAGACCTATGAATTTGTAAGGGGCGATAAATCAATATAGGAAGTAGGTAAATATTGTAAAACCTTCGCTCACATCAGTAACAACCAATATCAAATTTTATATAAAGAAAAACTTTCGAACTAAGATTTTGTAACATCAATTTATAAGTTATCATGATAATAAATACCTTGCTACTAGGAGCTTCTTGGAGATAATTATACAGCAATGGAACTTCCTTCCTGAAGTGACGCTCAAATGATGCAGGAGCACTATGCAACAGATGATATATCAGCAAATGAATATTTCGTGATCATCCTAGCATAGATACCAGTAAAATAAGGAATTAAAACTACTTCAAAATACTTCTGAAAAGGGATGTGAAAAATAAAGAGAAAAACAGAAGCAATTACATTTATATTGCTCAAAGTCTCATGCTGATTCTTATAGAACAATGGAAAATGCTATTAGAGGTCCCTGTCCTACAATAAAATCTCCCACAATCCCAGTATGCTGAAACCAATCGTATTTATGGAGGAAATCCAAGTTATACACTCATGTCTCACAAAGAAAAGCATCCACTTTTTTCAGGTCTAGTGAACTGATCATTTAGCCATAAGTTCAGGTAGCAGCAACATTCAAGAGTAGATCCATAACTTTGAGTTGAACCTTAGCTGCCTCTATGGTCAAATTCAGATGTTTACTCACCTTTCATCAAGGACAGCAAAATGCAGGGAAGAACAAATAAAGTTGAACACGTATTTGCAATATCAAACACTGAGCAGACATCCAGAAAATACGCAATTTGTTTGATGCAAAAGTGCGGCACGACAATACCAGCTAAGTTGATGTAATATGTACTGTGAAGCGAGACAACATGAAGAAAGAAAGATACAGCTATAAATTTATGAACCCTTCACAGTGATGACCAGGATGCAAAATAAATTTTCCTTGAATGGAAATGGAAAGGCAATATCTCAAGGAAAACAAAAAAGTTCCACACAATTAACTGCATTATAAAAAGTTAAATGACACTATTACACAAAGTTGAATGATAAATTTTACACAATTACATTTTGATATCCATAATATAAAATTAATTTTCCAAACTTGTTAAATTAATAAAATTAAAATAATATAACAATAATTTCGTTTTTATTTATTCTTATTTTTATTTATATATTCAAAATTTCTTTATATCTTGTGATATAAATTTCATATATATAAATCACTACTAATTTATTTATATTTATAAAAAAAAGAAAAACAAAATAATTAAAAAGAGAGGGAAAAATAATTAAAAAATAAGCAAATAAAAATGAAGTAGGTAATAGTGTCGTGAGAGATTTTTATCATCTCCTTTTGTGCAATTTTTAGATTCATTTACAACGATATGGCGTTCATAGCAAATAATGGATATGGTAATATGTGAAAATATCTGGCTTTATTTCGCGATTAACCAAACAGTAAATAGGTATAAAAAATCCCTTGGATTTCATATCATATCCTATCCAATCCTATCCTTGCTAGAAATCCAGGCGACCAAACGTAGCCTTATAGCTTAAGTAGCTATGTTGAGATTTGAAATTCTAACGTGGGAAAGGATTAAGCATGAGGTTGACTCGAACAAATCATATGGAAATGGCAACATCAGCAAAGACAACCAACAATGAGCTATAAAAGTGAGACTAAAAGTTAGAAATAGAGGATAATCACTGTATTTTTCACTATTACCTATAAGGAACAACATATGGAGCAGCAACCATGCAACGGACCTGAAAAAGCTCTGCAAGGTTCCATCCCTCCTATATTGTCAGGGAAAGTGATTCTTTCAGTTTTAGGTACATAAGCACTTCCGATGGTCTACATCCTTTTCATGTTGTAATTTACCAATGATAAATGACTAGAACACCAGTTAACTACAGTAATTTCTTTTTAATAACCAAAAAGCTTAAAGCAAGGAAAGAGACAAGCCTTCTTCCTTTTTTTTTTGCTTTTCCAATTGGATCATGTTATGCTGCAATAAAGAGATGTTATCTTCACAACTCGATATAAAGTTGTATTTTTTAATGGTATAGTGCTGGTTTGAAACTTATGAAAGCATGTTCATATTAACAGCAACAGTTCAGCTTTTGGGCAGGCAAAAATGCATCTTCCAATGTGAAATAAAAGTACCAGAGCAAAGAAGTTGATCAAAATAAAGTCACCGGCCATGACTTCTTCGAGTCCAAAGATACTCTCAACTGCGGATAAGCATTCTTGTCTGTGCGCGTCGGTAATGTTCCTCTTCTGTAAAGAAAACGATGGCGCTGATGATCCTATATAAATGAATGGTAGAACTTCAGATAAGTGATCAAGGATAGAATCTTCTCTCTGCGTATAAATATGTATCTTTTTTAAAAAAAAAAATACCATAAACAATGTCCCCTATAGGAACCAAATGAAGTGAAGTGACCAAAACCTGCACGGCCACTATCTTCCTGAACAGCAAGAACAGGTGGTGATGAAATTGGCACATACGTCACACACTTTTTGGCCAAATGGCCACTCAAACTCTGCAAGAAACAGCAAGAAACTTGAACTGTCTGACAAATTCATGCCTAGAACTAATTGATAAGCATATCCCTAACAAAGAAAACTAAATGATCACAACTCGTCACCAAATAATAGGCCATTAGTCATCCATAACATATCAAAAGTTAAAAAAAGAAGAAAAGAATTAACTTCTTGATCAGGTTACACATCTTCATCTTCAGTGTCGATGAGAAGTACCTGGTGCGCCGAATGGGTGACGAAAAACACTCCGTAGTCCTTCATTTCTCCACCAAATGCAGCGGCGATCGCCTGGAGATTGCAATGGACCAAAAACAGAAAAATCAAAAACGGTTCAGTACTTCGCAAGAATTACAAGAACGAATAGAAAGACCAATGGAGCCGCGACGGTGAGGCGAGGCCATTACGGCGATGGGAAAGACGTCGCCTTTCGTGCCGAAGGCCATGAACAGAGCGATGGGGTTCGTCCTCTTCTTCTTCTCCTGCTTCTCGGATTCGCCCGGATTCGACATGGAGGAGCGCAGGACAGAGAGATTCGACCAGGGGAAGGTGAAAGACGTCGTCGGACTATGCTTTGCTTACTGCTCTTCCCGGTCGAGCGTGGAAAGGACTTGATGCTTCGTTTGAACTGTTTAGCATTTCATGGCCCATTGGCCCAATGGCCAGGCCTGGGGAGATCACTCGAGAAGTGGTCGATTCCCACCAGAACCTCAGACGGCCGGCACCCTGCGACACGCCTCTCTCCGACGGTCCCCTTCTAGGCTCGTCGAAGTTTCGAGGCAACCCATGAAACGTCTGTCTCTCTCTCTCGCTCTCTCACGTTTCCGTGGAATGGCTGATGCTTTGAGCTCCAGTGGGTGACGTTGCTTCCGACAGTTCGTTTTGGGTTTTGGCTGATTTACCGCCAAATTCCGCCGACCATCCTCGAGCTCGGGTCCATGGAGGATTTGAAGACTGCCCTTCACAAGCGGTGCCTGGCGGTCGCTTCTCTTCCGGAGAAGGGCCGTTGTCTCCTCGCCACCAGAGACTTCCGCCCAGGTCCCTCTTTCCCTCTATCTCTCTCTCTCTATCTCTCGCTCACCAAGCAAACGTTGGTATTGTCGACGTTAATATCGTTGTTTTGATGCAGGGGAAGTGATTATCAGCCAAGACCCGTATGTTTTCGTGCCGAACTCGGCGGAGCCGAGGTGTGATCGCTGTTTCGCCTCGACTGACCTGAGGAGGTGTTCGGCTTGTCAGGCGGTTTGGTACTGTGGGAGCTCTTGTCAGGTATGCAGCACAGAGCTGGCAATTTCAGTGAAGTTGCCTTGTCTTGACATTGTCTCTCATTAGCATTATGCTCAAATAGAAATTTTTGGCGGGCAATCACCTGATAGTATAGTGAAATTAATCTATTCGGTACTTCGCTCGTGAGGAATGGTTTGATCTATGAAGCTAGAAAGAATCGCGGAGAGAAGTTTCTGTGAAGTGGACAGTGATCGCTTTGCAAGTCCTCATTTTGAGTTAAGAGTAGTGGGTGATTGTGTTGAGTTACTATTCACTAATGTGTGCAGAAATCAGAGTGGAAGGTGCATCGTCTCGAATGCATGGCTCTAGTGAGGCTCGATAAGGAAAAGAGGAAATCTGTTACCCCGTCCATACGTTTGATGATTAAGCTCTACATACGAAGAAAGCTGCAAGATGAGAAGGTTTTTCTTCCCCTATGTTCTTCCCCAGTAGTTTCAAATTTCATTAGACTTTATTTTTCATCCATTGAATTTGTTAATTTTCTCGAGCTTTTGACTTGGCTATTGACTTGGCTATTGACTTGCTATACTTCTGTCTTGCTGTTGAGTTGTATTCTCAATCTTGACCTTCATTTGAAGATCGCTTCTGGAAGAAGTTTTTTGGGTTGTCCTTGTAAATAAAATGATTGTTTGTATTCTGTTGTACTAGCCCTTGGCTAGTTTATGCATCTCTTAGGCAGAAGTCCAGTCAAGTTTCTTTGCTATAAACTTTAACTAGAAAAATTAGAGAAGTCAACTATTGGCAAAGAACAAATCAGATCTCATGTATTTTTTATGGAGAGAATGAACGGTATTATCAGGAGGATATGAGCAATATAATCACCCTTTGCGCTTTACTTTATCAATTTGTTACTGAGCAGATTATTTATTCACGGTTAGAGTGAGATGTGATATTTTGAAGTTTCTTAAGTTGAACATTTATCTTTAGATAGTTAGAACTCAAATAATTTTGATTTCCTTTTTTGCTGACATAGTCAGCATAGATGCACATGTTTGTCTGTTATTTTGAAATTTTCCAGTACTTTGACAAGCATCAATAGTTTGCTGTCGATGTTACTGCCATTGATGACAGTAATATATTTAGTGGGAAAGAGGTGAGTTATCATATGTATCTCTACTTCCAATGGATGTTTGTCTTGCTTTACAGAAACAGAAAATATGGATTCTTACTTTTTGGACCTGGTAAGATTGGAGTCTTTGCAGTACTGTGACTAGCATAACAAAATCAACTGTATTTTCTTGTATAAACTGTTTGAGTTTCCAGTTCTTATGACGTTCTTCTATGGAGAGAGAATGCTTGCAAATTTATTTGGTTATTATGCAGAATAACTTCTGGCATCCATACAGGCGAGCACATCGTTAATCAGTAATTTGTTTGCTCCTGTGCAGATCATATCGACTACTGCAATGGACATTTATAGTCTGGTGGATGCTTTGGTGGCCCGTATCCTTTTTAGGCTTCTTTGGTGTAGTCATTGGTCATAGTTCGGTATTACGACGTGTTATTGATTATCCAGTTTACTGTTTTCCCTGAACCTCTCTGATAAGACATGTCGGAAATTGATGAGAAGCAGCTGGTGCTCTATGCACAAATGGCTAACCTTGTAAACAGAATACTCCAGTGGCCCGAGATCAACATGAGAGAAGTTGCAGAGAACTTTTCCAAGGTCCATTCTGAAAAACTTCATGCCTGCTGTCTTTGCTGCATAGGCATAGATATTTGTTACGAGTGCAAATATAAATTTCTTTCAAACAGTAGTTGTCCCTCTCCCAAGTGCCTAGAGTGTACTCCAGTTTTGCATGGAGTGCTGCTTTCTAGAGAGCTTTCTGTATCTTATATTTTTGTCCCTTAAAGCGGTGGGCAAACCATGGAATTTGGAAACATAAAGATTCGTGTCTTGATGTGTAACATAGCATGTAGATTAACTGGTGTAGTGTTGGTACATTTGACAATATGTCATAACATTTGGAAGCAGACGGGAACTTTTACTTTATGAAGATTATATGCTGCCTATACATGCAATGTGCATCAAAGCAATTGTAACCAGTGACGTCTGGAAATATCTTTTTAGTTTTGAATTTTTTTTTGGTCGAGTGTTTTGAAGTTGGTTTACCTGCTGATGTGCTAAAAACCCAGCTAATATGCAGCTTTCATGTAATGCACATACAATCTGTGATAGTGAGCTCAGACCACTAGGAACTGGACTTTATCCTGTCATCTCTATAATCAATCACAGGTAGCTGCCCTATTTGTCTGACATCTTCTATGCCCGCCATTGCAATATTTTGCTGCTGACTTGCTCGTATAGCTGCTTGCCAAATGCAGTATTGCTATTCGAGGGAAGGATGGCTGTGGTTCGTGCTGTACAACAAATAGTGCAAGGTTCTGAGGTAGTCAGTGCTCCTTTTCTTGGTTCACCTGCTTCCCTCTTGAACTGTAGACTGACTTATCATTTTTCAGTTCACTGCTGAAATTCCTACTTAACGATAGGGTAATTGGTGGTTTTTCAGCGGAACTTTAACATGACATCCGGGAATAATCACGGATAAACTCGTTTCCAGTATTCCGATATGGTGATTACCGTTGCTAATGCGTCTTCCAGTCTGTCAAACTCTTGATTATTAAATGTTTAACTATATTATGCTGCATGAATTTTAGCCGTCAGGCTGCAGAATTCTGTGATCTTTTATAGATTAATCGGGAATTCTTAGCACTCAGCTATATCTTATCTAATTTAGGAATATATTAAAAATCTGATTCAGGAAAAATCACTGCTTCTGATCAGTCATGAAATAAGGTTTATGTTAAATATGTCTTGAATTTTATGTAGTTTATCACCCGACCTGACATATTTTTTGTGCTACCCGAAAGTGGAGAAAAAATTGAGATTTAGTTCGTGACGCGGAAGGTTTGGCCGATAGGCCCAACTTGGAGCAAGAAAATTTTTTTGGGAGCACTATTTATACCGCGGCTAGGGTTTTTCATTGAATATGAGAGAATTTTGTTTTCGGAGAGATTTGTGAGCCGTGAGGTCTTGTTAAGTCGTTTTTCGACTTCTGAAAACTGTACTCTCTTTGATTATAGTGGAAACTTGTCTTGCCTCGCCCGTGGACGTAGATCACCTTGTGATCGAACCACGTAAATCCCTGTGTTCTGTATTTGTTTTTCCGCGTCTGTTTCTAACGGTTTATGGTATTGTAGATGCAAATGCACGTCAATGTGGAATTTTGACTTGGACCTTCTATGAAAGAAAATTTTCTGCTTTGGACATTTTATGAGTCTAAGATTTGATAGTACAATCCAGCAGAATTATATGGAATATGTAGTGGAACTGAAACAAATGCTAGACGCCATCATAAGCTTCAAGAAGAATTAAGGTTGGAAAAAACAAATTCCAAATGTTTTCTCAGATCAAAAGATTTTCAGTGTGAATTTCACTATTGAGTTTGATCAGCAGATCCTTATTAATGGATCATGCTTCTCTAATGGTTGGATAGAGATTATAAGCAATCTAATAAGTAAGAAGCCACCCTTCCAGACATTTGACGCTAATTAACGGTGATATCTCTTACCTTCTTTTCATTTTCATTGCCTAACTAAAGGTTGCTGGATGAGGCTGAAAAACGAGTGCTGAAACTTTCAACCACTGAACTTTAAGCGATAGTAACTTTAAGACCCTGAACCTAAACCTATACGCAAAACCAGCCACAATGTTCTGGTGAGTGTATTGGTATAAGCATTTTATTGCTCGTGGGTTATGTAGCACTAATTCACATAAATGTGGTCAAATTGCCTGTGCACAACCTGGTTGTTGTAGGATTATAACAAATCAGAATTTTGAGGCTGTTTGTTTTATTGTGTATTTCCTTTCCCATTACTCCAACATCTCATGGTGTAGAAAAAAGTTTTGATGATTATACCTCTGTATGAAATACTTTGGTGCATCAAGCAGTGTCGTGCACATACTGCATTCTGTCATGTTGACCAGAAATAATTTTTCTGCAAGGTCTTGATAAGCTACATAGAAACTGCTGGAAGCACTACGACTAGACTGAAGTCTCTTAGAGAACAATACCACTTTGCTTGTGCATGTCCTCGCTGTGCCAAATTGGTAACTTTCTACATTAAGAGTTTCATTATTATTGCTCATGTTGTATCTTTTCTCGACATTTGAGAATGTGCAGTTTTTTCACTGTTTGGGTTAACAAAGGTAAATTCATCATTAAGGGGCAACCTGATGATATCAAAGAAAGTGCAATTTTGGAAGGCTACAGATGTGAAGATGACAGATGCTCTGGTTTGCTGCTCTGTGACTCTGGTATGTGGATCAAGCTTCAGCTCTTTCATTGAATAGCTGAAGTTTTTCACATGGTTTTCCTTGCATATGCAGAGAAACAAGGATTTGTGTGCCAACTGTGTGGACGTGTAAGGAACAAAGAAGAGATAAGAGGCATTGCTAGTGAAATTAAATTGATGTCAGAGAGGACGTCATCGTCTATGTCCCCTAGCCGTATCCTTTTGTCACAGCCATTGCTGTAACTAATTTTGGCAGCATGTTTATGTAATGTCTGTATTACCTGAATTTCTCTCACTGCATTTTAATGGTGTAAAATTTCACTTAGGACGACTTATTTTTTCTCAATTTTCCCATTTCAGAACAAGTCATAGAAAGGTTTAAACTTGACTTCTTATAATGCATGAAGAAGCTGTTTCCGTCTATAAGATGATTGAGAATCTTCAAGGGAAACTATATCATCCTTTTTCAATCATCTTGTTGCAAACCCGAGAAAAGATATTGAAGGTAGTCTGTTTTTCTCCTTAGTCCTATTATAGCTTCTATCTCTCATTAAGAGAATTTTATAAGCATCTGCGACTCTGTTGTCTTGCACATTTTCACTTTTGAAAGGTAGTTTGTTTTAGTGTTGTCCGGCTACCAGAAATGAATTCTCTTGATCCTAAAAGTATGAGATATGCCAATATATAGAAGTGTGTAGTGGAGAACTAGTTTCAGCAAACGAAGTAACACATGATTTGTCAAATTTTGAGGTAATTAATTTGCGTGAAGTGGGAAATGTCTTTTCTACGGCATCGTTTGAATGATTCCACTTTCCATTTTTCTCAAGATTTGTCTGCCAACGAATAATGCATCAGATAGACTGTGTTGATTTTCCTCATTATTATTATGTTTTCTCTGTAGAGTGCTCGCTTCTGTGAATTGTAGCTAGGCGTTATCTTATCCTTTAAATGAGGAATGAATGTGTCTGCAAACTTCTTGTGGTTCCAAATTGTGATCTGACTTGTCCTTGTGTTAGTTGCTTAACGTTTAAAGCTTTTGTGAACTGCAGATGTTGATGGATCTGCAAGGTTGGAAGGAAGCTCTGGTGTACTGCAAGCTAACAATTCCAGTTTATGAAAGTATGCCATTTTTTTTTATGGATATTTTATGGGAATTTGCAGAATTGTTTGAGCAATTCAGGGTACACAAATTATACATACACGATACGGATCTTATCAAGTTTGCATGTCATACTCTATTGATGCTCACATATAAGGTAGAAATAAGTGCATGTGAAATAGCGAAACCATTCATCTTTGAGTTTATTGAGTGGAGTGCTATGATAACTAATGAGCCTTGCTAAAACAAGTTCTGCTGAACAATCTGCTTTTCCGTTGGTATTTTCCCTCTGAACTCCTCTCTTTGACTTTGGGCTGCAGGAGTCTATCCAGGGTGCCATCCTTTGCTTGGGTTACAATACTATACCAGCGGAAAACTTGAATGGTCTGTATGTTTTTCTGGATTTTGATTGTCCGTCTTCCATGCTCCTTCCTTTTCCTTCCCCACATTTAGTCTTTTAACGCTAGGCTGTTGGATTCATGTAACCATTGATTTTTCAATGAGGTACATGCAGTACCTTCACTTTGTTGGACAAGTTGCTGTCATAAAATAACGCTACATGCACTTATGATAGATTTGAGACCAAGCAATGCGCGATCTGTTGCAGAACTATTGATGTGCTCAGTCAAGAATTTGTTATTTGTTTTAGTGATGTTATTTCAAAGAGCAATACTAGCAAGGCATCACCTGGAATAGAGAGGATTTTTAGGACATGGAAAGCAGCTTTACAGGATGACCGTATAACCATAGCTTGTTTTGTCCATAAATTAGGCACTCTTAACACAATCATTGTGTTCTTGCAACCACAAGAATTGTAATAGCTATAACAAGGTTTATCAGATTTTCTTCTTTGTAAGCCCTCTCCTGCTCTTTTCTGAAGTTGAAAACGTGACTTCATTGGAATTGTCTCGTTTGAATTTTGTAACTGTTCATCAGTCTGTTGTTTCTTTTGGAAGTAATGATACATAGTCTTCTTAAAGGACTTGCTCAGCCATTTTAACGTTGCTTCATGCATGAAAATGGCCTTAGAATTCGCCCCCCCCCACCCTCTATGGAATGAACCCAGCTTTTCCCTCAGTTTCAAGCTTTGCTATTTAACATGCGGCAGGTTACTTGGCGACACGATAAATGCTATCAAATCACTGACCAAAGCAGTTGACATACTTCGGGTGACTCACGGGACAAATGCAGAGTTTGTGAGAGACCTCATGATGAAACTGGAAGAAGCGCGTGCCGAAGCTTCTCACAATCTTTCATGTGCAGATGAATAGCACATCGGGACTCGCATGCAGAGCACTTACAAAGGCCGGTGTACGATATGGAAGTTGCCCATTTTGAGAGTTTCCTTGGTTGCTTGTGACATTCATGGTTTAGTAAATGGAGACATTCCGTTCCGGAGTCTCCCTCTTGAACATTTTCGATCTGCTTGCGAGTATTTCGAATTGTGTACTGTGTATATTGCGAGGTGATTCATCTCGAACTGTCAGGCGGGTCTATTCAGCCTCTCTCTTGGTCCGAACTCGGCGAGGAAGGCTTCTGTTCCAGAGAGAGGAATTATCTGTAGGAGAGAGGAAATTTCTTACCTGTTGATTAAAGCAAAAGGAGAGAAACTTGATAACCACAGCAAGGTGAGTGACAGGAAACTTTCAGGCCCTGTTTGTTTTCTGCATAGGAGGTGGACTTGAATCTCTGGTTTTGTTTCCCATTCATCTAAATCATATAATTAGTCGTTGATTAATTATAATAATACACCGTACAAGAATATTATTTATAATTCAATAATTATGTTTTACTAATATATTTTTGTTATTAGTCGAGTGAGAGGGAAAAAAAGAGGGGGGCTTTTTCGATAACATATTTTGATAATATCATAAAATATTAAAATATCCCTAATACGCGGTTCTTCCGTGTACAAAATTTGGATATTTTTTTTCCATGTTGGTAAATCTTAGTAAGAGTTTGAAAGTGTCAAAAAACTGTTGGTAAAACAAATAACGAATAATTTTGTTTCGGGTAACTTATTGGTAACTTATCAAGAGTTTATGAAATTACCAATTATTTTTTATTGTTTGTAAATTAGCATTTCTTGTGGCAACTTACCAATTTTTATTTGCATAAACTTAAATTAGAGTGATTGATCAACTTTTGTTAGATTGAATTATCAAACAGTAATGGGTTGTCAATCCTCATTTTATTTAATTGCCTAAGTTTAATTTTTTTTTTTAAATTCATCGATTTTTCTGTATTATCAACTTTTATTAGCCTTTTTTTTAGCAATGCCGAGTGGGGTGAACTCAATCGGGAATATCGGGTAACTGGCCGAGCCACCAAAGGCGACGGCGTGGCAAATCTTCGCACGGCACCGGATCCCTGTCCCCCGCCTCACTCCATGCTCGCCCTTGGGTCCGTGCGGTCCGGACGGGTTAATGATGATCATCGTTGCTTTTTTGAAAGTAATAAAAGAGAGAGAGAAAGAAAGATTTATTTCACAATATACTCGATATTTTGCTCGCTCGAAAATGAGTAGCACTGGATTCCTCTGGCGTTTGCCGAAATAGAAAGAAAAGAAAAAATCCAATGACACTGATTAGGTTGGTTATGGAAGTACTTTGTAAAGAAATTTGGCTTTCCAAAGTTCTTTTCCGCGGAATAGTTTGTGCTTAGCATTTTTGAAACGCCTTGGACCCACAACTGCCTTTTTAAAGCCCAAAGCTCGGCTAGTCCCCCCACATAGACATGGCCACGGTTCAGAACCGGTCGGTTCCGGTTCGTGGCCATGTATGAACCGGAACCGGCCGGTAAAAATTTCAAAAAATAAATTATGAAATAAAAAAATAATGAATTATCAAATTATGAAATAATGAATTATGCAATATAAAATGTAATCAAAATGTACATTGTAATCAAATTTGAGGAAAAAAAGAGTTTCTCCACTTATCTGCAGTTTTTTTTTTGGAATCAGGCCTGTAGGCCACGCGCCGGTTCCGGTTCCGAACCGCAGGCCCTGTCAATGGGCCGGTCCCGGGCCGAAATCGGCCCGTGGCCATGTCTACCCACAGGTTTTGGCTTTCTGAGCATTTTAGAAAAGCGACTTGAGCGGGTTAACAAATTCTTGCTTCTTCCAACCTTGCCCTCGCTAAGTTATTCGAATGTCGATTTTACCCCTCGATCAATGACGAGAGAGAAATGAAAAAAAAAACGACGGTTGTTTACAAGGTACGGTTTATTGATTTGGTATTTGCGCAGGCCAAGTGCAGTTGTATCCAGGCGTTCGCATTACTAAATACAGTGTAGTCGATGATGACATCGTCATCGCTGATAAGGAAGCGCTGGGGGTCTATGAATCTGCTCTTGAAAAAATTTAGGATTGACAACATCCTATCAGAAATCCTTGACTTTGGAGAGCGGTTCTGCTGAATTTGCCAAGAGATTAATCAATGTTGACTCAACAATCATCAGTAATTTTTAGAGTCTTGGAAGTGACGTAATCCACAGGACAACGGCGGCTTTGACTTAACTAAAGCCACGTCGGAGTCACGCCAGCTTTGTCCGCTTGTCATTGTCGCGTCGCGTCGGATTATCGACGACCATCTTGGAAGGAGCTGTGACAGAATGTATTTTCGAAGTCACCGGTACAAGTTCGGGGATACCGGCGACACCAAAAGAAAACTTTGAATATCGAAATCGTGATGGACAAAATTTTTAGATTTTCTTGATGGAATCTTCCCAATCCATGTAGCTTTGTTTGCCTTTTATTGTCCACGCGGCCACATCTAATTTTTAATGGTCATCCGAGACAAAATTGCGAAGGAAGGCGATTTTGGAATATTGGTGGCATGAAAAAGAAATTTGTAAGTATCAGTGTCACATTGACATTAGACAAAGTTTAAGCTTCTTGATGGAATTTTTCTTTTTAAATGTATATTTTATATTGTAAGAGATTCCAAAGTCGATCTAAGTGTCGCCTGGATCTCAAATTTTTTGTATTTGGAACCTACCCTGCATAATCTGAAACATGAAACCTATCCACACGTTCCAAGGTCTATCAAGGTCCTATGCGCATTCTTAATCGAACAATTGTAATGAACCATCACCTCCAATGACCACCATCTATTGTTACAACCCACGTACCGCAATTCATATTTAGGCACACGGAGAACGTGAAACGTTAACAAAGTAAAAGTCACAGTCATGGATGTCATCGGCAATGAAAAGTCAAGCCGTTCCACATTTATTATTAGATGCCTTGAAATATCACAGAATTGCGTGAAAACATGAAAGCAAGAAAAACACACATGGACTTGTTCCATGTTGGAACACCTGCCCGCCGGAACTAATTTCCCCAATTTTCTACGTACCTTGAAACCGAACCGCTTCACTCAGGAACCTGGTTCCCGATTCTACCCTGGAATCATGCTCGGCCCGGGCCCGGGCCCGGGCCCGAGCCCTCGGCCTTGCAAAGCACGAGCACAATAACTAGCCTTTGACCTTTTTGCCCCTCCGCCGGACAGGCACGCCACCCACGTTCGGCGACAATCCAGAAAAGGTAAGTCTCCCGCACGTCTCTCTCTCCTCTCTCTCTCTCACTTCACGCGCCGTCCGACGATGAAAAAGCGAATCGCGATTCGCCGAAGAAGATGATGCAGTCGAAGCTCTCCCTCGCCGCCCGGCCGAGACCGACGCCGCCTCCGCCGCGACCTCCTCCCTCGCCGCCGTACCGCGGCGGCTCTCGCTTCTCCCGCGGCGGCTCTCCGGCCGCCTCCTCCCGGCGGGCCCAGCGGCTGAAGCTCGTGTGCCGGTCTCTCGGCGACAAGTGGAAGCTGAGCGATATCGACGCCGGTGAGAGCTCTCTCCCTGTGGCTGGTCGTTCGTTCATTGTGATTCAAGTCCGTAGTTGTTCTCGGTGAGGTTGATGAGCGAGCTCTACTTTACGAATGCCGGATTGTCGATAGTTCGATAACCTGATGGTTATGTTTGCGGCGTGGACTTAGTGAGGTTCCGTGGAATCTGGTGTTGTTGCTCTTGTGGCAGGTGCGGTGCAGGAGCAAGTGACGTCGTGGCTGTCTAAGACGCAGAACTTTCTGAGGGAAGCGGCTTCGCCGCTGGTGAAGAGCGGTCAAAGTAGGAAACCCGATTCGGAAAATGTCTCCGACGCTCGCGACATGGGGGAGATTTTCGAAGGCGAGCGGACGGTGGACCGTGGGATGCCGGGTGGGGTTCTCTCCTGGGAAGCTGTTTTGGCCATAGAGCAATTCAGCAGGTGAGCACGTCGATCGATGATGGTCGGAGTTTAGTCGTTCTTCGAGGAAGCTAGGGTGAGGCGCTTGGCGCCATAGTTAATAAAAGCTGTTCGCTTCTTATTTCTCTTTTCTAATCATCCATGGCGTGCTTCATTTTCCATTTGCGTGTTAACTAATCCATGGTGCATGTACATAGCCTTTTAATGCAGGGTGAAGGGATTCACTGAATTGCCTTTTTGTATCTGTTTGAATTTTTGTTTTTCTTTTGTATCTGTCAGACTAATGAAGGAAATGTGTTTGACATTGTGAATTTAAGATATGCAGGATGAATGGATTGACTGGTCTGAAAATGCAGAAGATATTCAAAGCCCTGGTTCCTGAATCCGTATATAATGATGCAAGGAACTTGGTGGAGTACTGCTGCTTCAGATTCTTGTCAAGGGATGGTTCCCATTTTCATCCTTGCCTTAAGGTTTGTAAGCTTAGCATGGGTTTATGGAAACTATATTTTTTTCTTTATCCATAACCATGGAATGCTCTGTGCTTGATATTAATTACAAGGATGCCTGATATATTTTGCACTTCTAATAAGATTTGTAGTTTAGAATAACATGAAGAATGTCAAGGTTCTAAAGGGTCGCTAATGGGCCATTGGACTTTTAGATTTCATTGACATCCTCCTACTGCAAAGTTTGATGATTTCTGAAGTGTCCTCTTTAAAATCAAGTGAAAGCATAAGCTTTTCTTATTTTAAGCAACTCTACAAGACGGGTTTGATGCAATGATGTGCAACACCAAGACCACCATCATCGCTAAAGAAGGCAAGAAGTATATCTTCAAATCCCCAATCTGTCCGGAACAGTGCATGGGGCCACTACTCGTTGGTCTTGTAGTTCTGTTGTGCTAGTTATATCATGGTCGTCCTTTTCAATTGTAGGCTATCCACGAGGCTAATATATCTGAAATCTCTCACATCAGCCTCCCCTTTCATGGTCATGGGCAAGGTTTTGACCCGGCTGTTGATATAGTTTTAGATGCTGCTTTTGATGGTTATGGTGCTGGAGTAATATCTATAGGAATTACTACGGACCTGTTTTATGTTCTCCAGGGACATAGATAGGAAAGATATATTTTCTGAACCTCTCTCTTAGTGTATTCTTGTTCTCATTTCCATCGTCGAGGTTATTTGTTAGGCTGGGAAATGATCCTTAAAGTGTGTTTCTCTAAATGGATAGCTTATCTTTTGGCATGATGTGATATCTGGATGCTTTTATAACTTGTTTCCAGGAACCTGCATTCCAGAAGCTAATTTTCATAACGATGCTAGCCTGGGGGAATCCCTACTGTGGAGATACCAACCAGGATGCTGTGGAGAGAGCTTCCTTTCAGGTTCTTTTCAGCATAATCCTGAAAAAGTGTAATTTAATGTGGCTTTAGTCTCGTTATTTCATCCCGACTTGCAAATGTCGAAGATATGTAAACTTAGGGCTTCGAAGGAGGAAACGTTTCTCTTGTTAAATGATGTTAAAGCTCAAAAGTCTGATTAATTGGGGGCCTGCCTACTACCTTATTGACAATTTTGTAAAAGACATTTAGTGTTCTTCCGCCTTTAAATCATCATAATACTTAGTGTTTTCTTCACTCTATTTGAGGGCAGTTATATTTTTGTCTCTAATTACTGACGAAAGGGTTTCATGGACGAGTAACATTAAGTTGTCAAGAGTAATAATCTCAATTTGGTTGGTTGTTTCTAGGCTAAACTCACCAAATTTGCATTGCAGCTTCTGTGAAATGGCTTTTTAAAAAAACTAAATCAAATTGCAATGAAGCAGGTCAATCCGTGCAGAGGCTCTAGATTGTGTCATCTCTACCACATTATATCGCACGAACTTGATTATTTCCTTAATGTTGGTCCAATAAAACCTAAATTGCTAACTGGAGTAAGACCTATGTGCTTTGAGGGGTACTTGGCCTCACAACTTAGTAATGGGCAAATAAATGGAAGTTTAAATGTCCTTGGTGATGCTTTCAATTCATGAGGCTCATGCATGTATTTAAAACTTAATTTCAAACATTGTTATGTCCGACATATGAAGTGTACAATTCACAGCTGCCCTTGCACAGACAACTCCAGTCCAGATCCCCAATGAATTTTTAAATTATATTTAATTCTATTTATCCATGTTAAGAAGGCAATGCTAATTGGAAGTTGACATTTTAGATCTACCTTTAGATCTGCTCATATAACCATAGCCCAAATGTCTTATTAGATCCTACAATTTGCTTCCTCTTCTGTTGTTGTGTTGCTTTTTAATCATTTATTGTATGTGGAATTCTACTCTATTGATAATGCTTCTTCGTACTGTTAAAGGCATGAAATAGTGGAGTTGCTTTTGCTGATGTGTGAATTGGTGGTCAAATAATTCAGACTAAAGATTCGCTTAAAGCTAAAACTTGCTTTGCCTTGTTTTTTTAGGGTAAGCTTGTAGGTGAAGAGGCTTTTACCCGAATTGCTCCTGCTGTCCATGGAGTGGCTGATTCATCAACAGTGCATAATCTATATAAGGCACTTGCTGATGATAATGGCATCTCCTTGAGCTCATGGTTAACTTACGTAGACGAGCTTCTCAAGTAAGCATTGCTTAGAATTTAATCTTAGATTATGCTTGTAGAAAGGAATATGATCAGCTTTGTAGATTTTCTATCATGAGGATTAAAGTTACCGGGAAATTGTACTGTTTTGCTGTGATGTTGTAAATGTTTCTTTCAAATTAAGTAATGAATTATTTGGTTTTTATATATTTGTCTCATGGTATTTAGTTTTGCATCTTTAACCTTCCATCATGCGATGCCCTTCCCATTAAGGTTAAAGGCTTGCAGCTAACTGTGATAATTTCTTTTACGAGTGAAGAAATATATTGAATAAGAAAAAAATGTTTTAGAAACCTTGCTAAATTTTAGAACTTCGGTGGTGTTGAGCTATTCTGACTCTCTTACAAGAATGTTACTACTTATTACATATAGTTGTATTTTGAGACATTTTCCCTCCAGTTAAATTGACTCCCATGTGTGCAAATGCATGTTGCTAGTTTTTTCAATGGCCCCAACTATCTCTTAGCAGATGATAATTGGAATTTGTACTGTTGCCATGTAGGGTACATGAAGGACGAAAATTGTATCAGGCTCGAGAATGTACAAAGATCTCTCTGGAGCAGGTCTTATGTATTGGCTCTAGCAGGAAAAGGCCTGTGCTTAAATGGGAGAATAATATGGGATGGCCGGGAAGTGTTATCTTGACAGATAAAGCAATCTATTTCGAGGTAATAATATAATAGGGTGTCATGTATTCGTGATGGTTCATAATGTCACGCAATGTTTCTGGTTTGTTTGGTTTACTATTGTCCTTCCTTCGAAGAACATTGTGAATCGGGTGGCCTACACTTAATGTCCCAAAGTATTATGATTCACTTGCATATTAAAGGTACTAAAGCAGATGAAGTAATGAAAGTCAGCTTTCACAGTTTTGAAAATTAGCCCACTTTCATTAATGGGGAAAATCAGAGAAATGAAAGGAAACCCCATAAAGTTTACATACAACAAAGACGTTGAGAATCACAGAGGGGCTGTATACACCATGTGCATGTGCGAAAGCATTGTCGGCAATTTAAAAAAAGTTGTGATAATGTATCAAAAAAATGATAAAGGCATCAGAAATAGAATTTAAGATAGTGAATATAAAGATTGATTTGAAGTTTGTAATTTCCCTTGCCAAATTGTTGTTCCTCTGGACTTCAGCTTGAAACTGGGTCAGAAGTCCTTTCCACCTAATAGCAGATCTTCTAAATGTTCATGGACCTTTTTGACTCATAGAAAGGACCCTAAGGAGTACATGATGAATTATCCCAATTATATTTGCCAAAGCTGTTGGTCCCACAGAGTGGGAATTGTACGATAGCTTCACAAATTCTGATGTTTATTTTGTGCGAGAAATTCTTGCTTATAACATTTCACTTCATTGGCCCTGTACTGTAGGCAGTTGGTGTAATGGGACGCAAAGATTCAGCAAGGTTAGATCTTACAAAACCTGGAGCATGTGTGGAAAAAGCAAAAGTTGGGCCTTTGGGATCTCTTCTTTTTGACTCTGCTATCTCTATTTCTTGCGGTCCTCAGTGAGTAAGCTTCTGTTGTCAGTCTCAGCGGCATTTTTTCTATTTTACCTGTTCTTTAGTTGTTTATGGGATAGTCGTTGAAGATCGACTGTTCAGAGAAATTCACGTATATGGATGAAGATGGACCAAGTTGACAGAAAAGGCAGTCTGTTGCATTTTTTCTTATACCTGCTAACATCTGCTAGTACAGTTCACTATGACGGAGAAATGAAGGAATCAGCATGTCTGGTTTAGCAGAACGCGATTGTTAAGTACAAAAATAGTGCACATATTCGATCCAATTATCTGTACACTTAGGAAAGAAGGTTTGGGGGTAGTTATAGAACTATATCTTTGAGTATTGGATGCTTGTTGATGCATACTTTTGGTGCTATTGATCATATTCAGACAAATTTTCCCATGCGTTTATCTGATGATTGTTCTGGAATGATGTATTGCATTTATTATAGTATACTCATTTGTTTTGCTTCCTGAGTTTGACCAATTGAGGTAAATCTAGAACTACCACTCTCAGGGTGTAGATTAATGAAAGCTGTTTTAATGAGACAGAAGGCAAGTTTATGGTGTAGATTAATGAATTAGTATTAATTACACACGAGTGGTCATTTTGCTCTGGGATTTATGTCTCCTCTGGACTTGCTGTCGAGCATTTAAGGATGCGATAAGTTGCGAGGTCATCTCACAAGCCCTTGTTGATCATGTTGCCACTGTAGATCTATTGCAAAATAGTGAAAGCTTCCATTGTAATAGTGAGAAAATTAATCTCAACTGACTAGTGGTATAGTCTACATTCTACTTGTCAACTGTGTTGTTTCCACCATTGCATATCACCCACCTCTATTTTTAAACTACTCTCTTAACAAGATTGTCAAAGCTAAACAAACCCTCGAACCTCTCTCAAAAATCTTCTAAAAATCTGAATAGTTTTCAGAAGTATCTTTGCTTTTAAAAAAAATTTCAAAGCTAAACTGTATGTTGTTGTTCTATTTTTTTTCAATCAGAATTGTTGCTATGCGAAATACCAACCACATAATGGCATGGAGAGGTATTGTTTTGTCCAATTTGGTCACAATGTGAATACGGTAACTGATTACTTTCATGTTTTATGTGTTAAAAAATAATAGGTGATTGCCTAAATCGTAACATATAGCTGAACCCTAAATGATAAGGGATGAAATCTGAAAGGTCTTGACTGTCAAATCTTCAAGAAGCAACGGGAAAGGGAGCTTATAAGCCTCCTTTAAGAGCTGAAATTTACAATTCATGGTTCCTCGCTTCTGTAGATTCTAAAATAAGCCCTGATAGTCAACAATGACTCGCGACCACTGATAAGTTAACTGTGAGTTTTGAAGCACACAGGTTGGCAAGTAGAACTTGACTGACATTATGAGGGTATGGTGTTTTTTTCTTATACAAGATATCCACATGCAAGTGGGAGCTATTGTAGGAAATAACTTCATCAGCACATGGAGAGTACATTTATGTTATGTGTAGGAATTGCCGGTGTAATGCCACTAAAAATTGTCAAAGCAGGAGTGGTTTCATTGCAACGCTTGAATGTGTTCTATTGGTTTATCTGCATTGATCCTCGTAGATTGTTCTTTTGCTGTGTCTGTATTTTCAGCTCAAAACAGTGATGTATACGTAGTACTAAATTTCTATGCAACTGCATGCAGGTCAAAGACATGGGTTTTGGAATTTGTTGATTTGGGAGGTGAGATGAGAAGAGATGTCTGGCATGCCTTTCTATGTGAAGTAATAGCTTTGCACAAGTTCATCCGTGAGTATGGACCTGAAGAAAGTGATCAATCTATCTTTCATGTGTATGGAGCCCATAAAGGAAAGGAACGAGCAATCATGAGTGCCATTAATAGCATAGCTAGACTTCAAGCTCTTCAATTTATGCGTAGGTTGTTGGATAATCCCCTCAAACTTGTTCAGTTTTCATACTTACAGAATTCACCCTATGGTAGTGTTGTTTGCCAAGCTCTAGCTTTGAATATTTGGGGTGGACAGCTAGTCACAAGGTATACAGAAGCAGGTTCTCCATCAGATCAAGAATCGTCGCCTTCTGATGTAATATCAGAAAATACTGGTCATATTTATGACATAGATGGAAGCATATACTTGAGAAAATGGATGAGATCTCCATCTTGGGTTTCCAGCTCTTCCGTCACTTTTTGGAGGAATGCATTAATAAAACAAGGTCTTGTATTAAGTAAAAATCTTGTTGTGGCTGATGCAAGCGTGGTAGAAAAAGCAGCAACTACATGCAGAAAGAAAGGCAAGATGGTTGAAAAAACACAAGCGACAATAGATGCTGCAATGCTGAAGGGAATCCCTAATAACATAGACCTTTTCAAGGTAGGATTTTCTTTTGTCCTTTCCTTTCTCATGTCTCTTGGTCAACTATAATTAGTTAATTCGTACTTTTTTTTTGCATCTAGTGAAGCTGGTTGTGGTTTTTTTTTTGGGGGGGGGGGGGGGGGGTTTGTGTTGGGGGTTGTTGCTCCCTTGGTGCCGTCATTGTGAGATTTCCTTTTTTTGATCAACAAAAGTTAACTTGATGCTTCTTATTGTGGTATTTGAAGATCGTCAAACTATTGTATTTCGGTTTAAAAACTTTTCATTTTGCAGGAAATTATATTTCCTTTGACAATCGCTATCAGAAATTTTGAAAGGCTCAGACGCTGGGAGGAGCCTCACGTCACCATCTCATTTCTTGCATGTGCATATACCTTGATATTCAGGTAGGCTTTTGACATGCTGTCATTGTCATCATCCTGTAATCTTAGTCGTGGAGAGAAACCTTCAAAGTTTTCTTTCAACTATTAGGAAGTTGATACTTGATTTAGAGAACAAAACATGCAATGCAATGAGATGGTTTGAATCTATAATTTGACAAGTTGGGATTCATATATTTCATGTTCACAGATTGTTCTTTCTCTGAATTTAGTACTTTGAACTGATTCTTAAATCATTTGTGCCCACTTTCAACTCGCAAGGCAAAAAAATTGTTGTGAGCACTTTTCCTATATGACCTAGGACATGCAGATTGTGATGCTAAAAAATCAGAAAGTTTAAAATTTGCCTTCTGTACCTTGGAGATTAGAAGATGACACTTGGTTTTATGATATTTCAAGTAGTCTTTTACTTTTAGCACGCCATTGTCTTTGATGATTTTTCAAGTAGTCTTTAACTTCTAGCACTCATCAGCGACATGATGTGATGCTTTGCAGGAATTTATGGTCATATGTATTTCCATCGGCACTAATTATTCTTGCAGCTGGTATGCTGACATTAAAAGGACTAAAGGAGCAGGGCCGCCTTGGAAGATCTTTTGGATCAGTTACGATTCGTGATCAGCCACCTTCGAATACCATTCAAAAAATCATAGCTGTGAAAGATGCTATGCGTGATGTTGAGAACTATCTGCAGAATCTCAATATTTTACTTCTAAAATTACGAACAATTGTGCTTGCTGGTCAACCTCAGGTACGTTGACATGACTGACTAATAGATGTTCTTTCTTTGAAGCATTTCGTCATATTCCTGAACATCCTTTTTTCGGCTCCTAAGATAACCAACAACAACAGCTACCAATAGCCTTTTATCTCCAAGGATAGTTGGATACATGGATCATTTTGTTCCTTTGCACTCTATCATGTACAATGTCCTCTCTAACGGTACTTAAGATCTTTCCTCAAATTCAAAGAACTCTGCTCATTTCATTTGCCCTTCTCACTTGCATCTTCATCGTAATAGTACATGTCTGTGCCATTTAAGTAAATCTCGCTTGTGCCAGGTAATTTTTGTGATTCCATTTAGTGACTTTTCTTCTGATATAGTACGTGATGTGATCCATTATTTCCCTATCACATTATAGTGCATATTACTGTACATAGTTCCACCTTCTTGAAAAAAAGTGAAAACATGAAAACAATTAGTTCCTATCATTTATTAGGTCAATTTAGTATTATAGTTTCTACCTTACTAGAGGGGGAGTGAAGTTCTAAAGCTGGAAGAGAGTAAGTCCTTGTCAACGCATTTATTTGGGAAAAGTTAAACTTCGGGTGTGTTTGTTTCGCGGAAAATGAATGATTTGGAAAACGTTTTCCAAAAAATGATTTCTCGTATTGCTTACAAAAATGAATGAACAAAAAATATTTTCATCGTCCCCGAAAATATTTAGACATAAATTGTTGTCAATAATGAAAATATTTTTCATTGATTAGTTATTTCAATCGAAACGAGTGATCATTTTTAGAAAAATATTTTTAAAATCATTCATTTTCCATGAAACAAATGGAATCTTGTTTTATCTATTCAAGTTTGTGGATTTAGTACCATTGACATATTGTCTACTTGATCATTTAGTACAAATTACATATTTCAAATTAAAGTTATTGTGGCACAGTCTGAGTTTGTTTTAATTAGATCGAAACCCTTGCATTTTTATAATTAAGCTGAAACCTCTTATTAGACCAAAAAAATAAAATAATGAATATTCCTTAACTTTGGTTTCGTCTTTCATCCAAGTAAACTGAAATTGTGATGTAATCTATTCTCTCATACAGCTCATAATAGCATGTGGCATCATGTAATAGGCTTGAAAGCTTGCCGAAAATGAAATAGAATCGACCCACTATCAGGTGCTTTGCTTTGGTTTTTGCCTAGGACACATGTCAGGTTCTATTTCCTTTCAGGCAAGCATTCTATCCTATGGGCATGATGCTCTGAGTTGCTATGGTTTTTGTTCAAGGACTCATTGCATTCATGTCATCACTTAATTGGATTAAGGCATACACGAAAAGTAAAGAAAATTCTATTATTTCAAATTACGCACTGATAAGAGGTGTTGGTCTAGTTTCTATAAACACAGGGTTGTGACTATAATTTAGCCAATACTCGGGATGTGTCAAACTAAATTATGCTAAAGTTATCGCAACTTCTAATTTCCAGGTCATATTTTTTGTAAAGTCCTGGAGCAATTAACTTGAGAAGCTCTAGCTTTATGGCTCGCTTAATTCTTATCTTCACCAAATTCACATATGTATGAACTCTCGGATAGTCCACAGTTGAGTATGACCATACATTACTTCTACTAAACTCCCATTAATATATATGCTCAATCCTGTATGGCAGATATGAATTTTATAATTCTAAATCTGTTATCAACATGTATTCTTGTAAATTACTATTTCTTGAATTTTTAATTATGCTTTTCCATCTGCAGCATGCCCGCAGGTTTCCATCACTAGTTATCTAATTCTAAGATAGTAATGTTAGGACTTAATACAATCCTATTCACAACTTAGATGACTGGTGCTGTCCCCAAAGGTAACACTTGACCGGCCTGATTTTATCCCATTTGCTGTTATATAAAGGTTGTGTCTCAAGCCACAATGAGTTGACAACTATGCTGTTGTCATTACTTTCAAGTCTTGTATGATCGCATTCTTTCTGCGGCTTGATATTGTGCTGGTTTCTTGGTTATAATTTAGTCTTCAACTCTTCAGTAGCAGTAGTATAGTATAGGTGTAGCTAATGACTTATCTAATGCTCTGACCTTCTACCTAATTGACATATGGGGCTGTGCCATACTGAGCTATATAAATAAATAAATAAATAAATAAATAAAAGATTATATCGAGATCTTGGGAAGTGCCGATGCTTTGTGTAATGTTTTGCTTATTACCTTTCTGGGTCTCTATATGGCATTGGTCTCTCGATATATCTATATTTGATGTTTGACCGATCCTCTCTCTCTCTCTCTCTCTCTCTCTCTCTCATGAGTGTACATGCATGAACCATTTCCCGAAGTATGTGTCTGGAAAGCCCTTATATAATTATGTCCTCTTTACAGATAACAACAGAGGTTGGCCTGGTCCTGTTATCTTCGGCGACGATCATGCTCCTTGTCTCGTTCAAATATATTTTTAGTTTTCTTCTGTTCGACCTTTTCACACGGGAGCTAGACTTCCGGAAAGAAATGGTTCGGAGGTTCATGAGTCTCCTAAAGGAACGTTGGGATATGGTACCAGCCGCACCCGTCGTAGTCTTGCCTTATCAAAATGAAGTGTCCGGGTCGCCCAACGGAGGAATGGTGATTGACAAACAAGAAAGATCGCAAGGCAATTTGAGGGGCGGCAATCAGCTATAAGCGGTGAACTTTCCCTACTACTTCTTTCCTCATTCGTGTACATAAAATATTTTTCGAACGTATCTGGTAATTAGGACCTTTTCTTCTCTCTTCTACAAAAAATAAGAAACTACGCGATATTGCTCGGCGTTCTTCAGTTCATCATGTATACGTGCATTTTTGTATTTTTTTTCCTTGCAATACTTGCTAATACACTTTGTGCCCACTTTGAGATATCACTTGGACAATGTAAACACTGGAATGAGCCTCGAAGTTCTGTACCATTGTTGGCGCTGTCTGAAACGCTTGAGAAGTTCTAAAACCAGAAACAAAAATAAGAAAAATTGAGCAAGGTTAAGATGTACAAATGCAAAATTGACTTACGGAAGATCCTAAAAATTAGCAGTGCCAAGATCATCATGATTATAATCAAGTGCTGATATACTTGTGGAAGTAGCATGCAACAGAGATCTGGGGGCACAAGCGGAGAGATCTGATTACTTGGAGATCCATAAAATACCTACTAGTCTCACAAATCGGTTTAGTCTGTGCCTTTTAGCCTAGGTGGTCTCGATTAAAAACAATTTACTTGCAATTGGTGAGATTTAAAAAAGCGACATTCAGTTCTCGAGTTGGAAATTCTCTCTTTCAAAAGAAGACAACGTTAAACATAAGGTTTAATGCATAGTGAAAACAATTTCAAGCGAATGCTAAGTAATCCATTTTCAATTTGAGACTGTAAACTGGAAACAAAGGAATAGTATTGCTTGGAAATTCTCATTTGGAAGAAGCTAGAGTGAAAGCATGCAACTTAACTTAGAAAAGAACACGCTCAAATTTATTTCAAATTTTTCAACCAAGTTGAAATTAGAAATTTTTGTGATTTCTCATTTTTACTCGAAAAGTTGCAAATATTTTCCTGAACCCAAAGAGATTCACAATTTGAAGAGCACTTTGCTTATGAAATCACAGAATACTACTCCTCAACCTTCTTTAGCTGTGATTTGGAGATTTGTACGAGGTGGAGAGCAAGGTATCTGCGCCAGTTTATCAGTTGCAGATATTCATTTTGACCACCTGAATGTGGCAAGACCATGTTGGCTTAATCCACTGCCAACCAGATTCACGTAATTTCTTGTTTGGCCTTACATAAGGCTTGCATTTGTTGGTAGCTTGGATGGACCAGAACTTTGTGTATAGGCGGGTACGAATGAGAACTCTCTCTCGGTACACTTTTGTGCAGTAGCTAGAACCGTCGTGGGTCGGATTGGATCAATGGTCTTGCCCAAATTGACCCATTTAACCCGTTTTCATGCAATGCATATCTAGTAACCCATATCCAACTCATACTCATTTCGACCCATATTGCTAAACACTTCCATATTAAACCCAATCTATGAAAACTCATACTCAAACTGAGATCTCTAGTGCGGAGCGAGCAAGCATAAGATCGAGTGAAGGTGAGAGAGAATGAAGATAGAGTCGTAAAGGTGAATTTGGTCTATGTAAGTTGTAAACCTATTTAACATCCATATCATATTGGGTTTTACCATTATAAACCCATTTAATGAATATAATTGACTAATACAACAACTCAGACAATCATATACGGGTTAAAAAATGGGTCCATTACCCATTTTGACAGGTCTAGTAGTAGCAATCTCTTTTGGGAGTAATTTGGATTTCTACATCTTCTGCATAGCTGCAATAGATTGGTGTCACGGCCATATTTTCTGCATATGCGGCATAGAGAGTCCAATCATTCTCGTTGCTTCTCCGAACATAAGCGGCTTGTTCTGCATCTGCCACAAGCTCGGTGTCTCGGTTCTGGCCACGGCCTCTTCTTCCAGGATTATATCTTGGTCTAGAATTGGTTGCGTCATTTTTCAAGTATCTTTCGAATTTTCGCGGTCGGTGGCGACCATCTTCGACCGGAAAGCTTGCTCTGAGTTTCGAGCTGAGAATCTGCTCATCCTTTTGTTGTTGCGTCTCAAGGGAGCTCGTCAACTCATCTACTGTATAGGTTGTTAAGTCTTTCAATCTTCAATAGCAGCAATGGCGTGTTCAAACTTTTGTTAACGAGCTTCACGATAAACTTTTGTTCCGGACTAAGCGCGATTCATTTATGTGATCTATACGCTCTTATTGCTTTGTCCGCCGAACGAATTACCGATGTAGACATTCTTCTGGAGGACGAACGATCAATCTAAGCCTTCATGAATATCACATGACGATATTCGTATATCGTAGGAGCTCTAATGTCGATGGCAGACCGACGCATCTCGTTTTTTCTTTTTTCTGGGTTTCTTTCTTATATGCTTCTCGGATAACTTTTATTTGCCCGCGACTAATTGCTAGACTTTGCGCTTACCTCTCTTTTACTATGTAAGGTGGCATTTCCTTCGATGCTTTCAGTAAAAAAGACATAGAGAATCGATTTTTGCGCGAAGCGCTTGTCCAAGATAAGATGAAGCAAATTTTCAGTAATTTTCCCCCCCTTCAAGATTTTTCATTCGGCATCAATTGAAAATGGATGAATTCTTTGCCAGAGTTGCAGAAATTGCAAAGCTTCGATTGCAAAAACTACAAATGCAATGACCACATTGGAAGAACAATGGATGTTCGTGGCTAAAAGCGCATTTCCAAAGTTCTTAAATAAGGATTACTATCAGGTTTACCGTTATCGTGAAAAAAAATACTTATACATTCACTGTTCATTTCAGTGATTTAGCGATGAATGTGTGAGTTATGTTTTTAATCCCGGAAGCGGAACTAATAAAAATTCGTTAGATAAAAGCCACCCATAACTCAATAATAAATGATCACAGTATATACATGAACTTCTTTCCTTGCATTTACATGTTCATATACTTCCTCATGCAAATAGCTATCACTATGTATCCCGGTGCGAACATCAAAAGTTCTTTTGTTATCAAGTTCGGGACCGTTTAAAATCACACGAGTTGTTTGGAAACCAGAAACACCATCAAATTATAGTCGCAACTCATCGCGATCATGTCAATGTACAAAATCAAGAAGTCGATTTACATGATGAACCCCAAAAACTGATGGGTGCCGACGATCATGGGCAGCACGATCACCAGAAACCACCATCCGTAGAAGGATGCCCTCAAATCAGTTGATCCATTGCATTTCGATGAACCGTCATGAAAAGAGCAGACCGTTGCATTCCTGGATTCAACATGCCCGCGTCTTATGAGTTAGTATAATAACATGCAACCCCTTATGATAAGCTAAGCAATTATCGATAAACGGTATCGTAATTTCACAATGAACTCGAATCTGCATGAGTTAAGCATTTCATTTTTCTGAAAGGTTTACGCTAACTTATGGTGTAGACTTGAATTATTTCAGATGATGTGAGGTTAGGCCTCTGAAAATGGCAGTCTTACAGCTTCTTAGCATTTCTTCATGCCTCGACTACCTTTCTACATCAATATTCACAAGTAAATGATGATGGGGCATCATTGATAAAATCCAAAGCAACGAAAAGAGAATAAATGGTCGAGATTTACCTCGACGAGCAGAAGCTCAAGGCGTATTCTGGGCTGGTGCATGTTTTGAGGCTCGTGGGGTCGTCTTTTGCGTAGCTATAAGCATCCGGGCAGAATGACTTGAAAGCCTTTGAATAGTTACTTGGCTGGCAAGTCTGCGCGGTTGCGAACGCGCCCCTGCAACATAACTCATCCGTGTTGAACATATCGCATGCGCTATTGCAAGCAATCACCTTCCCATCGGACTTAACAGTGAGGTCCGAGGGGCAATTCGATCTCAAATCTCCGTCGCACCCTGCGTTGCTGCAATTTTCCTTAGCATTTAGAGCTTTTATCACTATGGGCAAATTGAAGCCGTCCACGAGGCTAACGTCATAATAATCCGGCTCTCCGAGGGTGAACTCGGCAATCGAAACGGGCGGTGTCCCGGGCCCGGTGCAGTTCAAGGAAGTGCCACATCCACCAGTTTGGCACTTGCCATTGCCGTTCTTATCAAAATCGCAGCCAGTTCGGCCCCAAATCCGCCCGGACCAAGTGGCCGATGCAGTGTAGACAGCAGATTGGCCCGGTTTCAATGCAAAGCCACTGATGTTAAAACTTTCACTATTTGTTAGCCCGGGCCATACAGTCTCTTTGCAGTTGTTTGCTATAGTAAATTTTCTGGTCCCTTGAGAGGCTACTTCTGGTTACAAAAAACCAAAAGAGAAGGAAAAGAAAATATTTAATGCTTCACGTACTAAGAAACTAAGCCAACATAAGGATCCAACAGTGAAGAACTCGCAACTACGGCAAGCACTAAAACTGGAATTCGTCTGCTAGAATCATGCGATTAATGGCAAAATAAAGTGACGAACAATGTCGTTTATCCTTGGCCTCCCAAAAAGAATGATAACTATCAGCTAAACACACCAAGAAATTAAACTTAACAGATTGGTTCAAAACCCATGCAAAGCAAGCATGTTGTCCTAACTAAGCAAATACCGTTGATTTATATTGTCTAGTTTGGACGAAGATATACTCCCATTAGTACTCTTCTTCGGTGCCTCGATCGTATCTCAACCGTCGACCCATGTGAGAAAAGTTAGTTCTGAAGCTCATCGCCGGATCAAATTGTTGAGAATAACCGAGGCACTGAACGAGAGCACATAGAGAGGTAAAGGATCTTTGTCCGACTATCTCTTCTTAATCGGCTTTTTATGCAAGAGAGATTCATACTGCCACATCTTACCTGTTGCGGCTACGCCGAGTACGAGCAAGACTTTGAGAAGTAGACAGACGTGAAAAGCCATTTCTCTTTGGTCCTTCCTCTGTCGCCGATGGGCTACACTTCGACGTGCATGGGAGGTATGTGTGTGTGTGTGTTTAATTATATGACCAGCCAACGCTGGAAAAGAAGAAGAAGAATGCGTGCGGAGGAGAGTGAATGTACGAACAGAAGCTAAGACAGCACAGAAAAGTGGGTTCCTTGCTTAGTTCAATGGTCAACAAGATACCTTGCCCTTAACACATCATCGGCAGATTTTCACATATATTCCACCGCTATACCTTTTCACTTTTGAAACTATATAATATATGTGTAGTGTGTGTGTTGTGTTGTTTCTTGTATAACCAAGGGACATCCCATTTTGCAAAAAGTGCTCTTATGTCGTCCAAACTCCGGAATAGAACTCACCTCTCATCTTTTGAATTGGAAATTTTCATGTTATAATTCAGATATATGTATCTGTTGGGGTGTAGGTCATACTCCTCTCCGAGAGAAAGGCATGAGGGCCCCGTTCCCCAGTGAGTGGGAGTGGGTCGTAGGAGGTAGCGCTCCGCGAAACCAGATGATTTTTATATTTTGAGCATGTATTTTATTGGAAGTTTGGGCTTGGACTCATGAATAGCTACTATATATTCTCTTTCTCTTGTAATTAAGGAATGTAATAGAGAGATACGAGGTGCTAATTATAGTGGAATTCTTTGCTGGACATAACCCTAGTTTAAGGGTGAACTAGGATAAAAATTTTGTGTTTCAATTTTCTTTTCTCACTTTTACTCTCTATTTATTTGTGATTGTGTGTCAAATCCTAACAGTATTTACATATGAATAAAGGATTTAGGATTTCTTTTCTTGTGTCGTATATATGCTTGTCATAATTTAATGCATGTAATATTGTTAGTTGTGCCTTTTACTTAGAAGGCAAGGAAAGGAAAAAGAAGAGACAGATTGTAGATCAATGATATTGTCCTTCAAAACTGTTCTACTTCCCACAACTTTTCATGTAAATCCATGAAGAGAAGAGAGTGAGTTGATTCTGGTTCATGCCAAACAAAATCAGACTCGATATTATTATCCGTAACCCCGTATGTAGTTTCCATTACTTAAGAACTCCATGTAGCGGTATGACTTTTGGCAATGGCTATACACGAGACTAGATGCTAACCCGCGCGATGCATGGTCCAAGTTAAATTACTCTTAAACAAAAGTAAAACAACAAAAAAATGGTCAAACAATTAGATAATTATTCCATAAATGAAGAACTCCTTCTCAAACATCATCAATCAGTGTGCCAATGCTTAAATTTAACTAATTTCTCAACTTGTATCAAATCTTATTTTTCAGTGGTCCTGTCCTTTATATGTCAAGTCTTTGATGAATCACTTGATCCTACACATGTTATCATAAAAGTCGAGAGAGAAAGTGTGACTGATAGCGGCAACATATATGACATTTTACCTTACATCGTACTGAAGCAAACTAAACATCCGCCTTGAACAAAAGGATGAGAGGGCAATTGAATCCAAATTTGTGCCCAATATATAACACAAAATTGTACAATAAGAAGCCAAAAAAAAGAAGAAAAGAATACGACTTTTTAAATCACAATCTACATAGCAATGAATGATATCTTATGCCAAAAAATAAGGCATGATTTCATAATTATAACTCCGGACTTTTTATTATAGGATTTACGGGGAGTTGAAAGCGGAAATATTGCGAAAATCATAGGTAAAATAGAAATCTCTTCGTATATTGATGATTCTCATCCTTCTGTTATAGCAAAATAAAAAAAAATCATCCTTCTGTTATAGCAAAATAAAAAATCAAATGTTCAATGTGATTACCCTCATAGTCAAAGGGGGACATGTAAATAAAGAGAATGGTAGTTGCAACTTTAAACTTTGAAGCTAAAGGTGCGAAGTCGAAAATAAATGAAAATTTACGGCGGGCAATTAATTCGAAGCGTAAAAAATATTGGCTCAGGCGATAGTCTTTTTCTTTGGAAAATGCAACAAATCCACTTTCGTGCAGTGAAAGGATGCATTTCTAAATATCCAAGAGTCTTAAATGTCAAAGTTTAGAGGCAATTTTCGGAGCAGACATAGTTATATATATTTATATAGATGTCGTACTTCTTTGCCTACATTCAATAATCAGGCCGGCCATCATCGAGGCATATCATGTGGTGACATCTTTGTACAATATATACATTGCACAAAGACAAAACAGCAGTCCTTGGATCATTCTTTACATGGTTTGATCTCAAGACGACCATGGGATGCACAAAATGTCATTGAGGGAGACAAACCTCCTCCGAGTGTCTCTATGCTGTGAGTGTTCCACTCGTAAACAACATTGCCAGTAGGGCAAAAGAACCAGTAATATGACTTCGCAGCACGAGCTCTGATCTTTCCTATTCTCACCAAAACGCCTGCAACGCAATCTGTGCAAAGGCAAAAACCCAGGCCTCTCTAGGCACAGAATATTATAGCATCTTGTTTTGAGATTCTCAAGTTTGTTGCCCTGGTTTACCATCCCCTCCAATCAACTTTTCCCAATAATCAGAACCAATGGTGACAACACAACAAAGTCCAGATGCTCCCGGATAAAGCCGATAGCATCTTTGTGTAGCTTTGCTTATACAATCCAAGACGAGCAGAATAAAGAAACAGCACATGGCGATATGACCGGAAATTCAAATGATTTAAACATGTACAAGACAAGGTCACACAGGTTGCCAGCTCCATCTAGATGTAGCCAAACAGCAGATTTATGTGAAGATGTTAATTCAATGTGCAGTTAGGAAGGGAGATGAAACCTGCATGATTCCCCCCACTGCAGGTGTCAAGAGTATCACCTCTTATTCTAAAGAAATTACAACGAGAATTTCAAGTAAAAATATAGGAAGTTGTCCCACTGTCAAAAACAAATCAATAAGGGGAAAGAGGATGCTTAACAAATTCAACCCTCCCCGAACCCATGTACCTAAAAAGGAAAAGGAAAAAAAAAGACAAAACCCATCTCTCTAGCCATATCTCATGTCTTCCGACTTCAGCTCCGGACAACCTGGCAACCAACCCCAGTAATTCACGGTCTTCAAGGTTAATTGAGCAAAGAATGTAAGGTCATATATCTCCATTAGAAGGCAAAATTGGAGGCACGACACAGGTACGACAAAGCTACGCTCAACTTGCTGACACCTTCTTCCTGACTATTCTCTTCCTCCTTGCCTTTGGAGGCGGTGCTTCCCCATTGACAGTATCTGCATTACCTTCCTTGCTACCAAAAAGTCCAAGACCAGAAACAATGGCATTTTTCGATATTAACCATTTGGGAGAGGACTTAGGTACAACTTCTTCCAGTCTATTATAAGCCTTCAGGAGGCTATCTGAATGAGCCAGTGGATCAGGCTCCATGCCAAGCCAGGCATGCCTCAATGTCTGCCCTACATTGCCATTCATAATCCTACACGAAATAAAAGATGAATTTAGGACAAAAGCCACGTTACGATCCAAGGCATTTTCAAAGTCAATCAAACAATCATGCAGCACTTTCAGCTTTCTATGAATTCATATTCACAACCACAAAATAGCTGATAACTAGCCGAGGAAGTGCCCGATGAGGATCCTCACAAAATTGCGGAGAGAGAGAGAAAGAGAGACCTAGTAGCCTGATTAGGTGAAAAGGAACTACACACATTGATTGGGTAGTATAAATTTGCATCACACAGCACAATATCCAACAAGTGACTTGATTCCCCAGGAGAAAGGAATGATCCATGTTCTTAAAGTTAGTATAAGTTTTTTGCATATGGCAAAAATACAATGCAACTCCACACACACACACAGAGAGAGAGAGAGAGAGAGAGAGAGAGAGAGAGAGAGAGAGAGCACCTCAGAGCAGTTCCAAAGAACAGGGCCACTCCAATAACATCAAAATGGTTTGTCAACAATCTATCAGATCCACATAAAAGCTGATAACTCAAGTTTGCATATATGCCCAGGAAAGCACCGTAACCAAGTGCATTTGTGCTCACTGTGGGTATTGTCACCGATAACCTGTCAATTATTTTCAGGTCAGCAAATAAATCATAGGACTTTCTTCCATTGTAAGATGGAACCTTATTCCCGTTATTTATGTTCTTTTCAAAGCAGCATTACCATACCAGGAAAAAGTTGCCTCAGAAAAATGCGTACCTTTCCTTCTTTTTACTTGCTAGGAAATTGGACAAAGAACCTTGCACTGTCCCGGCAGTCAACCCAATCATACACAGCTCTGCAGCTCTGAAACAGAAAGAATGGAACCTCTTTTGCAGGTCAAACTCTCTCATTGGGTAACTCTTCTCAAATATATTGTTGGGGAGCTTCTGCAATGTATTTTGTAGATCAAACCGGAATGTGTCCCCGTATGAACGACAAGGGGCAAGTGACCAAACAACAAGAGCATTGCACAGAGATGCTGTGAGAACATTTGTAAGCGCCAAATCCCACTCCTGCTTTATCCTGTAACAAGTACAAAGAAGTCATTTGTGCATATCCAAGAAGCACATCAATTACTCCTGCGTATCCCGTAACAAAAGAGAGAGGCACAAACCTCTCTTTACGACTCTTCAGTTCCCATGAAACAGCAAAACCAATGGTGGCAGCTTGCTCTAGGAGAAGCTTATATAAAAATGCAGGATCTGCAATCATCCTATTAAAAAATGTAACAGACAGGAGAGTAAGTTTGTTGGCAATCACAAGCAAGTGCACGTGCAAAAATCGAACTACGCATCTTCCACTTTCTTCTTTAAACAGAAAAGAAAGTTTATCGATAGCAACTGGCTGTGATGGTCTTTGAGAAATTTTGCTAATCAACAGCAATGGTTTAAGGAACTCTTTCGTTTCTGAAATAGCTAAATGGCGCAGTTTCCCAAGGAAATTGAGAGGTGGGGAGAAATTCAGTAAGAAGTGGAAATCATCCCAAATTATGAATCTAGACTCATCGGATATCAAGTGTACATGGGAATCTGGCTCTTCAACCTTGGTAACAAGATCCATTGAAGGAAGGCATCATACCTACCATGGTTTAAGCAGCTTCCCATCACCCCTTACTGTCAAATCGGGGAAAAGAACATCTACTAACACCTGGTACTCAGAACGTTGACTAAAAATTTGCTTCACTATTATGAAGATAACCAGAACTTTGAACAAATTCCTCCTTTAATCCTGCTCTCCTCCGGAAGCAACAAGGTTACTTGATCTAAGATTCATAATTGCACAATCCCCAAAATTGCTGTCTGCTCATAGACATAGCAGTACATCCAAAGATTTAAAAACTAAAGCTGGGACTGTTTCTGACCAAGCTACATTATGAGGAAGTTCTTACCTGCCAATAAATGCCCTAGACATAGCTTCCGGTAGCGATCGCGATATAAACCTGGCAGTTGTTGGTCTAGCATTGATTGCCAGAAACTTAACCATTTGAGCGGAGCTGACCAAACCCTGCAGGCCATTTTCAGTATTCTCCTGGACATGTAAACAGTTAATAATAGATAGAGAGGAAGAATCCACACCATTTCACACGCTTGCCGGAAGCCAGCAGGCAAATCCATCATCGTCTTCTGCCATTCATTTAATACTGCATTAATGAATTTGCGGTCGAATAGCTGGGAGAAAGAAAACAATGATCAGGCCAGTGCATAAGATATATTGACATTTCTAAAGTATAAGAATGCGTATCAGCATAAATGCAACCTCTTCAAGAAACATCCTTCTCCTAAATAGCCCTCCCTCATCACCTTCATCGCCATCATCGAAGTCATCAAAATAATCATCATCATCGCCATCGTCATCACCTCCGTCACCTCCCCCATGACTGATCCTCTTTCCAATATCACCACCACCTCCCCCCGTTGCAAGCTGTAAAAAAAATTCAGCACTTTATCTCAAATTGTGAATTATAAACAAACTTACAATCCTACACCTGGGAAAAAATAAAAAGCCAAAGAAAATCAGAAAGTTGTATTTCTTCAAGGATTTTATCCGTGCAAAATTGCTAGAGTAATTTCTCAGTTCGTTAGATAAACGTAAAGAATTTCCTAATCATCTTATAGAACTCAAGAACTGACTGTTACTAGCACAAAATATGACAATGGATAAAAATCCATAAAAGAGTCCGATCAAAACATCCAACTTAATTTTTTTATTGCATAAGGATGCTAGAACTAGATTACCTATAGAAGATTTCAAAATCATCACGAGCCTCACATTTTTCTATTTCCAAATCTGGATTGTTACATAATTAATCCTTTAACTATCCATACATAAAATTAGAAGATACAGACTACAAAAGATATCTCTTAGGTCAATGACACCAAATAACATTAAATGAACGGATTTGTAACGTATATGGAATATAATGCAAAAGAGCAACTTTACGGTGGAATTTCAGTTTTAGTTTTTAGTTGACAATTATGTTTCTCATGATCAAGGATATAACAGGTTTTTTGCTAATGAGTTTTTTCAAAACTTCCATGCTGAAATTAGTTACCGTGTCACACTTCTTCATTGTCCTTGGACGAGAACTTTTTGAGCTACCTGTTATGCCTCTATGGGGCATTCTTGGGTTATAGCAAGATCCATTGAGCAAGAACTATGGACGCAGCAAGGCATTCTTATCCCTTGCCATAAGTCGATGTATATCCACAGTTCCTCTTTCCATTTTTTGGTTGGTTGGCTTGGAAAAAGCAGAACAACAAAGCTTTTGAAGGATAAAGAGTTTTTTGTTCAAGATTATTCAAAATTGGTTTACAATTTTTCACCTTTGGTATATTGGGATTTTACTCTAAGATGTAAATATTTTGATTGACATTGTAGATTCCCTGTCTCATAAATGAGCCCCTTATTATTTCGGCTTTGAGCTCTTTTGGTTTCAAGCTCCCATTGTAGATGGGTTGGCACCGTCTTGGTGCCACGTCGTGAATTTCTACCTAACTATTAGAAAATCTGTGTGTGTGTGTGTGTGTGTGTGAGAGAGAGAGAGAGAGAGAGAGAGAACAAGAATCATTGTTACACTGTTGCCAGGCATGTCAAGTAACCAAATACGCCAAGTCAAGAGAAATTTATTATCCTTAACAGGCTATAAATCTTGAGTTATAAGGACTACCAACAGCCCCCTTGCTTCTAATTATCCAAGAGCCAGACACCGTCAATAATTGCGAGAAAATCTTGACACAAGTAATCCCCTGTACTTAGGATCTAGAAACATATTCCATTGAAGGTTTTTTTTTCACTTGGTAAGCTGCTTGAGGATGTACTCTTACTTTGGATAATCTTCAGAAGAGAGGAAAAACACTGGCTAATAGGTTCTTTTTTGCAAGATTGAAGAAAGTGCGAATCACTTACTTTTACATTGAAGCTGGACCATTAACATTTAAACTACATGTTTTACAATTTAGGAGTAAATTATGTGACCTGAGGCACGGTGCGACACGAACTTTGGGCTTGGTGAGAGACTTTCAGATCATGTGTTGGAAAGAAGCAAATTACTAAAATGATCCCTGGAAGATTTATCTAAACCATAAAATGACTCACCAAGAAATTTAATCTAAACCACAAAATGAATACCACTCAAAGGTTAATCTGAACCATAACAAATTACAAGAGCAAGACGTTGATAAAGCAACATTAATTTCTTCAGTACAGGTGAAGGGCACTCAGAGTTTGTATTGATCTATGGTATCGATGTGAATAAAACAATTCACCCGTCAGAAGTTGAAGTTGTGAATTGCGGAATGATGTAACATCACACAATGCACCGCCTGCCCTTACCAAGTGCCCAAAAAAACTATTCTAGAGTACTAAGTGCAAACCCCGACAATTAACATCGACTTGACCAAGAAATGAATAGTCTAGTCTGAGAATCCGTGGAATCCCATATCCAACGACTGCTTGCATCATGTCATGTAATTTGTCCGTGTCCATCGTTAACAAAGAAGAAATGAGCATGTCTTCTTAATGTAAATGGATAGAAATGAGGGGTTTATGCTTCAGCAATCGACACTATAAGGTTTTTCTTTATCGCTCAAGCTTCAGAAGAGTTTGAGATGAAGTTAAAGCAGAATATATCGCACCTTTTAAATCAAATTGTCCAATTTTATGCAACATAAAGCACAGTACTTCAACTAACTAAAATCTTTGGAAAAGATCCACCAACAGCCTCTTCAGATGGTCCAGTTGAATTCCAGTCTTATAAAATAGAATACTCTTTACGGTCATCCCTCGATTTTGGCATCATGATGTCTAATTGGGACTGAACGACGGAAGTGAGAACATCAACTCCAACGGTTATGAAGTTCCAGGTCAAGAAACCTAGTAACGAGCAACCTTTTTTCACATGTTATCTCATTCAGTCTTTCTTCCTTCTTTCCCTTCCAAATGCAAAGGCAGTAGGCCATCCACCAAACCAGACACTGCCCACACTACAACCTTAATCTCCTCTGCAGAAAGACCGAAACTCTACTGTTTTGTTCATGAATTCCAATTCTCCGAACTCCACAACCGTCTGATAACATTTTCATTTCCTACTTTTCCTTTGTGTCTCCTAACGCACAACGACGGCAACAACAAGACCACAAATTCCGCGAGAAACACACCACAGGAAACTCATAAATTGCAAATTGTAACCGAGATAGAAAAAGACCGACCTCAGGGCTAGACTGGGACTGCTTCTGCGTCATGTCGAGCTTCCCCTTCTCGAGAGTCACCGCGCCAAACGCCCCAAACTGCCCCCCCTTCATGACCGGCCCGAAATCGCCCGAGCCGGACGAGCTCGGCGCTTGGAAGCACCGCTCCAGGAGAGCCCTAGACTCCCGTCCGCGGCTCCCGTCGACCGCCGCAGGCTCGTAAGCCGAAGCCGAGGAGCACCTGACCGCGACGACGCCGCCCCCCCTCCGAACCGCCTTCCCGCAAACCGGGGGCAGCAGCGGGCCCAGCTTCGGAACCGGCGATACGGGCCTCACGAACGGGCAAGGCAAGGGCTGCTTCTGGGTGGTGGTGGTCACTTGAGCCTGCGAGCTCAGCGGCATGATCTGCGCCGTCCTGAACACCGGGTGCGACATTCTGCCAGCCCCCCTCCCCCCTCACTTCGATCCTCCTGCTGAAAAACTAGGCAAGAGAGAGAACGAGAGAAGACGATCAATCCCTCCTTCTTCCGCCCGTTCCTTCCTCACTCAAGCACAATTCATGGCGGTTCCGAGGTGGGTTTCGCCGCAAGGTGGCGACTTTCTCTCTCTAGGGAGATGGGTCCGTAGAGAGAGAGAGAGAGGGGGTCTGTGGGTCGCGAGGGGTTTTGAAGGATTTGCTGCTGCGGATAACGAAGGAAGGAAGAGGAGAAGGGTGAGTCGACGCGGTGAGTCGGGCGCGCGAGTTGGCGAGTCGCGTGGGGGGCTGAGTCGGCGGTCAACGAGTTGGACTTTGCAATTTTAGCTAAAACCCATCTACCGGCCGGTCCTTAGACAAGAGAGATTAGAGGTTGATGAAGTCTTGTTGGGAGAGCTTCATCGTTTTTATCAAATATTGCATCCTCCCGTTTTTAGGGCAAATTGAATTTGTCTAGACAGAGAAGAATTAGAAGGATCGGCTTTCATGGCGAAATACGTTCTACCCCGGGTCTCGACACTCGCTGCTGCAAATTGCCCCGACTTACCAATTTTTTATAGCTCCGTTGTGACATTTTGTAACCGACAGCAATTTCCTTTAACATTGACTCTGATCATCCGTAATCCGGTCGGATCTTCAGCCATCTGTTGGTCAATTGACTAATTTCCTTAAATTATGTCGGTAAATTCTTTTATGTATATATAAAGAATGATTTATTAGCATATCGCTCTTATGTAATTTTTTTAATTCAATTTACTGAGATATAAAAGGATTATTATGGAAAAAGATCTTTGAGTCATTTGGATGGAAGGCTTTTGATGAGGTTAGAGCTATTAGGGTAAACTACTCAATTTGGCATGATGAGATTTTCCAGATAATCAAAATGAAATCTACCCCTTTTGGCATCAATCCCTTTCTTTTGGTAAATCCCAAAAAGTTCACTTGACTTGGAGGTGTATCCATGCTCTTTCCACAAAATTAACTAGTGCTGGAATTGACCATATACCTAAAATGTGGATTGAAAAAGAGAATTTCAATTGAAGGTAAAAGTTGAAATACGGTGAATTTCCTTTTATTTTCGTTCTTTTTAGGGATATGTTCACTAGAAGTCCTAAAACTTGTCAAGAAATTACAATTGAGTGTTAAAACTTGCAAAAAGTGCAATTAAGTTCTAAAATTTATCAAATTAGTTCAATCGATTCCTACAGCTAACATCGTCCAATATAGCTAATAGAAAATACTGACATAACTTCTTCTTTTTTCTATCATATGTGGCAATGACATGGCCTTTTTTCATATTTTAGTGCTAATTTTATTTAAATTAAATTTAAAAGGAGGAAGAGGAGGATAGACGGGAAGGGCTACAAGCCCTTGCCACTGTTGCCCCACCATTGTCGGCAGAGCCCGGCGAGGGTGGGGGACGGCAGGGCCCTGGCCAAGGGCCTACAACCCTCGCTGACGGCAGGCAAGGGCCCTCCCCCAAATTGAGTGAGGATTGCCACTGGCAGCCAACCTTGCTAGTGGTGGCCCTTGGCTAAGTTTGGGCGAGGGCCCTCGCCTGCCGTCCCCACCCTCGCCAGCCCATCCTGGTGATGGTGGGGCGGCGGCGGCAGTGAGGGCTTGCAGCTCTCCCCACCTGTCCTCCTCCTTTTATAAATATATATATATATAATGTTTAGCTTATTTTTAAAATTTATTTTAAATAAAATAAGTATTAAAAATCAAATTTGGGTCAAAACAACGTTATTTTAGTCTTGTATTTCATAATTTAGCCACATCATTGTCACGTAGAAGAGTGAAAATATTTAAATAAGCAACGTCAATATTTTCCGTTAGTAAGTTAGACGATGTTAACTTTAGGACTCAATTGAACCAATTTGACAAGTTTTAAGACTTGATTGCACTTTTTGCAAGTTTTAGGACTTAAATGCATTTTCGTGACAAGTTTTACGACTTTTAGTAAGCATATCCCTTCTTTTTATTTGAGGTGCTCTTGAATTTAGCAATTCTATTTTCTCGAGTGTATAATTTCGTAGATATTTCGAGCTTTAAATAATCTAAGCACTTTACAAAATAAACTTCATTTGTGCCAAACAAATTATCATAAGATCGATGCCACTCAATCGCATAACTCGATCCAAATTTATTCTACGAAACATCGTATTTAGATAAGAAAAATGACTCAAAATGCAAATACTCGATCGTTACGCAAGAACGACTTGTCTAAATTATGCTGGAGCCAATCGAAGATCTTGACCAGCTTGACAAACTTGGGAGCCTAATCGAGCGGCATCGAGCATATAACTGTTTTATTAAAAAATTCCGATAGTGATAATAAATGGACAAGATAATCCTTTTAATTCCATAGCATACACACATAATACAAAGGGAAAATATTCAAGCATATTTTGCTCATTCGCAAGTTTATTCATAACTCGATTGGAATTGAGAATAGTCGATTCGAGCTCGAAAATCCAAATTTTTTGTTAGAGTCGAGTTCCTACAAGCGCTTTAATGCTCAATCGATTTCAAGTCCAATTTCTAAGATTGAATATTTGAATTGAGTTGAGCTAACCACCGAATCAGAACAACCCGACTTAATTATACTCCCAAAGGTGTTTTAAGGATGAAAGAAGGGTTCAGGCGGGACGAAAGGACCTTGGTAAAACAACTCAATCATAGTCCGACCCAAATCGATCAAATGCTTATACGTACAGCTACTTATTTTTTTTTCCTATATTTGCTTTACTCTTGCTAATTTTTAATGTGTATCGATATTTTTCGATACTTTTACAAGGCAAAGAATGACGGATCTTGCTCAATGACAAGCAATGCCCTTGCTCTCATGAACCAGTGCGCTTCCAAGCATCAGCCGACCACAGTGGTCGGGTTGAATATGGGCCATATTTGACCTCCACAAGACCCAATATATACCCAACCCAACTCGCTTTGGCCACATATTTATTTTTTGGGTAATTTTGGCCATTTCGGTAAAATACAACAGCTTGTGGCTGGTTTATTTTTGGCTGAGAATTAGGGCTTTAGACAAATTGGGTCTTCAAATGACGTGCTACCTCTTTAATGCTCAATAATTCAACTTCAAGGCTCTTTCTCTTAACACAATACAGAGACTAAGAAGTGAAGGAAGATCAAGAAATGCAAAGTGTGCAGAGAAGCTGAGTAGATCTAGAAGCACAAGGACAGGAAAGAATCAAGGTGGTGTTACTCATATTGATTGGGGGTCTGACCATCGATCAGTTGCTGTGCTCAGTGACGGAAGATGAGTACTCGACTTCATCGCGTGTCTAACTCAAGCCAATACAGTCACCTCCGTCCGAGCCCACAACGCCATTGTCGAGCCTCCAAACCTTGTCGTCGAGCGTCCCCACTCTCTCTCCCTTTCGTGATGTCGGATTTGAGGTCGCAAGCCCAGATCTGACATTGCCAGTCACTATAGTCGTGGCCTCATGATCACTTGGAGCCCATCTGTCTTTATTGACAGAAGGCACGGCCGTGGCTCGACGATTTAGGCGACGGAGGGCCAAACTCAAGGGTGGGCGAGACGTGATGGTAGGCAAGACGCAATGGCGGCATCGGCTATCGTAGTGTGAACCTAGGTGGAGGACGACGAAGAACTTTTCTGAAAGCGCTAACCTTCTTTAATTTAAATGAGTCGGTTATACATAAACACATTAAACCCATTTAAGCCTCGCCCTTAAAAGTTTGAACAAATTGTATAGAGAACTTTCAGAACTTTCTACCTTCTTTGATTTAAATGGGTCACAAATGAGTTATTTTCGTCTTTTTTGCTTTTCTTTTTGCCCTCGGGGTCGCAGGGGGCCCTCGCGCGTGCGGGCGGCCCTCGCCCGGGGAGGGCGCCCTCGGGCCACATTAAAATCCACTCTTATTGAACTGTTAAAGTCTTTGAAGCCAATTAGGCCTGGCCCTTAAAAGTTTGAACAACTCATATATGACCCAGTTTTCAAAATATGAGTAAAGAAAGTTTGGGGTTTTTGGTGGTGTTTTCCTTTCAAAATATGAGACAAAAAAATGGGTCCATTTTGACACCTCTAGTCAGACGGGAAAAACCCCATTTCAGAAACTGGCAAGTAATTCAAATTGAAGATCCTAACACCAGTTATTTAGTGGACCAGCATAAGCAAATCAGAAGCACAAACTCTGAACTGATATTCGGGTTACAGCACTGTCAAAACTTGCATCTAAACAAAAACTAAGCGGATTTGACAGAAGATACCGCAAAGGATTGCCAAAATATATTGCTCAATCGAGACAGAAATGGAAACAAACGGTCGGTAATGGGGATGTTTAAACTAGAATTCAACGTTTTCCACCCCCACCTCCAAGCTTGGGGCCCTTAGGTGCAGCACCCTTGGGCATATTTCCCTTGGATTGTGACTTCTGGGACTTGGCTGTCGTCTCAGCTTTCTTCGCCTTCTTCTCATCCTTCGTCTTCTTGATCCTTTCCTTAATTTCCCTGCAACGAGAAACGATATGAAAAGACCGGTCAGTAGGGAGTACAAAAACACTCAATGGTGATGAGAGAAGAGCTTATAAGTCATATACCTCAGAGCAGCCTCACGTGCAGCATCTCGAACTTCTGGCTTCTCAGTTCTTTTCTTCTGAATAACTTCCAAGGTGGCACCGACTATGGACCTGGAATACGGCTTCTTGGTGGCCCGGCGCTTCTTCTTCACAGCCTCAGCAGCAATGTCCTACAAGTATCATTAAAAGGGAAAAGATATCAAAATTCTGCTGTTTCCTCATAACCCCATAAGCCTGCTGGCTGATGCTTCACCTTCTTGTGCTGCTTCCGGTACATGGCCGTCCACGTGAGCTTTGAAGGCTTCAAGCGGTTGTGGAAGTACCTCTTGCATTTCGAATTGGCAAAGAGGAAAACCTTCAAATGCAAAAAGCCGAGTAGTATTCATACAACATATGACCGACGAGGCCATCCATCACAAAGACACCATGCAACAAGTCTTACCTGGGAATCCGAGCGGATAAATCTGATTCCCTTGCCAGGGTAAATCTTGGCACCGCTGAAGCGGCAAAGCTCAGTCCTATTATTTCAAAGAAAAAGCCGTTTGAAAACCAATCAATTCTCGCGATCAGAACAAACGCAAAAGAATACCAAAGCATCCAGTACCCAACATCGCGCGAACGGAACATCATACGCTTTTGAACAAGCTAATATCAGCACCAGCAAAATTACAAAGGAAACATGCGAGAATTATCTAAGAAGACTAACAGAGTCAACAACAAATGGCATAGTAGCAGATAGACAGACAGTATCTTTCATCTAACATTCACCGCCGCCCGCAATTTTTCACGCCATCTATGGCTCAAAAGGATCCAACCCCATGTCTAGTCTCCTCCTAATCCTAAAAGATCAAAAAGTTCACTTTTTTATCCACAAGTTCATGTAAATAGCAGAGCCAAGTCGAGCCCTCAAACATTTAATCTGCAGATTCGGCAGCTCCAGAAATCTTCCTACGATCGCGAAACGCAAGCAAAATCTTTCACAATATGCACACGCACGCACGACCCCAACCCCGAAACACAGCGTTCCCCACGAACACTCAGCATTCAATCAATCAAACAAACAAACCCTCCATCGCCAGGCATCAACAGAACCCAAACCCACAGGAAGAATCCGCTGATTCCGTCAAATTACATCTATCTAACCCAATGTTCCACCGAAATGACACCAAATTAGACCGATTCAGCGATCGCAGAGCAAGCAGACCGACCAGATTAACCACGCAAGATAGAGAAATTAGAGAGAGAGAGAGAGAGAGGCGTACTTGAGGACCATGGCGGCGGCGGCGGCGGCGGCGGCGACGGGAGCTGGAGATGGAGGTGCGCCTCGCCGCTTCTGCTGGGTAGTGCGAAAACCCTAATTCTGGCGCTTGCCAAACCTTAAAAGCGGAGAAGAAGACAGCTAAATGGGCTTAAACGACGTCGTATTTGGGTGGGCGCAGCTATTGGGCCCCCACCCGTAGGTCAAATGCCAAGGAGACAAGGGGCCATTTGGATCACCATCACTCCTTGTAGATAATAACTAGATATTACAAATATCATATCAAGAAATGCTAAAGCTAAAAATTCAAAATTAATTCGCTAAATCGGTCTACAAAATGACGCGACGAGGTCGTATCGAACACTCACCTAGAGTTTGTCATACTCGCACGACGAGCGGATGTTGAAAGCCGTTCTTTATTTTACCGAGCATTATTGTTCGTATCATACATCGCTCCGTCTGTGTTCCTTCAAATAAAATCGAGGGTAAGTGTTAGGTTATAATTTGGAAAAAAAAAACGTTTTTAAGTTTGCACTCATATATAAATAATTATCCTCGATTTTCAAAGTCTTAAATTTGTATCCTCTCTGAATTGAAGAGACATGTTTTACTCCCCAAACTCTACATTCCTATCTTATTCACTCAGTCACACATGACAAACTCTCTCTCTCTCTCTCTCAAACTCATAGCTTGTCGCGAGCTCGACCATCTCAAACCTTCGTGAGCCGCGAGCTCGGTGAGCACAGAGCTCATCTGAGACGGTGACTATCGCCGGCCCCAAGTCCGAGGCTCACGAAGGTTAAGGCTGGCGGGGCACTGCGCAGAGAGGCAGTGACCGAGCTGGTGCCTGGTAAGAGCGAGATGGTAGAGAAGAGAGCCAAATATCCGTTAGGGTCCGCGAGTGTTTTTTTGTTTAACGGGCAGTTTAAATAAGGCAAATTACCACTTTTGTAAATAAGTGAGGTTGTAAGGATGCGAGTTGATATAAAATTACAAAACTCAATATCCAAATTACGGTTTTTAAAAGTGAAATGACATTGGAATTATATGGATGCAAACCTCAAAAAGTTACTCGTATATAGTAATAATCTCGAGCTTGACCAGACTTGACTCGACTCGATTCGATGTGCAGAAACTTCTGGTCTTCTCTAGTCGAGCTCGAACTCAAGATGTATGTACAAAAGTTCACATATATATGAATTCGATTTAATCACGGGATCAACATGGAAAAGCATACTTGACAAGAACAGAAAATGGGTTATGCCTGAGGTGCACCTCTGTCTGAAGTCAATTTTAATATTCACGGCACACGTCCATTGTGCCAAAGACCAAAAAAATGAGTTTCATCTGCACATCAGTTGACTAAAAAGGTCAACAAGTTATTGCTTCCCCTGTTTTCTATTCGACTAACGAGAGATCACAAAGCATGCTGTAACATGAAAAGGAGCCCTCAATCAAACACAGCTTAGCACAAGGAATTCCATTTTGCATTCACAAGATCACTAGAGGCAGGTCGAATCTGCACAGCTTCTGGTGCTAAGATCTGCGGTTATGCAAGATGATGCAGATTCACTTAGGCTTGGCTCTGGTGCTAGGATAGCTCCTGGGACTTCCCTTCCGGTTCTCAATTGTAATATTTCTGCTTTCAAGCTTCTTACTTCGTCTAACATCGTTAACAGGACCCTGCGCAATTCGCGTACACCTGATTCCAGCCGGTCCAATCTTTCATCAAGATCCTACACAAGAAGCAACGTTGTCATGGTACCCCTATTGCATATTATGTTCAGTTCAAATGGGCCAGCCATACCAATTCTTGAGCGGTGATATTGGGAACCTCCGTCGTCTTCTTGCTTGTCCTTTTCTTGTTCCTATGAGAAAAATTCAAAAGGAAGGTGATCGGATCGACTCAGTCAGAAGGGCAAACTTACTAATGATCCATCCAAAGGAGTGACCGAGTTCCACAGAAGAAATGTAGCAGGACCAAGAATCACCTAAGGCGTGGAGCAAGAGCCTCACTTTTCCCCGGTCGGGTAACTGCAGCATCTTTCTCAGCAACCATTGGGGTCAAGTCAAAGCGGCTAAGGTGCACAATCTGCAAGACAGCAAGGCACAAGAATGTGATTTTTCGCCGGTCGCACAACAACAGTGTCGTCCACATTGGGATCAAGAAGTCAATTGATTGTCCTAACGCCTACTCGCAGTCTGCCTCATCACTTAGCATACAGTATTATTATATATCAGTCCCACACAAGTAATGCCGGGTATACTAAGGGCGAGCGCCATGGCATAATTCAATAGCATAGCAATTCGTGCTCATGTGTCACAATCGGGTTTTCAAATTGTGTCGAGCTGTATCTTTCTAAACACTATATTTTTTATGTCGCGTTTACATTCAATCGTGCATATACGGCTTAATTCGTATCAGAAATTGCCGGCCGGCCCTACTTGCATTCTGCTGCATCACATAATATATCGCCCTTGTGTGTACTAGTATCAGTATACCCAGCACCCACCCACAACCACAACGGACGCACAAATGACAAACCCACGAAAAGGCAATTGGGCAGATGCCCACGATCAAAAGAGAATACCCAGAGGACACCCTCAAATTCAAACACAGAATTCATCAACTGCAGCCCACCAAACTCAAACACAAGTCAACCGAACTTGGAACCACGAACTCAGAGGGCAAGAAACCACAACCCCCATCTGGGCGATTCCTCGCGGGATCAAGAAACCGACCCACAACCAGAAATCTAGAGAGAACGCTGCGAAAAGGGAGCGTCAGGGGTCGGGGAAACCGACCCATGACCACGGCCATGACCATGAACACGACCAGACATCAGAGGAACCGACACTGACCGATGATGGGCGGCCCCTCCTTCCTCGTGGCTTCGCGGAGGGGCTGGTTGGAGTTCGGAGAGAGGAAGGGGGAAGAAGATCGAGCGCCGTCGGGTTGCGGAAGTATGGAATCAGTGGAGAAGTGAGGAAAAAGGCACGACCTTTGTGGACCTTTTTCGTTCTGAGCTGGACACGGGGAAGCTGCACACTCAGCTATTCTGTCTTTTTTTGCTATTTTTCTCTTTTCAGAAGTTTTACCAAAAACTCGAAACTTTCAAGATAATACACGTTTACACCTAAACTTTCAACCATTATATTTAAGAAAAATTTTGTTCAATATGAGATTGTTGATTATTACTATTGATTAAGGAACATTGTGCATTTTAAGAAAGATATGTACTTTCGAATAAAGCTTTCAAAATGATGAACTGTAAATGAATGTTATGATAATTGAGTCGAGTTGCTACAAATAGGGGAAAATACAATTTTACCATTAAAATCAAGTTGTTTACGATATTTCATGGAAAGTAACGAATAGGGCTTTGAGGTTAATTACTACGTTTGAAAAGGATGATCACTGACTTGCTATTTACAAGGGCTTAGAGGGAAATTGTAATTATTGGGGAAAATTACAAAGCATAGGTACCGTAGCTTACGACCATTTATGGTATTTTAATGTATTACGAGTTAATTACAATTTGTTAACGCTTTCATGTTACTCTTAGTCAAATTAGCGTCCGTAAAGTTAAATTACTAGTTATGCACGAAATCGAGTTACAATGACCATAGATTAGATGTGCATAACTCTTTGAGCATTTGACTAGTCCTCACCAGATATGACAGTCGGCCCCTACCATCACGACATAATGGTTGTCCAATTCTAGGTCGAAGACAAGAAAGAGTACTTGTAAAGCATTTTCGAGCGGTCAAAACAAAAGAAAATTGATTTTCCTCTATTCTCGTCCACCTACCACTTTACTTCTTTTCGCATGTTGGGCTAATCTTAAACACCAAGTTACCATTCATTCAATGTATAAAAACTCAAAGGGATCGAGAAAAAAGTGGAAGTATATATATTTTCTTAAGGAAAGTGGCACTTTGATTCGATCTGAAGTTAAAAAGACAAGCTCAAGTCCAAATTCAAAGTCTTGACATTGAGGGGTGTAATTAATATGTCGACAAAAGTTAGGGAGGGCTATGAATATTCCTTTCATTTTGGAAAAATATTTAGTATTTTCATGAAATGAGTCATTTTCTTTTGAGAGCAACATTTAGATGTAAACCTTAGTGAGAGAGGCGAGTAAAATAAAAATATTGAAATGCTAAAAATAGTAAATGTTTTCGCCTAAATTCTTTCACCTGAATGATTTGGCAAGATCGTGTTGAATTTCAATCACTTTGTGCATGAGCAATTGCTATCCTTTGCTCTTGCAACATTATTACAAAGTATCAGGATGAGACATTGATGTACGAAGTTCGCAATGGAGATTCATGTGTTCACAGCCATCCTTACTAAAATGCGCAGAATGACGTCCTCGACGACTTGGTATCAAAGATGTCAAGCCAAGGTTACAACTCTTTCAACAATGTACACCAACAATGTCCTGCCGGTTACTCATGTACCTGATTAGCTATCTTGGCGAACTTTGCGGCGTATCAACCGAATAAACTTCCTTTTTTCCCGACTGAACAATGTTAAACTGAAAAATGATGAATCAAGATATCGTACGATTGACCTGGCCAAAACGCTTGACAGACTCTGGGAATTCCTCCAGACATGCATCATTTTGCAGCAAGAAGGGATGATCTCACGCAAAATACATGCAAGAGATGTTGAGCTCATGATCAAGCAATCCAAAGTCATGTTTCAAGCCGTCATCCACTTGACTCGTCAATTTTCTGTACGAACTTAAGCATAAAGATCCGAATTCGAAGCGAGATGACTACAATCAACTTAATGCCAACACAATTACTACCTAATCTTAAATCATGGCATTGAACTAAAATTCGCATTATTTTGGATTCACATGCATAAGACCAATGGAAAAATTAAATGTGTCGGAAGCGACAAGAAGGGGAAGAACAGTAAGCCGAAGTGGAGAAAGAGATAAGAGAGAGTTGTCCCACAAAAGACGAGGGAAAGTGAAGGGCAAACCAGGCTTAGGGATCAGTAGTTTACTCTGGCAAAGAGTAGTTTCTACTTGAGATCAAGCATACATCATCAATCAGACAAGATTCAAGAGGATGCATAAGTTTAACAATGGCATTCTTTCCACTATCATTTTCGTGTTAAATAACACTATTAGTATTCCATTCCTTTTCTTTTATGGCAATAGCTTCTGCCCCGCATTGCAGATGCTCAAAAGGAGCCTTGGGTTATTTTTTACAATTGCATTGACACGATTAAAGTTCCCTTTGGAACCTGCAACCTATGTTTCTCATCTATTCACAAAATTACCCTCGAGTCGTGTTTCCCTTCGGGAATAAAGTTTACATCGTAGCAGAGAATAGATGAGCGGCCCGCCACCTTTGTTTGGCTTTGACCGATTTACCTTGATTGGATTGCCAAGAAAAGAAGACACTTCTTCAGCTTCTCGAAGAAGAACAAAACTGGACGTTAGCATGTTGACATTGTCCTCATCTCTCTTCCTCTGAACACATGTTTAACAGATTTATGAACTCAACCAGCCCAGCAGATTAATCAGAAATGTAGACAGTACCAGCAACCACATATCTATGTGAGACAGACGCACTGCAAAAGCTGCAAAAGCACATGTGGTGTCAAATACAAATGGAAAGGCCGACAGTAGAGATAGCCAGTTGAAGAAACATTTGGAATCTAGACATCCAATGATAAATACAGAAAAAAACTAGATGTAGCTAATTTTCAGAATGGAACATGGCATCTCATGATTCTCATCTGATGATAACTTAATCGGATGTCATCATTATACAATCCATGGTAATTGAAGGAGAAGTTCAACTTCAAAATGACAGAACCATGCCACAATACAAAGATAGAAAACTCTTGAATTTTAAAAGGTGAAGACATAAGGAAAAACCAAATTGAAACAACAAAAGAAAAAATGAATGAAAATTCTTCCCCCTGCACCTCTAGACAACATATTATAATATGAAGATCCATCGAGATGTAAAAGATTTTGTCACTGTATTTACCAACTGTACGCTCAACATAAAGAAAAGTTTGCAGAGAAATCAAATTACAATTGGACACAGAAATCAATATTGTTGTGAGATAATACCGAAAGAAAGAAAAAAAGGTGACTTCCGGATCGGGAATGACAAATAAATTGCACCAAGTACCAGCAACTACCATGAAAGCCAAAAGTCAAACCCCTACGATTGGGTGAAGAACATTCAATGAAAATTAAAGTCTCTCACTATGAATTAGTCGAATAACTTGATCAAGATAATTAGAGGATAGAACAACAAATTGCAGCCAATAAGTGCACTCATTAATGCAACATAGCATAGCTATCCACTGGCGTCCACCCTCACTTCATTTATCAAGACTGAATAATACTAACAGATGGCAGAATCTCAAAATAATTACTCTGAACTTAAATTAACCTAATGTATTAGACCTTTCAGGAGATAAACCGCCCTTTTTCGCCGATAGAAATCAGGAGATGGTTGACCTCAGTCAGTGTAGCAACGATGAATAAGAACTATCTACTTCAAAATGATTGCACCCGGAAGATGGAATTGAACTATGAACACAAGCTGGATCAATCAAATTGTGAATCATTTGGAAGGCAAGATGTGAATTATCACTCTAGTGCAATCCTAATCAATCAACTCAATGCTCCAATGTTTCCACATGGCGATCCATCACTCCTCTGACAGTGAATGCCCTAAAATACCACTCTACTTAAACATAATTGATGTTTTTTTTGGGTAAAAGTACATGATTGATGTTGTGCTATTATTACATATATTTCAAGCTCATGATCACGAATCACAATTTTCAATTTCCAACGGCATTGAGTCATGATGCTTTAAAAAGGAGAGTGCCAATTTTAAATCCCGTTCCATCCGGACGCATCAACAAATCTTACCTACCATGGCTTATTAAGAAAGCATATACCATAGCATAACTAATCTTAAGAAAGAATAAACACTTAACAACTGCATTCTTCACCATGATCTTTCACTTAAATTATTTCACAATCCATCCCTCACAATCAATGTATTAAAAACGAAATTATCAAGTAAGGTAAAAAGAGAATGTCATCTCAAAACTAAGAAGCTTACATGATTGAAGTGGCGCAAGAGAAGGGGATACAGGGCCTTCTCCGAGTCCTTTATCCTCAACTGGAGGGGAGGCAATGGACACCGTTGGTGCTGGCGAGAAAGATGGAGAATGGTGTGATGTTGGAGACATATAAGGTGAATGCACAGCAGGTGCAGGAGGTAGAGAGGTTGGAGTTTGAGCTGGACTAGAATGAAAAGGTGAGGCGGCCGGAGCGATTGTGGTCCCACCACACGTACAATCTGCTTTGAGACCTGAAATAGGACCCATCTTTCGAGGACTTGAGATAAAAAGGTAGCCAAAATATAAAGATATCTCACAATTAGGACAACGTGGTACTGGACGCAGGTTAGGTGAGGGAGCTGGGGAATATGAAGAAGGCGAGCTATATGGGGAAGCTGATGGCACAAAGCCAGGCGATGGAGCTGGAGAAGGGGTAGGAGGGCCAGAATGAAGGGTACCATTCAAATAAGATGATAAGCTGACACCCTTAACATTGCCAAAAACCGAATGATCAAGACCAAGATTTTCAGGAGATCCTGAGATTATTTGAGCTAATTGCTTTAATCTTTGCGGTAGCAGATTCCCAGAATCAGAAGTAACGGAAGCCTCAATTGTGACAAAGGGAGCAACTGTTGAACCCTCCGTATTCGTAACTTGCACATATACATTCTGTTGGAGAAACACATCGGCAAAGTAGAAAAGGGAAAGAGTATCAGAGTAGAAAAATTCAGTTACAAAGAACAGCTTATGTATGGAGTAATTCGTATAAACATATTAGATACTTTACTCGTGGTGGAACATAAAATGCAAGTACAAGCATTGTAATGCTGATCTTGAATCTCGTTTAGCAGCTCTTGTTGTAAGCTTTGGAAGATCAAGAAGATCTTGACACTAAACTCGATGCCATGTACCTTGTGTTTTGAAAATTAACATTTTTGAACAAAGAACGAACATGCTTCATGTACATAAGGAAGTGTACAGAAGCAGGTATATGATAAGTAGCTCATCAAACAACTTTACCTAGAAAACAAATGAAAGGGGATTCTTCCACTATCCAATTTCAAACTACTTTTTGCAAAACGACAGCCTTCCAACATTATGCTATTTGTGAAATTTTAACTTTTCAGTCACAATAGAGCTCAAAATGGTTGTTCAGATGAATTCCTAAACACTAAGATGGTGCAGATCCGTCCATTAAATTCTTAAAATTCATCTGGACAACTGGCTTACCTCATAAGACCTTAGACGCAACCCGTATTTCAGCTGTCCCTTGAACTCAAGAAAATTCTCCTGTATATCATATATAGACTGGTAGAGAGTAAAATTAAATAGGATCTGGGGCATCTGCCAAATTGAAGTAGATGGGTTTACAGTAATTCCCCCAGGAAACTTCAAAATCTGAAGCTCAGATGGTTGCCCAAAAAGGGATGCTGTAACAGTTAGATTAGATTGCCGGAGGAAGAGATCAATCAAATATGATCTCAGAACACTTAGTGACACTTGATTAATTGGAACATTCATCTGGTCAGACAGAACGCCAAACACCACATCAGTATAGTTAGTCGAGTCTGATTGGTGCGCCGATAATACTGCCACCTGCTCAAAACACTTCTGCGTTAATTTCATCTCTGATATATAATTAAACCAAATATGCAGTGTAACAGTCAATTACCTTTGTATCTGGAACACCAATTTCACTGTAGATGTCATATTCTAACCTTCCAATGAACATAACAATCTCCGAAACTGACTTTTCCAGCCTAAAAGATACCTGAACTGTGGCTGTTAAACAGACATATCAAAAGTTGAGTGAGTATTCAGAAAGGAAAGAGTCATTAACAAAAGAACAGATAACAAAAAGAAAGCGTGGGCCACTCAATAGTATTATTTGTAAGAGCTTAAAGGTAGGTTGATTTTTCCAGTTCAAAGGCACTCACAGGCTTGGGTGTAAAACTAGTTCCTTCAATGTCATTTCTCACTGCTCAATTTTCAGTCACAAAAAGTTGTTTTAAACCACAACCAGAAAAGCTTGACTTGGATGGCATATGCCCATTTGGGTCTCTATCACACAAACTGATGGAAAAGGTGAGCAGGACAAAGAGGCCAGGAGAGGAAATCTATTTGACCTTTTTGACAGGTAAGAGCTGCAACATCAACGAATGCAGCAATCGATACCTCATCACAAAACGTGTCTGATAAGCATGCAGTCATTCACCAATACACCTTCTAAAAATATGTAAAGGACTCGTGACCAGAGGGGCAAAAATGAACATGCCATTATCTCATATCAATCAAATGAAAACTATATTCTAGAAAGGGGGGAATAAATTGTCTTGTTACATAGCGATGTAGAGGACACCTTACCAGCTGGATTCGTTATTTATGACCAGGTAAAATATTCTTGGAACACGCTAATCAGACACAATAGAAACAGAGACAAGGGTGATGGAAGGCTTGCCTACTAGTGAAGGTAAAAGCAAATCCTTTACTATTCACATTCTATAAATCTAGTATGGAACTGACCCAATGATTATTAGTTAGGAGAAAAAGATTCAAACATGAGTATTTACAGGTTTCGGCTTGCAACACAATTCCATACTTATGCTATGGTTGGAAGCATGATGGGGGAGGAAAATCCAAAGAAAATGCCCACTATTTTAAATTTTCCCTCCTTAACATACTCAAAAAATTTAAAATTGTTAAAATATGTCCACCCAAATTTTCTTTCCCTCCATTTTTCCCAATTTCCCAAACAAAGCATTAATCTATGTTGAATAAGCCAAAACTGAAGAGAGTACAAAAGGTCTATGAAGTTAAGAGCTTTATTATTAGTGCCTATCAAGCTAAAAATCGTGCGCAATACTCGAAAAAAAAACTCCTTTGGATAGTATGTCCAAGAGTCAACAGATCAGCCTTTTATTAGATGGCCCCTCTTTTTACTCTATTTTCTCATGTGCATAGCATACTTCATACTCTTATCCGACTCAACCAGTCTGTAATCAAACTTTTCTCTGACTTACAGCACATTATTATTCGGTATAACACTAGTATGTACAGATAAAACAACTTTCTTGTCTTCCAGAAAAGTGACTTTTCATGAAATGCATCCCTCTAAAAATTGCAATTTTGGCGAACCAAAGGAAGGTGCTGTTGATGCATCTTCTTTCACCTTGTTGTAGAGCATTTAAACAAAGTAGGGATTATGAACACGAATGCTGTCAAGCTCGGACATACTGCAATAAAGTCATTTGGATTTGCTAGATTTTGGGTTTAACTAGCTCCAACTACTTGATAGAATATCATTTGAGAGAAAAACCATTGTATCATCAATACACATGTCAAATATTCTTCTTTCCCCACACGTGAACATTCTTGCCATCCATTTTTATTATTGTCCAATATAAATAAAGGAGTTCAAAGGACAACACTGAACTACCAGAATTGAGCTTGAATCATCAAATATCGAACTCCTCGACTTATATGACTTAAAAAAAAAAAACTTATATGACTTAAATGCCCCGCCTCTCAAAAGACATACTAGCTATTTGATTCAAGAAAGTGATGAAAAAGCCAATAAATACAATGTCAACCAACCAGAGCGCTATCATAAACTTAAAATGCATCGATCACACTGGCCATACAAATCCTCAACTGTGTGACTCAATTGACAAACTCTATAGAACACATGGCTATTTGTTTTCGCATAATTATGAGAAGTCGGTCTAAAAAATGTGAGCCCACCAAAGGACCGTCGCACATTGAAAACGCATGAATCCCTCCATCTGTGCTAATCAAATCAAACATCTCAACAGTCTGAGATATTATAACAATTCATCCTTGAAAAACATCCCTCAATTTAAGAGAACACTGCCTAGTTTGAAAACAACATTCTAGAATATCCTTTTGTTTCTTTGGTATGTACATAACCTGTGTTCTCTCAACTGTCGTCTGAAGTCAAGTGGATCCGCACACAACCTATGTGTTTTAAGCGCATTAATTTATATGAGTTTGGCATTGATGAATAAATATCAATGTCAACGGAAAGTGGCTGGAAGCAAAATTGCTCAATCAAAGCAAACTAGGGCAGTGAATGCACAGCTCGATTCGATGTAAAAAACCATATATCTATTGACACTTTTCTTAAAGCTACCCTGATCAGGAATGGCATTTCATTGTACTTTCTTCTACCTCGAAGATAACTCAAGAAATGGCACTACTCTCAGTGGCTATAGATCCATCAATATTATTAATGCAGGGACTATTTCTAGTAAAGACCACTTGATGTTTATGCAAGTAAAGGGAGATTTGGCCACAACATGATCCAATGGGTCCAATGAGAAGAAAGCGTCCAAGTGGAATTCTAGAAATTTAAAAATAAAGGCTCTTTTAGCTGAATTAAAGGCCCGGGGGTCGGTTCTAAATTAAGTAGGTTTCCTAGTTTAATATTTATTAAATTAAGATTTCCTAGTATAATGCTTCCTAGTTCAGTGTCCTAGTTTAGTGAATTCTCAGTTATATGGATGCAAATTCATGAATTGATAATATATGAGAATTCTCTCAAGTGTGTGATTCCTTCGGTTCTTTATCTAATTTGTTGATGGTGAACCTTAAAGTCCTTCTGTTCTTTATCTAATTAGTCAGTGGTGAACCTTAAAGTTCTTTTTTTTGGCAAGTGGAACATTCCTTTATGCTTTAATAGTGAACTATTTTATCCCAAAGTTATCTTTTTCACAAACACATGAAGTACTTTCTTTCCATCAAACACATTCCACATTCTCACCCAAACTCACCACGCATCAATTTTTTAATCTCGGTGGCATCAATTGTCAAAAACAAAAACACAAAAAATGACATCCCCGGCCATTTTTTGCCTTAGGACACAGCTCTTGACTATTCCAATCGAAGATTTCCTATCCTGGGTTTTTGTCTGGGTCCTCAGTGAATCAAACTCATCTCAAGATATCAGTTGAAACTACAGAAGAAACTCTACCCACAAAGCTCATCAACAATATCGACCATTTCCTCATGGAAAATGACATGGTCAATGAACCGCAGTATTAAATTCCGCCTGCGGATTCGCGCGGACAGCAGCAACGCCCAACCTCCGGGAAGAACATTACATATCGGTGAACACGCGACCCGTAAATCAGACACCTTTACTGCTAGTCCGCTAGCATGCACTAAACCCCAAAACCAAGCATATGCCCATCGAGTGCAAACGCTGAAACCCTAATTATGTCCCCAGGCACCATGAAACCGAAAACCCCCCCGGCTCCTAGATGAACAAAGCAATGGAACCCTAGAAACCAAAATCATCAGCAGAGAGCGAACCGCACGGCATCAGCTCCTAAAATCGGACCGGAAAAGAACGCAATCACACCAAAATAGTGACAGTCCACTGAATGTAAGAGCAGCGACTGAGGTCCGAGAATCGTACCGCCGAGCTTAACCGCTTCCTTCGCATCGAAACCAGATCGCGCACGGCTCAGGGGAACGACCCAGAAGACGCCGGAGAGGAAAACGGCGAGACCCAGGAGCAAGAAGAAGACGCACCGGAGGCTGAGCTCGCCGGCCACCCGGCGGAGCCCCGCCGAGCACCGCGCGCAGCAGAAGAACGGCGGCGGCGGCGGGGCCTCGCGCTCGCCCCCCTGTGGCCGCCGCTGCAGGTTTTGCTGGTCAGCTTTCCCCATTCGCAGGGCATCTGGGACTCTCCCTCTCTCTTCGCCGCCGGCGCGCACGGACAAGGACGACCGCCGAGCTCCGCTGCTCTCTCTCTCTCTCTCTCTCTAGGAGTGGAGAGGAAGTTTTCAGTGCGGGCTTTTCTCTCTCCTCGGGGCGCACTGGCTGAAGCTCACCGACGATGATGGGTGGAAGATGGGAATGAGAGAGACAAAGCGTTCATGTGGACAATATGCTTGTATTTATCTAATTATTTTATTTTATTTTTCTTTATTAATTTCAAGGAAAAAAATAATTTGATTTTTCTTTTTCCCAAAAATGATTAGTTTTTTTTTTAAATTTGGAGAAAATACTTGTGAAGGACTGCAATGACTTTTTTTTGATGTGATATCGGCGTGCCCAAATCAAATTTAGAAAGAGGATTTCTTTCCGAAAATATTATGATGAAATTCCGAGGATCGTCGTGTTTTTTCTCTATTCGACCAATTTCAAACCTCCGTCAAGTTTGGTTAAAGGGAGTTTCTTTCGATCGGGATTGGAGGGAGATGGAGTTTTTTTGTGTGGAATTTACATTATTAGTCGAACGTGTTTTTTTTTGTCGTGATAGCAAACATATCATCACTCATTGAACTTTATTTTTTTGAATTCACTATCAAGGGCTAATACCTAAAGACTTATTACGGGTATATCTCGTGCGACTAGGGCCGTGCATGGCTTCCACAGGGTTTAACTACGGATTAGTGGTAGGATCCGGACTTATCTCTATTCATTTGGGATTACTTATGAGTTTCCGCTTAGCGGGCTGGAGATAAGATCGAAAGATCCGACTCGATACATGCCCTACCTTTTTTTCTAGTGGACTTAATGTCAATCCAAGTCTCTGTGTCAATCTGGTCGTGTTTTCTTGATACGTGGCCCAACAAGCCCCATTTGATTTTTAATTTGTATGGTTTGTCGCGTGGCAAGACATCGTTCGTCTAACCATTTCTTAATCTATAAATACCCTTAAAGTGTTAAGCCAAGAATAAGAATTCGTACCAAAAGAGCCACCACTAGAAATCTCTATGGCATTCTTAAAGTGTTAACCCAAGAATAAGAATTCAAGTCCTAAGAGACTATCCGAACCTTTTCTCGGGCGCACTCTCTACTTCATCCCATTTTCGTATCAATTATGCGCAGCCCTTATAATAAAAGAATCGCGTGTAACCTTATCACGAGCTCATCCAAACTATTCATGTGACAACAATCCAAAAAGAATAAAGAGCTTTTGATCCGGTACCTCTTTGCCCACCCTTTCTCTTCCGATGATGTGATGGTATGGATGTTACTTTTTTTTTTTTTTTTCGTTTTCGTGGGATTGAACTGATAATTTGAAGGACCATAATTGGTTTGGTTCAAGATTTTTTGCAAATTAATTAGTTCGGTCATGATTGAAATGTAGGTCGATTCAAATTAAGTCGGCGAATACAAAAAGTCATGAAGAATCACTGGATAAAAGCATTTTATTGGTTTTAATGTATACAAAAAATTTAATTCGGAATCTATTTACGATCTATAAAAGCATTTTGCATCATTAAGAAGTATAAGAAAAACAATCGCTGAAGAGAAAACAGTAACATTTTCAATATCTAAACAATAAAACACAAGAGTACAAGGAAAAATTTACCAGTGAGTTTTATGTACATGCCATTCTAACTACAGGGATAGAAATTATTCGTACTGACTTACACACATGGAAAAAAAATTAATGTAGAAATATCGATAGTTTCGTCTATTTATCGATTTCCTTTGATTTAGTTGACAAAAAACAAAACTTAAACCATTCCAATTAACTGTTGATTAGTCGGTAAGAAGCGTGATTAAATTTGGATTGAAAACTGGATCTGATGATATAATTTGAGTTTCGAGCTAAATTTTCCTTTTCTTTCTTTTGGATAAAAAGAAAACCATATTATATTGGTCCACTAACCGGACCTAGACCCATTTCGAATCCATCCGATCATAATTAAATGCAATTAGAAGCATACCCTTAAAAAAAAAAAACACCTTGTCGGGTCAATAAAATCACGACAAACATTTCGGATTTATTTCTCTTTTACATATGCGCTAGCAAAACTTCATGTACCGATTCGATGCAGCTCGACCATCTCTCTGTGAATTTCCATACACCACCTCCATGCAAACCGTCACGGGGCTTACTAATATCTCTAAATAACGTGTCGATAATAGTCATTCCAAATCACATCGCCATTCGAATTTTTTTTGCCCTCGGGTTTCGATATTATTTCTCTCCCCCAACCCCGTCCCTCTCCTTTTTGCTACCGAACGTTGAGGACAAGCAAAGGTGAAAAGCAAAAAAGTGCGTGGTGGTGGTGGTGATTGATAGTGGGGGCATCATTGGACTATACAAAAAGCGGGAATCGCTTGGTTCTTTCCACCCACCACCAAACAAAATCGGAATTCAAACTCCATCGGGGGGGGGCTTGGTCGTTATCATTCCGGGAGGATCGGCGTCGACTGCTGACCAATGCGGGGCTCCCACGTGGACAAATGAAGGTAGAGGATCGTGGGTGGCCGATGGAATGGGAGGATGATGATGATTTCTTTCTTTCTTGGGTGTCATCCATATCGCGGTGGAGGGCACGCGCATCGTTTGGTTTTTCTAAGCGTTGTTATATGATGTCCGTTTTTCATTGGACAATTAGTTTATGGGCTCCGTGTAATCTTTATCCGGTAGTTTTATTTTTTAAGGATCGTGTTAACGCGTGTCCAAAAACCACGAATCGAAACTCAGAGGATTGGAAAATGGCATTGGAATATAAGTTTTCATATTCCCGAAGTGGAACTAATGGTGACCCTTGACATTGCATAAAGGGGCACTTTTAACATTTTGGTTACCTAACAAGGTTTTGATTTTTCAGAGCCATATTGAATTTTTCACGATAAATTACGCTTAATGTCGACACCGTCGTAAGAAAAAATGACTATTATCGAGGCTTTTAATTTTAAGATATTTTTTTTTTTTGCAAATAACTTACTAACATACTGTTTGGTCAAAACAACTTTAGTCTCAAGATGTCTCGACATTGGTTTTCATCTGTTATTTTCGAGATCAGATGGAATCGTCTAAAATCGATCAATTAAATCCAGAATCGTGCTTAAGCCGAGTCCCAATTACCCATTCCATACGTTTTGGATAAAGACCCACCATAAAAACCTGGTTTGAACCCAGTTGTTAGTGACTTTTCCTACCAAAATTAAGTTTTGATTTTTCACTAATTACAAAGAAAAGTGTTTATTTTCGTATTACTTAGCAACTTTTTAAAATTTTGGAAAAGTAAGTATAGACATATACATCACCAGTCACCACCGACACTTTAAAGTATTCGATAATTTCTCGAAACACAAAAACACTAAATTTGTCAAGCAAATGAGTTGAGGGCCGCCCGTTTCTTCGCATGATCTGATCAGACGGCCGAGATCAATTCATCGAGATCGTACGGTGCTCCAATGCCCACAAATCCAGATCCATTTTGACTGGGATGGTATGCCGTAATTGCCCCTAAGATTCAAACAAATTGACTTCGTTCCGGGCGCCATTCACGGTCGGGGCCTTGTCGCCGAGGGCGTGGAATTGACCCGGATTCGAAAATAATCCAATCATGTCAGCGTCAATCAAGCAAAGCCCTAGTTTTGAAATCTTTTTTTTTTTTTGGTTACATTGTGCTTATTAATTTATCGAAATGTGATGCCCTAGGTTTAATATGTTTTTTTTTTTTCAACATCGTAACTATAAAAGTTCAATGAAAGTTTTGGGCCCGAATTTCAATGAACGGTGTTCTTTTTTTTTTTTTTCCCCAATCTAAAGGGGCCTTTTCAAGGCCCTGAAATTGGGGGCCTACATCCGACCCTAAAACTGAGGCTGACAATTCGTGTCGTGTGGAAATAGAAGTACGATATGAATACGACTACCTTGAAAATGTCGCGTTTAATAAATGTATTGAACTGCGTCAGTATGAATATAACACGTCTAAGAAAGTGAATCACATGACACGACATGACGTTATTAATATGATTATTGAACCTGTCCCATTAGGAGTCGACCTGACACGATGGGTCAACCTATTTTCAAATAGATGTTGACACGTACAAAACATGTGTTGCTAGAAGTGTGTTTAAGCATGTTGAGCGCATTAACCCTAACTCAATGAACCATGTTTTTTTCCCAATCTAAAGTGGCCTTTTCAAGGCCCTGAAATTTGGGGCCTACATCCGACCCTAAAATTGGGGCTGACAATTCGTGTCGTGTGGAAATAGAAGTACGATATGAATACGATTATCTCGAAAATGTCGCGTTTAATGAATGTATTGAATTGCGCCGGTATAAATATAACGAGTTTAAGAAAGTGAATCACACGACACGACATGACGTTATTAATACGATTATTGAACCTGTCATGTTAGGAGTTGACTTGACACGATGGGTCAACCTATTTTCAAATACGTTTTATACACGATAATTTGTGTTAATGCGCTCAACATACATGCTTAAACACGCTTTTAGCAATATGAGTAATCCCACTTTACATTAGATCAAGATATGTTAAAGACTTATTTTTTTCATATATATATTTTATGAATTTTGTCTCCCTAAATATGCTTTTATTTTGCTTCTTTTTTACGTGAGTGCCATTCCTATAAATTATTAAGGTTTAAATAATCTCCAAACATGAAATAGACGTGGCAAAACATATTTGATGTCCGGTTGTGTTAAAACAAATGACACGTTTACATCATAAATTAAACGCATTGATTCGTGTTTGAATCGGTTAAGTGGTTGACCCTGTATAAGGCGCGATTTTTCGCCGATCATAAATGGGCTGCCCCTTTCAGTCACGAACCCGTTTATACCACACCCAAACGTGTTAAATTACACGTCGCGTCGAGAATCGTCGGTCTTGAAATCCACTGTTTCGGGTCTATTCGGGCTTGTGTCTCCATTACTACCTGTATACTCTCTCTTTCAAAGTAGAAAACAAAAGCTGTAATTAAGCTTTCGGACAAGATCAAGCTTTCAATCGAAGTGGGCCGAAACCGATATGGCCCATTTCCGAGCCCATATTTGGGCCCGCTTTGAGTTTTCGGGCCCAAACATTGATTTTGGACGCAACCGATTATGCAAGTACTAGGATGTTTGTTAAGGAAAAATGGGTGGTTAAGTGGCAGCATAAACGTCTCTTTCCATGGATTGCTTCCTAGAAGTTTCACTTGAGGGTACTGATCTAACTTCATGCTGCTTTTTATACTTCTGCATTGTCAAGGAAAGATGGGTTTAACGTGACTGGCACGACTACTTTTTCTAACTATTATTATAAGATTCTCGCGCTATTCACGAAATGTTTGGATTCGAAATGCGCGACCCACTTGTATTGTTGCTCCGATGTAGTTTTAGAACTTATGATTCTCGCACTAATCACAAAATGTTTGGATTCGAAATGCGCGACCCACTTGTATTGTTGCTCCGATGTAGTTTTTAGAACTTATGATTCACGCTAATCAAGTCAATCGAACCAGCATAGTTTTTCCAATCAAGTCCCGCCCGTCTCCAATTTCAACAAATTGAAGTCGACGGCTTGTATGTCGATTGGTGCCTAGCCAAATATCTATTGCTAAAGTAAACATTGCCACCGTGGAATGACAAGTCATTGAAAGTTTACTCGACTTATTTCGGGTCATTGTAGCTACAATTTAATCACACAGAATGATTTTTCGGGGTGGCGCCAACATATCCCACGCCGGACTTTCCTACCGCTGCTGTTGGCACATCGGTTTGAACCGACCGGAAGCGAACGGGGACGGACATGATCGAGAGAAATGTGTGAATTGAAGGACTTAGACTGGATAAGAAGTTGATGACCACATTGAAGAAACCGTGTAACTTGAGGGACTGCATGTCTTCTTCTTCCGAGAGGGGAAAAAAGAAGAAGAGGAGTGCATGGATGCAGTGGCAGTGGCAGTGGCAGTGATTTCTCTGCAAAATGGAGGGCACGTACTCATACTTTTCAACGTCGTCGTCATGATTTGCAATCCGAACCAGCAACACGCCACCAAGCTTTCCCGCTAAGCGTGATCAGCACGCTCACTCACTCTTCTCGTTGCAGAGGTTGGAGTTTTGTCGCTGCACTATCGTGCTCTCCGAACCAGCAACACGCTACCAAGCTTTCCCGCTAAGCGTGATCAGCACACTCACTCACTCTTCTCGTTGCAGAGGTTGGAGTTTTGTCGCTGCACTATCGAGCTCTCCGAACCAGCAACACGCTACCAAGCTTTCCCGCTAAGCGTGATCAGCCCGCTCACTTACTCTTCTCGTTGCAGAGGTTGGAGTTTTGTCGCTGCACTATCGAGCTCTCGCTCCGTTTCCGTCGAATTCGAGAGAGACGATAAGACATGGGTTGCCGATCGCTGATCTACAGCTTCGTGGCTCGTGGCACTGCGGTGTTGGTAGAGTATGCCGAGTTCGGTGGGAACTTCACCGGCATCGCCTCGCAGTGCCTCCAGAACCTCCCTCCCACGAGCAACAAGTTCACTTACACCTGCGACGGCCACACATTCAACTACCTCGTCGACAACGGCTTCAGTATGCTCTCTCTCTCGTCGCTGGTTGTCTCTTCGGTTCTATGGTCATTTCGTATATTTGATGTCTGTCTAGCTGCGATAGCTCCGAGCTACGTGCGAAAGCTGCTTGTGGTCTCGTTCCCAGTTTTCCTTTGACATACTGACTTCACCATCTCAATTCCGCAGCATACTGCGTGGTGGCAGTCGAGTCCATCGGTCGTCAGATTCCAATGGCCTTTCTCGAGAGAATCAAGGACGAGTTTACTAACAGATATGGCGGAGGAAAAGCCGCGACCGCAGTGGTGCTTAGCTTGAACAGGGAATTCGGGTAAAAATCGCCTTCTCTTCATGAATGCAACTTATTTACTCTCCAACACGTAATATGCTGAGCGGAGCTTTGACACAGGCCCAAACTGAAGGAGCAAATGCAGTACTGCGTGGATCATCCGGAAGAGATCAGCAAACTCGCCAAAGTGAAAGCTCAGGTATCAGACGTGAAAGGAGTTATGATGGAGTATATAGAAAAGGCGAGTCAGCATACCTTGTGTTATGCTTTATCGCTAAGTTAGAAGTACGATAGATTGGCGTGTAATGTCGGACTTATGTCGCTCTGTCATGTAGGTTCTGGATCGTGGTGAGAAAGTTGAGCTTCTGGTCGACAAGGCAGAGAATCTTCGATCTCAGGTGAGCAGTCTACTACATGTGAGCAATGTTGGCTTATCTTAGTAAACAAACTAATTATTGTATGTAAGAAGCAGGATCTGGTGTTCAGAAACTGAATGACTCTTGCATCATGAGTGATGGTTTAGAGGCAACGATTAGATTGCAAACACGAGTATATCACAATGGTAGTCTTCTTCCAGTCTCCTGAACCGGTCGAGCTACTAGTACAGCCTACTTTTGCCGTATTGTTGAAATATTGTCTCACATCACTTGACAATTTATTCACCCTCCACCTGTCTTGCAATTCAGTGGATTTCTTGCTGCTGATCTACTTTTGATTCTATGTTCCGGAAATCGGTGATGAATTTGGAGCTAGAACAAAGACTAGAGTCTTTCGATATGATAGAATTAAGGATCTCGGTGTCCGACTGATGTGGATTTTCTACTTTCAGGCGCAAGATTTCAGGCAGCAGGCGACCCAAATGAGAAGGAAGATGTGGCTGCAGAGCATGAAAGTAAAGCTGATAGTTTTCGGCATCATCGTCGCTCTGATTCTGATCATAGTTCTGTCCATTTGTGGTGGCTTCATGTGTGGTGGTAAATAATGGAGTGACACTGATCTGATATTCTTTAAAACCTCCATAAGTTTTAAGTTTTCTTTCTATACACACAAGTCCTCATTGCGCTGTAGTATAATATGGAACAAATTGCTTGTATAGTTCTGTATTCTTGGAAGAGTTCTCTGATTACACAGCATTATGATATCATCAGTACTGAATTTTGAGATAGCTGGAGCATGCTTTGCATTCAAATTAAACATGCTAAACCCTTTTGTTTAAGACATTGGAAAATTCCATAGAAAGCCTCAAACTTTGTACGGGATGTGATAAATCCTGGATTTTTCTATTGATTCTTTGTATCTCTCGAGATTGCGTGTACATCTCCCTTTGATTGATATGTTATCTTAAATAACATCTTAGATAGTCATCTAATAAAGCTTATAAATAGGCTTATGTATTTGTCAACAAGATTTCGTCTTATGCTTCATCCTCTTGTCAATTTCCCCAGAGAAGGTTGTTAATTTTTATTCGTCGTCTCATCTTTTGAATCGCGAAAGCTATATAGAAGAATTTAGATTTAGGGACGAGAGAAAAAAAGTCTCATCAATAAATGTTTGACCATATCGGATGTTATAAGGATACATTAGCCAATTACCACAAGAAAGGTACGTTTTTAGTCGAAAGGGATGTGAAAATAGCACCGCCCTTCATGTAAAGATGTGATAAAATCTTTTTTCAGTCACGATTTTCGATTAATATAAAATTGGCAATTAAAATTCATTTGAGTATTAAAATAGGCCTATGGACCCGGATGGGCAGCAAAGAAGAATCTAACTCATTGATGTGCATTGACGGTGTCACTGATCTTTTGGTCAATAGGTGTCACGATTTGAATCATTGTCCTAGTTCAAATGCTAAGGCGCAACCCCCCGAATGCTAAGGGGCACACACAGTTCGTAGAATCTTTTCTACGAAGGAAACAATGAAAATGGGTGGTGAGACAAACTTCTAATTAGTTGTGCTAATCAACGTTATAAGCAATGTACATCAAGTGAATATCGGGATCGGAGAGTTTGGATAGTTGAACGCCTAAAGAGCTTTACCGACGCCATCTATTCTAGCACGAGTAATCATTTCAGCGTCGATTGTGCCATGTAGGATGGCCGGCGCTGACTAGACCATCACATTAGCGATTTTCAACCGAAATTGGCTAGAAGGACTAAATTGGCAAATCGTTAAAAGGTTTACGACTAAATTGGCAAATTATCAAAATTTTTATGACTAAATTGACACGATTAAAATGTTTATCACTAAATTGGTCGCCGTACGATAGATGTATGGCTTTTTGGACAATTTTTTCCTTATAAATATTTTTCTATATTAAATACATTGCTGGTGTAAAATATAATTTACAAATTATTTATTTATTGATCGACATGTAGCATAATTCCATTATAGAGTAATGACAAGAGCACTTGCTAGAGTGCCACTTAAATAGAGTTTACAACCACAAAGCCGTCCTTATTTTTAGCAATCTAGTAAAATAAACCCATAAATAAAGATAATAAAAGGGAGTTTTCCAAACAACGCAGGACAAGAGAAAGTACGGGAAACAAGTTCTTTGCAAATACTCTAATATACTTGCAAGAACCGGGAAAATTACCAAAAATAGTTCAAAACCTATTATAATTGTGCCAATTCAGTCCTAAACCTTTGCGTTTGTGTCGATTCAGTCCATCCAGCCAGATTTTGGCGATGACACTGATATGGACACTTAGGCCAAACAACGTAGATGTGGCAATTTTTAATATTATATTATATTTTTTCTTTTCTTTTTCCTTTTTTTTTTCCATCTTCATCTTCAACCTGTGATGGGCAAGGCCGGCCCCACCGATCGTTGGCGAGGCTTGCCCTCGCCTAGCCACTAGTGTCGGTCTCGCCGGTGGACGGGCGGAGCGAGCCTCGCCTAGCCACTGGCATCGACCTCATTGTCACTCGCGAGGTCGAGCCCTGCCAAGGGCGGGTGAGGGTCGCTAGCGGCCGGCGCGGTAGACCTTGTCGGCCCTGCCTTTGGCCGGTCATCGAACTGGCGACAGGCCAGAGGTTGAAGATGAAGATGAAGGAAGGAAAAAAAAAAAAGAAAGGGAAAAAGAAAAGGAAAGGAAAAAGAAAAAAAAAAGAAAAAAATTAATAAAAAAATTCAAAAAATAAGAATAATATTAAAAATTGCCACGTTAGTGTTGGCGGTAGGTGACCACGTCGGCACCGGTCGGCTAAAATTGGCGGATGGACTAAATTAGTACAAATGCAAAATGTTTATGACTGAATTGACACTGATTGCTGATAGGTTTATGAGTTGTTTTGGTAATTTTCCCTACAAGAACTACTTTGATTTCATTCTTTTTTCGGAATGGAACTTTTGCATATATATCATATCTTGTTTTTCAGGTTGTGTTGTTGCTACAATTTAACTTATTTCGTACCTAAATCTTAGAAACACAAGGAACCACTTAACATACAATCAATCCCTCTTCCATAAGGATGACTCCTACTACACTCCCTTCACCTCTTCCGTTCCGTTCTTTCATTTGGGTGGCTTGCATCCACCCCCACCCCTTCGATAGTAGTGGCACGGATTTCCGGGATCGCGGACCGGACCCCTTTGCAGGATTTGGAAAGCTAAACGACCGCTCGGCTGATAATTAGCCCGTGCCACTCCTCCTCCTCCTCTTCCTCCATCTTCGCCTTGAACGAGCATCCTTCCTGCTTCATTTGGCCGTAACCACATTCCCAGCAACAGAAGCAAAACCAAGGCGAAAGCTACCGATGGACTCAGCTGCTTCTTCATCTCTCCTTTCCTTTTCCCTCTCTCTCTCTCTCTCGTTGGGCAAAATTTGTGTGTAGTTCAACGAGAGGAGGTGTTACATGATACGCGTGACTCACAGTCCTGTATTTATACCGAAATCGCTTAGTCCTGTATTGTAGGCTACGGTCTTGATACTCAGATTCATAGGATGCGAGGAACCGGTTTTGGAGAATTTCTATCCTGAAGTTGGAAAAACCAAGTGTTTCCCTCTCAAGCATTTAGTGCAAAACACCCGTCCTCACTACGGTATTGACTCCTAACGAGATTCCCAGCTTTGGCCGCCATTGTAGCTTGGTCTAAAAAAGCTTTGCATTCAAGGGGCGTCTAAGTAAATCCTACTAATTGGTCGCTCGGATGTAAACAGGTTCAGCCCATATTGACTCATTTTTATGTGATATATTTTGAGCGACTCATATCCGATTTGACTCGAATCCAACCCTTACCTAACCCAACTAATCCGGGCTTAAGTGATCATAAGATATTCGAAGATTTGAAAATACTCAGACCCATCAAGATTTGTAACATTAAGATCGTGTCCAGCAACATACACTTCGACAAAAAGAATTTAAAGCGACGCTATATATATGTGTGTGTGTAATTTTTATAAGGGTTAATATCACGAAAATTTCCAAACTGGTATACCTGACAAATTTACCCCAAATTAATTTTTTGACCTCCAAAAACCTCAAACTGGTACACCTGTGACAATTTTACCCTCCGTTAGTTTCCATTAAATTTTATCTTCAAATTTCTAAGTTTGATAACACGTGGCAGTTAACGGATGTACCGGTTTGGGGTTTTACCCTCCGTTTGTCATAGGTTTACCAGTTTGTGATTTTTTGTGGTATTAATCTAATTTTTTTTTGGTCGAAAAGTATTAATCCAATTTAACAGAGGGTAAATTTATTACAAATGTACCAGTTTGAGGTTTTTGATGGTCAAAAAATTAGTTTAAGGTAAATTTGTTATAGGTGTCCAGTTTGGGATTTTTCGTCGTAAAAAATTTAGTTTAAAGGAAATTAATCACAAATATATCAGTTTGAGGTTTTTCGTGATATTAACCCTTTTTATAAACCAGTTAAGAAATATGTTATGAATTGATGGGTTGGTTTTTGGTATTCGTACGGCCATGAATCACAGAATATTGAACGCCATTTATTGCTATATCACTTTCGTAAGAGACTTAGGGATGGATATGTGGCATCATGTGCCACCATGCCTGGGGTACTCATTTGTTGTACAATCTATCCATTTCTTGAATATATATATAGAAAATAAAATTTCGTCCACATGTCCTAATCTATTTGTTATCTGCGAGTAACAACATCATAAAAGCATACTATTTATGAGAAATTGTTCAATCAATTCTTAACTTATCGTATGTATGTCAGTTTGGTTATATACTTTCCAATTTTATCAATTTGGTTCTAAATATTTGCGGGAAAATTCAATGTAGTCCTCTGGCCAATTTTCATCGAAAACTGCTGTCGTGGCGGTGTTCCACGTAGAACGGCGATGTTCCCCCCTTAAATGATACTATCACACATCTTCATCTTCCCAATATCTTGTAACTACGGCATTCTACATACATGAAAGATTAACTGATCGGCTCATGTCAATTTATCCTCATCTATAAGCAATTAGTCCTTTTGACATAGAAGGGGAAAATTACTTAATTAGTCTTGAACTCATTGTACGGATGTCAAGACTGAATTAAAATTTTCAATTATGTCAATTTAGTCATAAATCTTTGCACGAAATTTCAATATAGTCATTCCAGTCAATTTTCACCAGAAATCGATGACTGCCGTTCCACATGGCACATCGCTACGTCGGCGATTTTCAACAAAAATTTACTGGAAAGACTATACTGGAATTTCACGCAAAAGGTTAGGACTAAATTGACATACTTAAAAAGTTTAGGACTGAATTAATATAGTTAGAATATGTTTACCAGGACGGGTGTGTTTCTATGACTTCGAATAGGTTAGACTGGGTTTTTCATTTTTGATTGGATGATAGTAACAGATCATATATGTTGATTGACTTTGAACAAAGAGAGAAGGGGAAAAATACAAGTATTATAAGAACGAAGAATGTGAACGGGTCAAACGTGTATAAAGAAAAAGTTAAGGCTTTGAAAGCGAACTACCAAAAAAAGTTATGATATGTCCCCCATGCGTGAAGGAGTATGTAATACACTGTCTCTCGCCATAGACGTTGCACGATCAAATTTTCTTGAAGTAAAAGAATTTAATTTTGGCTAAAAATCTTTGATGTGGCAATCTAGTTAGCGCTAACCATCATATGTGGTATGGCAGAAACTGACGTGGATATTTTTTAATATTTTTAAAAATTTTCCGATTTTTTTTAAATTTTTTTTATTGATTTTTTTTTTCTTCACAAGGCCAGTGGGGCTACCGGCCAATGGGCGAGAACCGCTAAGCCCTTGCCGGCCATAGTGAGGCGGGCGAGGGCCGCGATGCCCTCGCTAGATTTGGCAAGCCGAGGGTGTCATTGCCCTCCCCCGGGCCCTCATTGAGCCCTTGCTCGCGGCCCTCGCCTAGGGGCTGCAGGTGACTCCGCTGGCCATGCGAAGAAATAAAGAAAAGAAAAGAAAATAAAATCAATAAAAAATATGGAAAAATTTTAAAAAATTAAAAAATTATCTACGTTGGCGATTTCCTGCTAAAATTAGCCAGAAGGATTACATTGGAAAATCGTCAAAATGTTTAATTAGAAAATTATCAAAAATTTCAAGACTAAAGTGACACAATTGAAATGTTTAGGATTGAATTGACCACTATACAATAGGTTTAAGATTTTTTGGACAATTTTCCCTCTTGAGATTTGCCATCATCTTGAAATTATGAAAAATAAGAAATATAGGAAAAATCTAAAAAAACCCCTAGACAGCGTGATGCGTGCTTGACCCAAGCCGCCATGGACAAATCCGGATCTAGACACTCACAAAGAGACTTATGACAATAGGCTCGTTCGTCTTATTTTGCCTTTCTTATTGGCCTTCATTCTTTAATGTAGTTTGCAGTAATAATAGCCATCTTAACTTGTTCCACTTTGTGAGCAATTCTCATTTGTTAATGAATTGGGCAATTCCTTCCCAATTTATGGGACATGGCTGAAAACGCCTTGGTAAAATAATGCAATTTGACAATTAATCGGTTAATTACTTTCCAGAATGAATACAAAAGTAAAGGATATTAGCGTGTGTTGATTGCTTTTTATTTTTTTGTTTGTAAAATGATTTCAATTGGAATAAATCTGGTGAAAAGGGGTACTAACTGCTTCTTTGGTAATTGATCTTAATTAAAAATTTCTTTTGGTAACTTTCTTTTCCCAAGAAATTAGATGGGAGTCAGTATACCTGACATGTTCTTTATTATTGCATGGTGGACTGGTGGAGTAAAAGCTGGGACCGCGGTGGTGCATACCTTGAACAGGTGAGTTGGGTAAACATCGCCTTCTCTTCATAAATTCATATTTATGAATACAACTTATTTGTTCTCCACCACAGAATATGCTGAGCTGAGCTTTGACATAGGCCCAAACTGAAGCAGCATTGTGCAGTATTGCGGGGATCATCCGGAGGAGATCTGCAGACTTGCTAAAGCGAAAGCTCAGGTATCAGAAGTGAAAAGGGTTACGATGGAAGAAATGGAAAAGGTGAGCATGTGTTATGCTCTATCACTAAGTTGGAACTATGAGAAATTGGCGTGTAACATTGGACTTATGTCGCTCTGTCATGGAGGTTCTGGATCGTGGCGAGGAATTCGAGCCTCTAGTTGACAAGAAGGAGAATCTTCCTTCTCCGGTCAGCAATCTGTTACATGTGAGTTCCATCCTGGAGCAATGTTATCTTATCTTATTGAAGAATCCGATTGTTGTGTGTAAGAAGCAGGATCTGGTGTTCAGAAGCTGAATGATTGGTGCATCACGACTGATGATTTAGAGGCAAATCATTAGATTGCAAAACACAATTACATTACAGTTGTATTTTTCTTACATCAGTTTGTTTAGTCATGTTCTCCAGAACCGATCGACCTACTAGTCCAGCCAACTTATTCGGGTCATCCAACAATTATTTAATCGGTAGCCTAGAAGTTTTGCTTATATGTGACCATCAATTCTTCCCCATTCGCTCAATTGAGCAGATTTGGTAACGAAAAACGGACAGTCTGTACGCTTCTTCTAGGTCTTATGCAGATGTTTCATTTTCTGATCACTTCAGCCCAGTTGCTCTATCGAGTGCAATTGTCCAGTGATCTAGTTTAGAGTTTTTAGACCACTAAATAGTTCAGAGGGAAGCTGTTTGACATGAACAACGTTGGGGATCGCCAATTCACTACCATCTGTTCCTATTCCTCTTCTCATTCCTTTTGCCATATTGTTTCTCGCAAGTCAGCGGATTACATGATGCTGTCTCTGCCGATCTGCTTTTGATTCTTTGTTGCTAGGTTTTGCATCAAATTATTCCTTTAAAGCACAAAATAACATTAGGGATATAGACTTTCCTAAGAAAGGTTATTTGAACTTTTTAAAGATTTAAATGTCATTCTACGTTTTAAAATGAGAGTTCCAGCTAAAAACTACTCATCTAATGGTTATAAGTCTACTGCTTTCAATAGTCCGCTTTCCTCTACCCAATCTTCTCATATCAAATGTATGGAAGGATGTGTTAACACAATGATATTTCGAGGAAGAAAATCACGTTCCTCACTTTTCTGTATTTCTTCTTATCAAGTTTACAATGACCTAGAAGCGTATATATATACAAAGAAAAGAAAGAATCTAAAAAAATATATCCTCTAAACTAGCTAACTATAATCCTTGATTCTAGCTAATTACAATCATAAATATATTTTACAGCTCATTCTCACACTCCCCCTCAAGTTGGTGCATAGATGTCGTGAATGCCCAACTTGTCAAGTGAGCTGTAGAAGATCCTGCTTGATACAGCCTTCGTCAGAATATCTGCCAACTGATCTTCAGATCGTACAAATGAAAATCGAATCACTTTGGCGTCCAAGTTTTGCTTGATAAAATGACGGTCCACTTCAACATGTTTGGTACGGTCATGTTGAACTGGATTATGAGAGATATCAATTGCTGCTTTGTTATCACTGAACAACTTCATCTCGGCTTTAGGAGCAAACCCAATCTCTGACATTAACTTCTTAAGCCATAGGAGCTCACACACCCCTTTGGCCATCCCTCTAAATTCAGCCTCTGCACTTGATAATGCTACTACTTTCTGTTTCTTGCTTCTCCAAGTAACTAAGTTTCCTCCCACAAAAGTGAAGTATCCTGAAGTTGATCTTCGGTCATGAACACTCCCGGCCCAGTCCGCGTCAGTAAATCCTTCGATTTCAAGATGACCCCTTTTTAAGAACCTCAAACCGCGTCCTGGAGAAGACTTCAAGTAGCGAAGTATACGCAACACTGCATTCATATGATCTTCACTTGGGGCATGCATAAACTGGCTAACAATACTCACCGCATATGCAATATTAGGACGAGTATGCGACAGATAAATTAGTTTGCCAACTAACCTTTGATATCTTTCTTTATTTGTTGGCACTTGATCTGGATACTCCCCAAGTCTATGGTTCTGAACAATTGGTGTGTCTGCAGGTTTGCAGTCCAACATTCCCACCTCTGCCAATAAATCTAGCACATACTTTCTTTGTGAGAGAAATATTCCCCCTGTCGACCTCGCTACTTCAATCCCTAGGAAGTATTTCAACCCCCCAAGATTTTTCATCTCAAACTCCTCAGAAAGTTTCTCTTGAAGCTTAGATATTTCTATCAAATCATCTCCAGTGATAATCATATCATCAACATAGATAATCAACATTGTAACCTTCCCTTGATGTCGTTTTAGAAACAATGTGTGATCTGAGTCACTTTGGAAATATCCATACCTCTTCATCGCCAAAGTGAACCGGCCAAACCATGCTCGTGGAGACTGCTTCAGACCATACAATGATCTCTCTAACTTACACACCGCCTCAGGCTATGAGGATGAAGAATAACCTGGCAGAACATCCATATAAATCTCTTCTTCGAGATTACCGTGAAGAAATGCATTCTTGACATCATACTGGTGTAGTGGCCAGTCTAAATTAGCAGCAAGAGACAACAAGACCCGAACAGTATTAAGTTTAGCAACCGGAGAAAATGTCTCTTGATAGTCAATTCCGTAAGCTTGCGTATACCCCTTTGCTACTAGTCTTGCCTTGTACCTCTCAATCGATCCATCTGCTTTGTACTTCACAGAAAAGACCCACTTACATCCCACAGTCTTCTTTCCCTTGGGTAAATCTACTAGCTTCCAGGTCTCATTTTTTTTCAATGCAGCCATCTCCTCCTCCATTGCTTGAACCCACTTGGGATCTTTCAGAGCATCCTGTACCCCTTCTGGAATACGAACTGCGGACACGTTCGATATAAATGCCTTTACTGGGCCTGACAACCTTTTGGTTGACACATAATTTGCAATAGGATATGTACATCTCTTCTCTTCAGCATCCGGCGAATATCTATTTGGAGGCTTACCTCGATTGTGTCTAGCAGGTAATTTATATCCCACAGAAGTATTAAGCTCATCAAAGATACAAGAAGGAGTAGGAGAGGTTACCTCAGGAATATTCTCAGGAGTTGAGTCGGGTACTGGAGAAGATGGAAGCTGTTCTTCATGATTTTGCTCCTGTAGAAGTTGGCCACCCTCAGATGATACCTCTTCTACTTCCTCAGACGATACCACCGCCTCAGACGATGTCTTCTCCACACCCCCAGACGATGCCTCTTCCGTCCCCTCAGACGATGCTTTCTCCACCCCTCCAGTATAATACACTACCATGCTCTTCCGCCCCTTCATACGATACTTTCTCCACCCCTCCAGATAATATACTACCAGGAAACTCCCACCAATTCGCCCTTTCTATCTCGTATCTCCCCCGAAAGGAAGAATGGGAACTCGGATAAAAAGATTCAGCTTCCACAAACGAGACATCCATAGTCACATAGGTTCGCGGGTAGAAGGGTCATAGCAACGATATCTCTTCCGGTGTGTACCATACCCCAAGAACAGAGACATCGTAGTGCACAAGGATCAAGTTTCGTTCACGATTCTTTGGGATATGAACAAATGCAACACACCCAAACACCCGAGGAGGGATGGTCGGGATCGAAGGTAAAGGCACATATGTGGACAAAGTCTCGTAGTGGTGTTTGAAAGTTTAACACTTTAGACGGCATCCGATTGAGGAGATGGACAGCTGTAGTCACACTATTGTCCCAAAATCTCTGAGGCACATGACTTTCAATCAACAGAGCTCGAGTTGTCTCAAGGATATGTCTATTCTTTCTCTCGCCACACCATTCGCCGAGGTGTTTGAGAGCAAGATGACTCATGAATCATGCCATGTTGTTGAAAATACTCCTTAAGGTATTCATTCATGTACTCCCCACCATTATCACTTCTTAGAACTTTGATCTCATCCACTAAATTAGGTCTCAGAACATAGTATGAAAATTTCTAAATATCTTGGCTACCTCATTCTTACTTTTCATCAAGAAAAGCCATGTCATTCTAGTACAGTCGTCAACAAATATCACAAACCACCTACAACCCGAAACAACAGTAATAGGAGATGGACCCCAAACATCTGAATGTATCAAAGAGAAAGGAGCTTCACTTTTATTCAAACTTATAGGAAAAGGAACTCTATGACTCTTAGCCAATATACAAGTCTGACATTGCAAATTTAAATCCTTCAAATTCAAAAACAATTCAGAAATAATCGCTTCAAATAACCAAATGACGGATGTCCCAACCGTCGATGCCAAAGCCAAATCTGTTTTTCTCTCACGATGGATGTACTTGCTAGCATGATTTGCACTCCGGAATCGAAGTCATCCATATAATACAGCCCCCTCTCTTAGTACCACGCCCAATTATCTCCTTCGTGAGAATATCCGAAACAAACAAAAGTGGGGATACATTATAACAAAGCACAATTCAAATCTTGAGAACTTGTCCTACCGAAATCAATTTGGTCGATACTGAAGGGACAAGCAAGGTGTTAGGAAGAGAAAAAGCAGGAGAAATCGCAACAACTCCAGCCCCAGTCACCGGATAGGTGTATCCATTAGCATTTGAGATACTGTCACGTCTTGGTTTTGAAGTATGAACAAAGTCATCAGGAGTAAATGTCATGTGATCAGTAGCTCCCGAATCAATAACCCAGTGATTGCAATCAATCTGATTAGAACTAACCAAAGCACTTCCATGGTTACCTCCTGACATCAAATTCTGAGGATCAACGTGAGGTATCAGTGACAGTTGAGGCTCAGCAGTTGCTAAAGAAGCTTTCCCTTTTCCTTCTGTTTGCTTCCGAGCTTTCAACTCTTTCCATCAATCTGGATACCCATGAAGCTTAAAGCACGTCTCCCTGGTATGCTTAGAATTACCACAATTCGAGCAACCTCCCCCCGGAGAAATTTTCTGGCGTAGTGCCGAGCTAGGCTTTCCCCCTTCCTGCGTAACTCCTGGCTTCGCTATTTGCAACAGCTGTTCTTGATTTGTTTTGACATTCGTCCTATTCCCCCGAGATACCATGGCTGCTGAATCATGGACCGTGTCGCTGTTGGTCAGCATTACAGTTTGTCTCATGTCTTCTCGACGGACACGCGCGTAGGCTTCTTCAACAGTAGGAAACGGCTGCATCTGCAAAACATCTGCTCTAACCTTGTTAAGACGGTCGTCCAACCCATCAAGAAATATGTATACCCGATCTTCCTGTATAGCCATATTGTATCTTTCAATATCTTCAGGATACCGCATTGGGTTCGGACGGCGAAAGTCGATTTCTCTCCACAAGCCTTGAAGGTTGTTGTAGTACGCCTCAATTGGTCCTCCTCCTTGTCGCATCCGAGCAACACGCCTCTTCAAGTCATAAACCTGAGAGGCATCCGTTCCGTCAAAGAAAGTCGTTGCAATTGCATCCCAGACAGATTTCCTTGTTGGGAAGCGAATGAAATTGCCAATCAACGCCGAATCCATGGAGTTGATAAGCCATCCTTTCACAGTCGAGTCTTCTGTTTTCCACCTCCGAAAGCCAGGATCTGTAGGCAGTGGCTGAGGAAGGTCTCCATTGATATATCCCAGTTTGTCTTTACCAGTGATGTACATCTCGACAACCTGAGACCATAATCCATAGTTGGCCCCATCCAGTTTAATTGCAATTTGAGATGAAGCCGAATCATTCTGCGGTGTTGGTGATGGAGGAGGAGGGTGCGTCTGGTTCTGAGTGAGAATCTGAGTTAATCTGGCAGTCAGATTCTCCAAAAAAGCTTCCGTGGTCGAATTCCCCCCTTGGTTCTGATGGGGAATCACCGCTCCGGTAGGGTTCTGATCCTCCATGGATCCAAAAACAATCGTGACAAAGATGAAGAAGATCGAGGAGGATGCACGCCGAACAGCGCAATAGAGAAAGCGAGCGAAAAAGAAAAAAAAATTTTGGGGGCGCTGCCCCCGAACCCCCAGCCCGCTCACCGGCGAGCGGGACCACCGTAATCGAGGATTCACGTACAGTACTCACAAAGAGCAAACCCCTTGGCTCTGATACCATGTTAACACAATGATATTTCGAGGAAGAAAACCACGTTCCTCGCTTTTCTGTATTTCTTCTTATCAAGTTTACAATGACCTAGAAGCGTATATATATACAAAGAAAAGAAAGAATCTAAAAAAATATATCCTCTAAACTAGCTAACTATAATCCTTGATTCTAGCTAATTACAATCATAAATATATTTTACAGCTCATTCTCACAGCATGAGCGGAAATTCATGATCAATGTTATTTAAATCTTGAAATTCAATAGGAAAATTGCATGACCTACATAGCTTTATTCGTTTCCATCTTAGTTTAAAAGGTTGATAAGCAACGGAAGGATGTGTCGTAGGGAAAGCATTTTTTGTGAAGTGCTTGAAAGCTCAGATGCGCATGGAATAGATGTATTTGGAGCAAAAACAAAGATTACTGTCCTTTGGTCAATAGAATTAAGGATTTCGGTGTCCGACTGACGTGAATTTTCTACTTGCAGGCTCAAGATTTTAGGCAGCAGGGGAACCAAATGAGAAGGAAGTTATGGCTGCGCAACATGCCAGTAAATCTGATAGTTGTCGGCACGGTTGTAGTTCTCGGCACGGTTGTCGCTCTGATTCTGATCATAGTTTTAAGTATTTGTGGTGGCTTCAAGTGTTAATGGAGTGACACTGCTCTGATATTCTTTAAATCCTCCGTAAGTTTGAAGTTTTCTTTCTATACAATTTAATATCAAATTGTAGGAATAGGGTGCCCAGTCAATGCTTAGCTGGGTATCCGGACGGCCAGGTGTGGGGCCATTACTTGGCCAGGTACCTGACCTTGTTCACCTAGGTCTTCGGGGCTGAGACGATCTATGAAATCTTGCAAAAGAATACTAAAATATAACAAATATAATATTAAATAATCAATAACGTATTTGAGTGGGTCTTGTAATCATCAAAAATTAATTAGGGTCAACAATCATTAAAAACAAGTAGTTAATTCACATCAAAAGGTTAAACATACATTCACGCGAGGATATTTTGAAAAATTATGAGCTAACATCTTCTGCAAAAACCTCAAGATTCCATGACTACATTACATGGTGTGATTTCATCAGAAGTAGATGACGATTTTGTTCATGCTCTAATGGGAATTTGATAAATTAAACCGTATATTTCCCTTCTCGTATTATACTAACAGAGCTCAAAATATCTATGAGATTGGTAAATTGTAGAAGAAATCTGTCTAAATGGATATAAATGTCAAGTCAAATGTACATTATTTAACATAATCTCAAACTCAAGGCGATTGTAGGGAGACCGACTGGACTTTGGAAATTAGGCTGCGACTATGTCTTGGATAATCAGCTTTAGTAAAGATGTTAGCAGTTTGATTTGCGCTTGAGATAGGAGCAAAAGGGCAGTGCTATGTCTGAGATATTGTCTAATGAACGGGTAATGTTTCTTAGTGTACTTTATTTGTGATGGGTTATATCCTAAACAGAATCAGAACAATCACACAGATAATAGAAAAATTGACACACGAGTTTACTCAGGTTCAGTCCAGAATATGGTTACGTCCTGCAAAGGGATTCCACTATGATATTTAGGTTTACAACTTCAACAACTCGTTACAATGATCTCTCATATGAGTACAATATATAGGACTTAAAATGAGCCCAAAGCCCAAACCTATCCGAATCCCTTTGATCCCACAACAAACAGGTCAGCTTAACCCCCGACATTCCGTGCGTAGGGGTCACATGTCGTCGGTTCATACTTCGATTTTCCTAAGCTCACGTAGGCGTGCCTGATATGAGAAACAATGGTCCTCGAAGTATTCGCCAACTCCAACAATTTGTCCATGGAAGACATCATTATGGGCGATCTCTTTAGCACTCTTATTATTGATGATACAAAGTGGCGTCTGCCAATGGTTGACACCATCCCGGGTATTCGACTTGGCATTTGGTTTGGGAGGCATCAAAGCGATCTGTTCATTAATAGAAAGAAGATTGGAAGTACTTGGCTTGAGTAAGATAGTATCCATCGCAGAAAGAAGGAAGACACCTCAAGCCCTAGAAAATAACTCAGCTGGCCCAGATGTTTCATCTCAAATGTTGAGTCAATTGCCGGTTAAAACCCCAATTTGCTGGAATGGTCGTCTCTGGTGATGATCATGCTATCAACATAGAGTAGCAACAAGATGATGCCTCAATCAAGCTTCTGTATGAACAAAGCTGTAGCGCGAGGGCCAAAAAGGAAACCAAACTGTTCAAGAATAGCACTGAATTTAGTCAACCAAGCACATGATGCCTGTTTCAAAGTCATATGAGGCTCGTCAAAGACGACAAATCTTGCCTGGAGGACAATCATATGCCAAAGGGGGTTGCATATAATCTTCTTCTTGCATTGGAAAAAAACATTTTCTCTGTCTAGAGTACGGACATATGTCCAATGGCGAACTCCTATGTGAAACCTTTCGCTATTAAGCAAGCCTTATACTACTCAATAGATTTATCAGAGTGAGTCTCAACTTAATAAACCCATTTGCAATCTACGGTAATCTTTCCGAGCGGAAAATCAGCAAGCCCCACTTGTGAGTCTTTGCCTACACAGTTCCTCAAACATAGCTTTCAGCTGATGAGCTCACGACAAGCCTCACGGCAGGATTGACGTCTATCAGACTGTCGTGCAGGAGGTTCAACATGGGAGGTAGTTGTGACAAGGTGATGTTTGCTGCCTCTCTCTCTCTCTCTCTCTCTCTCGAAACACCCCCAACACGGTCACACGAGAAGAGAGACACACGGAGCCCCCAACATAGTCACAGAGAGAGAGAGAGACACAAGGAGCCTCCAAGAGTCGATGGATTATTAAGCAATGAAATTTATTACCAAAATATTTATTCATGACATGATTTAAAACCACAATATTATACACCTTCTCTACCATTAGAAATCTGAGAATGTACGGAAGCATGGTTTTGATATCAATGATAGTATTTGATTTAATCTGCAAATGTATATAGTACATATTTCGTAGAGGATGGGCAATGGAACAATGTAGGATAACTTCAAGGGATGTAGGCAAGGTTTCATGGGATAAGGATAGTTTGATTAGTTGTTAGAATTGGTGTTACAGTAGTTGGAGGAGATGTTGGTGAAGGAGCTACATGGTATGGAGTTTATTTTCACGCTCCTCACTCTTAATTACATGAATGAGTGCAAGCTCTATTTGTAAAGCAATTCCACCGACATATAGTTTAAAGTTCCTATTTGATCAGATATTGTGCTCTTGTTTGCTTCGTTTCGTGCACAAAACGGTTTGATTAGTTTGTTGAGAATAAAGGAAAAGTCATGTAAATATATGATGCACTAGAAAAGTGGATCCTCATTAATGATACGGTTCCATTTTGGAATTCTTCACTAATAGTCAACATGGTGAAAAATGACAATACAAATGCTATAATTTTCGTACGGCGCTCACTTGAAGGCCATAACGCTTTCTTTGACTACTTGACTGCAACAGCTTTTAAAAAACGTTCACTTGAGTACTAGAACTTTCGATTGATCACTTAAGTGTTATAACTTTTTAAAAATGGTCACCCAAAGCCAAAATTTTGATGTGACATAGCACTTGTGATTAACATTTTGGAAAAATTATGGCACTTAAGTGATCGATTGTAAAGTTATATGGTACTGAAGTGAACGATGTACATAGGTTATAGCATTCACATGATTGAAAAAAAAGTCAGGCACTCAAGTGAGCGCCGTACAAAAATAATGATATTTGTTGTGTTCTTATCCACGCTAGCATTCTCTTCATGGATTGATCTAGTTAACGGGGTTTTGCTCTTTTTATGCCTTCCAAGAGAGTTGTTTCCACATGAAATATCTCTTGCCACCTTCAACCAAAAGACTAAATGATCTTGCCACCTTCAACCAAAAGACTAAATGATCCATCTGATTTTGATTCGAAACAAGAATTATTATTTCTTTAAGGAGTCACTTATATTAAAAAGAGAAAGAGAGTACTTGACTGAATACATTGGTTTTACGAGGGGGCTCGTCTATTGGTCAAACTTACCGCGCAAATAACTTTCAAATCCCATAATAGATTATCAATTGCCTTTAAATTTCACAAGAGGGCCCGTTTAGTTATTAGTAAGTTACCAATGAATAACAATTTTACCACTTTCAAATTCTGCAGTAATTTTAATTGTTTTTAAGATTCAAAAGTAGGCCTATTTATTCGTCAGGCGTTTGGCAACCATTTTGTTCTCGAAAACTGATTCTGCTCAGAAATGATTCTTTTTTATTCCGTGCTTGGGAACAATTTCTAAACATTTGAAGGCGTTTAGTAACTGCCCAAAATTTCTTTTTATTAATAATATTTTGAATTTTTTAATATATATATTTTTTCCTTCCCCTTCCCCTTCCTTGGCCATGGCCAGGTCGTCGGCGCTGGTGGTCGGCCATAGGCCAGGGCCGGCGAGGACGGCGGCGAGGGTTACCCACGCTAGATCCGGCGAGGGCCGCGATGCCCTCGCCGACGGCTGGCAACTGGCCACAGGTCAAGAAGAAGAAGAAGAAGAAGAAGAAGAAGAAGAAGAAGAAGAAGAAAACCATGAAGAAGAAAAAGAAAAAAAAATTATTTTCCATTTCTGATTCTTGTTCCCAGAATCAAGAAGCGACTTTTTTTTGCTTCTTGATTCTATTCCAAAACTGATTCTGGGAACAAATTTTTGCAAATTTGTGCTCGAGAACAAAAAATTTACCAAACGGATTTTGATTCCAAAACTGATTCTGGGAACAAAAGAATAGAAATAGTTACTATTTGGCCGGTTGCCAAACGTGCCCTAAGTTGCCAACGAAATAATCATTTAGAGCCATTGAGTTTGGGAGTATATTGTAAACCATTTTGAAATTTTACAAATAGGCTTGGTTAATCGTTTATAGGTTAGTAGAGAAGAAATAAATTTACCTAGGCTTGCCAAACAGACTAGCATCATGCTTTGACCTGCCTGGAGCTTGACAATTTCTTTTAGGGTGGAGGTTAGGCTACAAAGGGATCGGGCTGGCCTGAGCACGGCATGGCACGGCATGGCTTGGCCTATCACATAAACGGGTCGAGCCATCCCCCGGCTCACCTAGCCCCTTTGGTAAGGGAGAGCATGGTTCCCAAGTAGAATTGGGAGCTGGACCGAACTTGCCATGTGAATCGATTCGGTTCCAAGTTTCGAAGGGAATAACTTTGGTTCTCGGTTCCATATTTTTTGAACCTGCACTATGTGGTACAGTTCCCAGTTCTCACTTGGGAACTGAACCTAACCAAACAAAGAACTAAGGTAACCCTCAAATAGAGCATGACATATACAACATAACATGAGGCTTGAGTGAACGAAAAGAAAATTCCCTCCTCCCGGAGCAACTGCTTGCCTTTCATCATGGTTTTTGGCTCCTCTGAGAGCATGACATTTAGGTTTTATGTTATGTGTTATGGCCTTGCTCAGGGCCTTTGCGGCCCTACCGGCTGAGGGCAAGGCCTTTGTGGCTGCCGCACATAAAAAAAAAACAAAGAAAAAAAGGAAAAAAATTTAATAAATAAAAATTCAAAAAATAATGAAAAATCAATTTTTTTTAAAATAATACAAAAAATCCACGTATGATGATTTGTCGGAAGTGGCACTCAAATGATCGATTTTCCTCCGATGTGGCACTTAAGTA